CATTCAAAGTACATCAGATGTGAGTTTGGTTTTTTCTTTCCCTTTAGGATACGAAAATTTTAACTTACAAAATTGTTATCACTGTTAGGATAACCTCCCTTCGTTTAATACAGCCACAAATAGAGCTACGAAGTGCCGCCTCTGCGGCTATGAATTTCGAGCAGAAGGCGTTCAAAGAAGCCGCCACCAAGGTATGCCGGGATCCGGTTCCGCCCTGGTTAGTAATTACCTAGACTCTAAACCTTAATTCCTAGGCCGATTACGACAGAGAGTTCAACGACAAACTCGTCCACATCCGTGACACACGCGCCAGACAAGCGGCGGCGATGCAGGGAGGCATCATGCAACCAGGACCTGCGACGACCGGCATGGCCGGCGTTGGTCAGTCCCCATTTCCACAACAAATGTCCCGACCAATGCAGGCGTCGCCAATGCCTGGCCAACAGCAGATGCAAATGGGCATGAATGATCCAAACCAACAAGCCACCCTGCAGCAGCGCCAGCAGCAGCAATCACAAGCGATGCTTCAACAACAGCAGCAGCAACAACAACAACAACAGCAACAACGGCCCCAGCAACGGCCTGGAGGCGCCACTGCGTTGAATGACGAACTGAACTCATTATCACCCCAGGAATTTAGCAATGTCTGCCGTATAGCGACTCAAATTTACCAGAAGACATCACCCGACGATTTGAACAAGATAAAAGTCAATTTGCAGAACATGAGCCCGGAACAGAAGATTTATCTCTCCAAAAAAGGCATGGACCCCATGACCTACTTCTTCCGCTGTCAAGCGATGAGCCACCTCCGTCGAGTTAAACGTTCCCGCATGGAGATGGCTCGCAACAACCAGAACAATGCAGTTGACTCTGCCAACGGCTTGATGGGAGATCCTATGATGAACTCTCAGCAACACCAAATGTTTCAGAACATGGTGAATATGCAACAACAAAGAAATCCTTCGTTCTCCATGGGTAATCAACAGACCCTCGACCCCTCATCATTTATCGGAAACGTCGAAAACATTCAAGGGCAACAGGCTGACGGATTACGCTCTCAAGAAGCTGGCCAACTTGTGGTTCCTGCTAGCTCATCCCAGATGAATCAACAGCCGTTCCCCGCATCTCAAAACATGTTTCCAGTTGGACAGCAAATGGGTCAAGGAAATCAAGTAAACATAAATAACGCTGGAATAAGCCCCCCGTTTATGACTCAACAACAGCCCCCGAATGCTCAAGCTGGTCCGCAGGATCGGACCCAACAAGCCTCGCAGTTTCAGTCCCAACCACAGGCGCAAACGCAGGCCCAACGTGTACAGGCGGCCCAGAAAGCGCAGCTGGCAATGACACAAGCCGGGCAAGCAAATTCCCACATGCAGCAACCGATATCCCAAAGCCCAGCCATGCCAATGTTGAACCGTCCGATGGCAGCCCCAGGACAAATGTCTCCCGCCCAGGCCACCGCCCAAGCACAACCGCCCTCAAGACAGCCGAGCATGGGACAGCATCCCAACAATGTTCAGCCCATGGGCGCACGGCAAGGAGTGCAAAATCGGCCCGCTATTCCTGCAAATCTTCCACCCCAGGTCCAGGAACATCTTTCCACCATGTCTAACGAGCAGTTGACTGCTTTCTTAATGAGCAACCAACGCCGAATGATGGCAAACAACCCAGCGTTAGCTAGAGCGAGTGCCGCCCAACAAAACCTGGCAATGCAGCAGAATATCCCACAATCTAACCAAGGCCAAAATATGATGAATGGTCAAATGGTCAATCCCCAAAATATGCGCGCCTCAATGGGATTGCAACAGCAGATCGCCTCGATGGGTGGCTCCCAGCAGCCAAATCAGGTACAACAGATGACTATGCAGCAACGTCAACAGCAGCAGCAGCAACAACAACAACAAATTTATCGGCTCCAACTTCTTCGAGCGCAAGGGGGATCGAATATGGAGATGACTCAGGATCAAGTGAGGGAGATGGATCGTCTTCCCTTCCCACCTGCGATCTTCAACACTCCGAATGCGGGCTCAATACCCAAAAACATCAGAACCTGGGGGCAGTTGAAGCAACTTGCAGCAACCAACGCACAACTCCCCGGGGGGATGGATATGGGGAGATTGCTGACGTTCCAGAAATTCCATTTAGCTCAACTTCTGAAGGAAACTAGCAATCGAAACCTTGAACAGAACGGCCAGACACCTTGGGTACCTCCAAATGCACAGGGTTCGCAACAGCCGTTTATAAATCCTCAGCAATTTCAACCAGGTCAACAACCACCGCAGTTCTCTATACCACACATGCGACAAATAACTGCAGAGGAACTTCAATTAGCTCGCCACCGCCTTGGCTCTCAGGTACAAAATGTTAGCGACGACCAATTGCGCGACATGCTTCGACACAGGCAGGTGCAAGCGGCCCAAAAACAGGCAGCTCAGGCTCTTGCAAACCAGCAAAGCCAACAGGCACAGGCACAATTACCACCGCAGGCTTCTATTCCACCCGCCGCATCCCATGTGAATCCGGAAAACCAAGCTCAGAACCAAGCTCCTCAACAGACGAGTCAGAGTCAAGCGGCCAAGGCCCAGCCTGCGGCGCCCGCCAAGGCTGCGAAGGCACCAGGCCCGAAACAAACCCCACCAACGTCGAAAAGAAAGGTACCGAATGAGGAGACGTCGGCTGCCCAGTCCTCCCCTGTGCAGGGCTCAACTCAGCCTGCGGCGTCTCAAGGGCTGCCGGCAACGGTGCCGACCCGGCCGCCCATGCCGTTTAGTCGGGAGCAATTGGCTGCAATGACACCTCAACAACGTGCTCAAATAGAGTTGCATATCCGTCGACAGCAGCAGGGTCAGACACGTGGTACAATCAACAGAGCTGCTGCGGAGGATTCGTGGAATAACCTGCCGGACAAGCTTCGGCACCTATACAATGATATTGCCAAGAATGCTCCACCTGAGCAGGCCATTGCCGTCACACCAGAACAAAGGGCCACAATGAATCAACAGTTGCGTGATTGTACAGATTATTTAGGTAGGATGGATGCACTGGTTCAGTTTATTTCCAAAGTCCCCAACCAGGATAAAAACGTTCAAAGTTTACTTGGAATGGTATGTTTATCGTTTTAATCCGACCAATACCCATATGCTAACACATATTAGCGTATTCAATTGATGCGCCAATTCAAACCTGGTCCTGATTGGACATTAAATGACCAATTCACCATAACTCCGGAATATCTGACAGGCACTACAAATTACATTAAGAAATTGTTCCATCACATGATTGCGCGCGTCAACCAGCAGCAAAATGGTCAGCGTCCTGGGGTGCCTCAGGGCTCTAATGTGCAACAGGCGAACCCGAACATGGCCCCACTTAACGCCAGCAACCTTCAGCAACTTCAGCAGCAAGAGGAAGCTCTTCAGCGGGCTCGGAGAGCGTCTAGCCAGACCGCTGCGTCAGGAGCCTCTGCTATTCCGCCAGCACCATTTGGCGCACCATCGCCCCAGGGTGTTCCACATGCTTATGGACCGGGAGGTGCACCACCCCAGGAGCTGAAACTTCCTCCCCCAAAGAGGAGAAAGCAGTCTCATCCAAGTGGCACCCCTGTTTCCGGCCACCCAGGGCCCAAGGCGCAAGCGACAAAACAAGCGGCAGCCGAACCCAAACCTACTACTGGTGCTTTCAAGTGCTCGATTCCCGACTGTCAATATCACTATCAAGGCTTCACCACCCAGAATGATCTTGATAAGCATGTTGAGGATAGCCACAAGGCGGAGGAACCTATTGAAGATCCTCTTGAGTTTTATTTGCAAAGCTTGCCCACCCTGGCCAAGGATGGACAGAAAGCGGAGTCACAGGGCCTCGCCAAGGGTATCGGCTTTGCCATTGAAATGCCTTCTCAAAAGAATGCGGCTACTACGGCTCCAACGAAGCAAGAGGTGAAGACCGAGGCGGCGACTCCGGTTCCTGGAACAACTCCAATGGGACGCGTTACAAGCCAGTTGGCCACGAAGCCCGCATCGCCAGCGTCTAGCCAGCAGCCCACTCCGAGTCGGTCATCTGTTAAAGCTTCCAGCTCGTCATCTCTGAAGCCGACGCTAGGTCGCGATGGCAAGAAAGAGTCGGGGATTTCGGCAGAGCAGGAACCCGTGCCGATATCTAAAGACCCATGGGAGAACAGTACAATTTCTCTCGAGGCCATCCGTGATGGGTTCATGGACCTGGGTGACAATCTAAATCTAAGTTTGGATCCAATGGAAGAATTTCTCAACGCCGAGATGTTCGGAAACCAAGACACTCCAGACTCAGTGGAGACTGGCGTCGTTACCCAGACCCCCAAAGACGGCGATGTGCTCAAGAATGAAGATGTGGTTGGCAAAGAATCAAACGCGGACGGTAGCTGGATTCCAATGGATTGGTACTGTTTACCAACTCAATTTGACGATGTCCTAATCAACGACTCGTGCGAAGAAATTGACTGGGAGATGGTTGACTTCAAGGAGGGGACGATGGGTGGGGATGACAATGGGGTCGCTATTTATGCCTTGTAAAAGAAGGGGAGATTCAATACTCGGCATCATAATGATCTGAATGAGCGAACACCCCTTTCAGCGTTTATTTCTCAGTCGGTTTTGGCCTAAATATGCACGATATTATGTATAATATGCTGAAGAGGGGAAGTCTTTTCATATCTCTGTTGTGATTATTGTCCTCATATTAGCAATGGCGTTCCAGGGTAGGGTGAGCGAAAATGGGATTTTACGAGATGTCTAGTTATCGAGGGCAGTATTGGAGCATCTGGCGATTTTTTATGGACACCAAATATGGGGAATCTGATAACTTAATTTATTGAAAGTGTGTCATTTTGTTGGAAATAAATGTATGCCACTTCGTAGAATGTAGATACCAACCTCGGGATCGGCCAGGATCTGCCCGTGTTGTCGTCATTCGATGCTGGTCACGGGAGATCCGCGCCTGATAAGACAGACTCCGCTCCAGCTCTCCAACCCCAACAAACACCCGCTCGCATCGTCAGAACTCTGCTCAAAGACGGATTATCAATTAGATTTTGGGCCTTTCATTGAGATATATCTTACTATTTCTTGGCTCTTATTTCCAGCAGGGATATATTGGCGGTCTTTCGTCAACAAGGCCCCCACGGACGCTATCGAACCTGGGCCTGTGGCAATCGACTTTGCTGCTCTTTCCCCTCGTAGCCATTTCTCACAGCTCTTCAACCGTCAAAATGACAAACAAGGCGGCCGTGCCCTTCCTGGTCACAATGATGCTTGTGACAGGAGTATGTAATACTATTCTCAACAAGTACCAGGTAAGGGTTCTAGGCATTGGTTGCCCCCCTCACTAGATCATAGCTCATGTACCTCGATCTTCAGGATATGCAGTGTGTTAGGAACTGTGATTCTCCAAATCCCAAAGACCATCGTCTCTTCGAACAGCCAGTGATTCAAACGTAAGGTTCCCAGTGCGCTGTTGCGAGACATGAAGCAAACAAACCATCATACTTACCTGCTTCGTCACAACAGTATTCAGATGTTCATTGGTGAGATGGGCTGCTGGCTCGTCGTTCTAATGACCAACCTATATAAACGCTATCTTGCTTCCCGTTTATTTCAGAACCAGTCGCCTCTTCTAGCCGGTGGCTATCGCCCAGTAAATGATGTTGACGGAGAAGATTATGAAGAGGACCAAACGATCGACGGACCCAATGACGACGATGACCCATCGAAACCCTTTCGTTTATCTGACGGTCGTATAAAACTTCAAGGGTTGAGGACGTTTCTTCTTGCTGCACCGGCATGTTGCGATATCGCAGGTACTACTCTTATGAACGTTGGCCTGTTGTTCGTCGCAGCAAGTATCTACCAAATGACGCGTGGAGCCTTGGTTCTATTTGTTGGGCTTTTCAGTGTTCTGTTTTTACACCGCAAGTTGTATTTATACCAGTGGCTGGCGCTGTTCATTGTTGTTCTCGGTGTTGCACTAGTTGGCCTCGCCGGCGCTCTGTTTGGGGACAAACAAGGCCACGATATCACTCAAGAAGGTATGGTGGCGGCAGCTCATTCAGCCACCCTGGAGATCCGGGCAGTCGCACAGACGCCAGAGGCTGTTAGAGCTGTTATTGGTGTTCTCCTTATCGCTGCAGCCCAAATATTTACTGCCTCACAATTCGTGCTCGAGGAGTGGATCCTCGAGAACTACGCCATGGAGCCGCTCCAAGTCGTTGGGTGGGAGGGTGTTTTTGGATTTACTGTGACGGTCATTGGGTCGATCATTCTGTATCTGGGCGTCGGGCGCACAGAAGCAGGACGATACGGATACTTTGACGCAAAGGAAGGCTGGCACCAAGTCCTGACTCATAGGGCGGTGGCCGTCTCAAGCTTCATGATCATGCTTAGCATTGGGTATGCGTGTTTCTTTTCTCCATTTAATTTTTTCTTAAGCCCTACCCTTTCATGACTAACTCAACCCTTCTTGCAGTGGTTTCAACTTCTTCGGACTCTCCGTGACCCGTACCGTTTCTGCTACCTCTCGCAGCACGATTGATACCTGCCGTACACTTTTCATTTGGCTCGTATCGCTAGGTCTAGGCTGGGAGACTTTCAAATGGCTGCAGGTCGCTGGATTTGCCCTGCTCGTCTATGGAACATTTCTATTCAACGATATTGTCCGCCCCCCACTCAAGGCCTGTCTCCCCAGAGACGCCACAGAGAGGGTCCTCTTGCCCGAGGAACCCATTGAACATAATTAAGACTTATGTACCGAGTTTTCGCTCTTGTGCTTTTTCGGCCCTGCTCTTTTTATCACTGGTTGGATATGTTATGCATCGCTCGGATTCGGTGATCTCGAGTTCATTGTTCATTGTTTCATTGCTTCGCTGCTCTGCTTTCTAAATACAGTCTGGCGTTTTGGATATGAGTTTAGTCGAGTTTGAAAGGTTTGGTTATGCTTTTGCTGTTCGCTTTCCCCCTCATTTCTATTCGGGTCTATGATGATGGTTATCCTCGCAAGACTAGTTATACATGTGCAAGGCCATTCTATGTTTCCTAAACAAAGACTTTCCATATCGGTCCAAGGCATATTATATATATATATCATCTATAACTGATAACTGATAAAACAACATACCCTACCATTCCTCTCTCCCTCCGTAGGCAATATTTGAAAGCGGAGAGGCGATTTAGATGAGAAATACAGTCTCAATTCAGATTCCGATTCACGGAAAATCACAGCCAGAGTAAACTCGCAATCAAACCAGTTGTACACTCTAATGATACATAGGCATAATGATAACAAAGGCCAGTCCAATTAGAACAATGCAGGCCGGGTATATAACTAGTTGAGAAAGTTCGAGTTTAAACAAGCACATGAAGGTGAATAATCTTTGCTGGAGGGTTTAGAAAAAAAGGTCCTTTGCCGCTGGATTGAGTGGATTAAATTTGATATATAAGTGGAACGGCTGGAGAAGGTAGGTCAATCTAGACAAGTACGTATAATGTACACATCTATTAGAAGATAAGTGTTAGCGGGCATAATCGAGGCAAATGAAAGGGTGAAACGAGTCTGGCTTACTAGTGAAAGACCGAAGATCATTGAAAGCCAGAAGAAGACATTCTGATATAGTTAGCGGGGGGCCAATGGCCGGCTAATGTAGAGTCACTTACGTTTAGGGTCGTCTTGTGGCGGAAGTACTTGGACTTCTGAATTGCGATGATTGGAAGCTGGAGCATCATGGCAAGGAACCCGTACCCGCGCAACTTCTTGGTGATGCAGCTCATTACGAGTTCGTGGAAGATGGAGCTGACGAGGAAGGTGATGAACATGGCGACGGGCTGAGAGAAATGGGATAGCGAGGAGTAGTAAACGTGACGACGGAGGAAATGATGGACGGGGATGTTCCACTCGCGAGAGAATTCGAGCCTGCATTTTTGTTGACGTTGGTAAGTATTGCGTAGAAGTTGATAGCTGGGAATCGGGTTGACGGTACTCACCAATCGCAGGAATTCCACCAGTCAGAGTAGAAGTGGCGGTCGGCGAAACAAGTGATTTCAGCAAATGCACCCAAGAGATACTCGAAGATGACGAGAAACACAAGTAGGAAAGTAATCATGAACGGAAACAGAAGCATGCTGATTGCTTCCGCCATGGCGAGGGCCATCTCCGCGAAGTTATTCGAAGAATGCAGGCGACCGCCGGCCTCCGCGAGAACTGGCAATATAAACTCCTCGCTCACAAGTGTCAGAAGAAAGATACACCCAAATACTGCAAGAGCCTTCAGCCCGACCTCCATCCACGATCTCTCTTTGCTCCGAGGATACTCTAGCTCATAGCATAGAGTAGGGCAGAATAGGAAATCGATGTAGTTGTAGAGCGTTAAGTTCTGCGGATATGTGACATTTCCCATCGGCGATGTCAACTCAGTAGCTAAGTCGTCGCGTAATTCCACAATTGAATTCGACCGCTTATGGGTACTGGCACGGCGCACTGGCTGCTGGGGCGACGAAAGCTCGGGATACCGACGAACGGCTGCATCCGTTGACTGCGAGCTAGGGTTGTCGAGGGACGAAAGTCGGCGCTCGGCCGCGCTAAGGTGTCCGTTGTAGAAGGCATAGGAGTGGATCTTCATAAGAATAGTGAGAGTGTGTAGAGTGAAGAAGACCTGCGCAGTCCACGTCCAGCGCAGCATAAATGGCCACCTATCAATTCGTTAGTGCAAGCGAGGCGAATGCAAGACCGTACTAATTAACTCACTCGATCCACACTGCGAGCCAAACTGCTTCGAAAATACTCTGTAGAACAATGCCGCCTCTTTCCCAGCGAAAGAGGCCCTTGGTCCTGGACAAATGATGGAGTGGGATAACCATTCCACTCGTGCATACCATCGCGATATCGCTAAAGCCCATGGACCATACATTCTCCGTTAATAGGCTCCATACCCTCACTCGCAAAGGGTAACCGGTATCCTTGATATTGCGCAGCACGGTTGTAACCACCATGATGAACAGACCAATCCAGAAGAGGGTGAAGAAGCCTCGGAAATTATGATAGTTGCTTCGCGGGTCGAAGTGTGATACGCGGGGGACATAATTGATAGTATAGAAGAGCCGATTGCGAGCCCTGGCTTGTTTCCTCGCCGTCCATATGGAACGCGCGGACGGGGGCGCATCTTCAGGGACGGGGGTTGAGCGGCCACTGCGAGCACAGATGTTAGTTTACGGGGTTTCTCAAGCACCTGGAGGTCGATTCTGCAGTCACATATAAACACCTACCTCGACTCGGTGTCTGCCCTGTCCAATTGTGCGGAGAGCAAGTCGTCGGCTTTCTTTGTCTCAGGAACCGCACGTGGTCGCAGCGCTGCAGACCCGTCCTGGTGTGAGACGGCAGAAGACATCCTAGCAAGTGTTCAAGGATAATAGGGAAGGAGTATATGTGCGAATAAGAATACGCCTCACATAGGTCCGGCGAATTCTGTGCAGGACAGGCGGCTCAGTAAGCTTTATTTATAAATACCAGTAGTTAGTGGACTGGGGAGTGACGGAGTGACGGAGTGACGACAAGGTTGGCGGGCGCATTATTTAGGGAAGTGGGCCCGTAGCATAGGCATCCGCATAGCATAGCATACATCATATCATCGCCGGGACTGCTCTCCACCAGGGATCATCTGAAAACCGAAGGACGCAGTCATACAGTTCAGCGGACCCCCCAGGAATCAGGATCGCTTCTGCTCTATGTAGAAATACGAGCGGACGAACCGTTAACATCGGAGGTCCGGATGCAACGCCAAACTGCCAGCTTACAGAGAGCCCAGCACAATAATCTGGAGGGAAAGGCGCTCCGAGGCCTCGGGCCCAACTGCGCCTTGCACATGCGGTGCATTACTTCCACAAGTGTCCATTTTAATAATACCTATTTATTGACATTTTCTACGAGACGCCCAATAATGAGCAACCAGTAATGATGACGTAGGGCAACTGACACGGTGCAGCTGACAACTTTTTGTGGTGCCTTGCCGCCTTGCATATCAGGCTTGCAGTTATCATTGCAGCCTGAATTCTCAGGTTTGAATAGTCCTGTCATTATCAGATGATCCCACGTGATGTAGGCCAGGGTCAAGCCACTAGTCCCAGAGGGGAAGGCGGGCGCCAAGAGCTGGACAGCCAGATCGCAATCGCAGCCACGGCCGGGCTCGCCTGTGCTCCGTATACCCATTGCATCAACTTTCGTTCTGTCTCGGGATTGCGTGGACTGGCTTCTTCGCTTCCCTCTTACTTTCCCTACCCTCCACTCCGCTGTCCTCCTTTTCCTTCGACCTCCCCGTGAGGGATCCTTGTGGCCGCCATGGCATCCCGTGAGTTTCTGCCCATTGTTCAATCCCCCACACTCCTATTCCCTGCCCTGGGCTGCAGTTTGGTTTCGCTCACATCAATCCCCCGGGCGTGATTTTAGTCAAACAATTCATCCGGAATGTTCGATCGGCCAAGACAATTGCAGATGAGCGGGCTGTTATCCAAAAAGAAAGTGCCGCCATCCGCGCGTCGTTCAGAGAAGAGAGCCACGATTCAGGCATCCGGTTAGCATTACCCACGACTACATTATGTATACTCTTCATCGAACCAATATCTCATATACCTGTGCAGGAGAAACAATGTAGCCAAGCTGCTCTATTTATTCACTCTCGGCGAGCGTACACATTTCGGTCAAATCGAATGTCTGAAATTATTAGCCTCTCATCGGTTTGCCGATAAGCGGTTGGGTTATCTAGGCACGATGTTGCTGCTAGACGAGAACCAAGAAGTGTTGACACTGGTGACGAACTCGCTCAAGAAGTGAGCACCCCGCAAGTTATCTACGTCCGTCACTATATCCTAACGTGTTTCTTTTTCCAGTGATCTCAATCATTCCAACCAATATATCGTCGGCCTTTCCCTTTGCACTCTCGGCAACATCGCGTCCGTAGAGATGGCTCGAGACTTGTTTGCCGAAGTCGAATCCCTTCTTTCCACCGCCAACCCTTATATTCGGAGAAAAGCAGCATTGTGTGCGATGCGCATCTGCCGTAAGGTCCCCGACTTGCAGGAGCACTTCCTAGAAAAAGCGAAGAATCTGTTGTCGGATAGGAACCACGGTGTTCTTCTATGCGGTCTCACTTTCGTGATTGATATGTGTGAAGCGGAAGAGGCCGAGGAAGGTCAAGAGGGAGTGATTGAGATGTTCCGACCCCTTGCTCCGGGTCTTGTACGCGCTCTGAAAGGATTAACAACTTCCGGCTACGCCCCCGAGCATGATGTGTCCGGTATAACCGACCCATTCGTGCAAGTGAAGATTCTCCGTCTGCTCAGAGCCTTGGCTCATGGTGACACCGCTACGAGTGAATTGATCAATGATATCCTCGCCCAAGTCGCGACCAACACCGACTCCTCAAAGAATGTGGGGAACTCGATTCTGTACGAGGCGGTCCTGACTATCCTCGACATCGAAGCAGACTCAGGTTTGAGAGTGCTAGGTGTCAATATTCTTGGAAAGTTCCTTACAAACAAGGACAACAACATTCGCTACGTTGCCCTAAACACACTCAACAAGGTTGTTGCTATTGAACCAAACGCGGTACAGAGGCATCGTAACACTATTCTGGAGTGTCTCCGTGATCCAGACATTAGCATTAGGAGACGAGCTCTCGATCTGAGCTTTATGCTGATCAACGAAAGTAATGTCCGGGTCCTGGTGCGGGAGCTGCTGGCCTTCTTGGAAGTAGCCGATAACGAATTTAAACCTGTGATGACGACTCAGATCGGCATTGCTGCGGACCGATACGCCCCCAACAAGCGCTGGCACGCCGATACGATACTGCGAGTTCTTAAGCTGGCTGGTGCCTATGTTAAGGAGCAAATCTTGTCGTCCTTCGTGCGCCTCATTGCGACAACCCCAGAATTGCAGACCTACTCAGTGCAAAAGTTATATCTGTCATTGAAGGAAGATATTTCACAAGAAGGCCTTACGCTCGCTGCCACCTGGCTTATTGGTGAATATGGCGACAACCTACTTCGCGGCGGCCAATATGAAGAAGAAGAACTCGTTAAGGAGATTAAGGAAAGCGACATTGTTGACCTCTTCGATAACATCCTCAACAGCACATACGCAACTCAAACTGTGGTTGAATACATCACCACAGCCTCCATGAAACTTACTGTGCGTATGTCTGATGCGGCACAGATTGAACGCCTCCGACGAGCATTGAGCAGCCGCACCGCAGATTTGAGCGTCGAAATTCAACAGCGCGCTGTTGAATATGAGAACCTGTTTGGTTATGACCAGATCCGCCGGGGTGTCTTGGAGCGAATGCCTCCGCCCGAAATCCGTGAAGAAACACGAGTCTTGGGTCCAACGACCAAAAAGCGACAGAGCAAGCTGCTCAAAGACAAGTCGAGAAAACCCGCAAAGCCGGCCGAGCAGGACATGCTTCTCGACCTCATGGGTGGCTCCGATGTTCCCGCCACCAGCCCTACCACGAACGGATCTCAGAATACTGCCGACTTACTTGCAGATATCCTAGGAGGAGATTCGAGTCTTTCGTCTCCTGCTCCTCAACCTGCTCAGCAACAGCCTGTATCGAACACTGCTGCTATAATGGATTTGTTCGGTTCAAATGGAGGCACACCGTCTCCTCAACCAACTGCTCCGCCCTCGGCGTCTCTCGATCTCCTCGGAGGCGCTGGCGCTCCAGTCTCAACTCCTTCCCCCTCGGCGCCCGCTGCCTATACGGTATTCAATAAGAACGATTTAGTGCTTTCTCTGCAGGTCCAGCGAGGCAACAACACAGCCCAGATCCAAGCTCGGTTCCGAAACGAATCAAGCTTCAGCCAGTTCAGCGGCGTTGGCCTCCAGGCTGCTGTGCCCAAGAGCCAGCGCCTGCAGCTTAGCGCCATCAACAAAGCCGAACTTGATTCCGGAGACGAAGGTGTTCAAATGCTGAAAGTAACAGCCGTCAGTGGGGTAAGTTAACCTCCTTGTTTTAATTCTACCAACCTATGATTCACATATACTGACGACTCTGCAGGCTCTCCCACCCAAGATCCGCCTTCGTCTCCGCGTGACTTACGCAAAGGACGGGTCTGAACCCACAACCGACCAAGTCGACTGGTCTGAATCGTAAATAACGACCTTCATAACCTACCTCTTCGTACATGCCATGTTCTAGAAAGTGTCAAAAAGGATTCTGTCTGCTTGGGTGACCGCGATCTGATCTACGTATCCGATCGAGGTCTTCCTACCACATAGTCTTTATAATACCATACCTCATCAAATCTACCTTATTCAAGAAGCTAAAATGAATGATGAAGATCATAGAAAAGCGCAGTTTAAGCTCTGGGTCCTTTCAATCGTATTTGCGCTTCTATGCTGGTTTGGCGAGTGCCTAAGCGGGGCCCATACGCCTAACTTACTAAGGCTTACCCTTTGGACCTTTCCAATTAAAAGATTCTGTAGTCATCGCACCAGGTTAATCTTGCAAACGAGTCATTGTCAAAAAGATGACAATTCAAAGGTCAGGGTATTTCTGCCCAATATATATCCAGGCAGACCGCTACTGTTCACAGACTTGTCTATATAACTACACAATGAAGAACATCGAAACCTGATACTACTCTAGTACAGTTGAATATTGAATATATCAGATAATAGAAAATAAGGTGTGATGATAATATATGTGTATTTCAAGTATATAAATAATGTGATGATATCAATGCAATGGATAGGTATGGTTCATAAGTTCTGGAGAAGCCATTTCAGAAATCAAATCTCGTTGGCGAGGTCGTTAGTCGTTAATAAATGTAGATGTGATAATCAAAAAGTCATATAGATAGTACTCCGTCCGGGTCCTGATTGATCCCCAAGGCACCGATGGCCAGTCGCCCCTGCCAACCCCATGAACGCATCAAAAAAAACAAGAAGGATGAAACACACACACACACACACACAGAGAGAGAGAGAGAGAGAGAGATAAAAGAAATTTCCTGTATGTATCCGAGTTAAGCGCCGACGTGTAAACCATGGTGACTGACTGATGCAATAGTGAAGGTGAAAATAAGATAAAAACAAGATAGTACTGATGATAGATCTCTATATGCGTCGAGACGGATGATTCAGATGTTGTCTGAATTGCTCGACTGAGTATCTAGAATATGAACCGTTTCTCCAACCTGAGGAGTGATGCAACCCAAATGATGCGATATCGTAGAATCATGAAATGAAAGAATGTGGAGGATCAAAAGCAGACAGGATATGAGTTTGCTTTTGACCATATCCTGTCTGCTTTTGATCTCTCATGCAACCGTAGATGATAAAATCGATTAAAACAAAAGCTAGTATGCGGATTGGCGTCTGCCCACTGGCGGAGCATATTTATCGTGGTACGACTGAGAATGTGCAGCCTGGGGGCGAATATAATGGATATCCGGCTGAACTTCCCGCGCGTGCCTAAATTCTTTCTCCATCTGCCGTGGGTCCTTCTCGACTTCCCGATAGAGAGGCCGACGAGTGGATGTGGATGCCTCTGGAGGATAAGCATAGGTGGTGCTCCGCACAGGCTTTTGTCGCTCCGGACGAGGGGGCGAGTACGTTCTTGAGTGTCTCAGGGGTGGCGGTGTGCCAGTACTGGGCTCTACAATAACCGGCTCAGGCCTGCTTTTGTAGCGAGGCTTGGGTGAAGCATCCACAGTCTCCGGGGTTGGACTTGAGCTTGCGTAACCCGAGTCAGACTTTTCGCCTCTCAGTCTTGTGTACATGTGAACTGGCTCTGACCGACGAGTACTTTCGCGATTGGACCGAGATTGAGGACGAGCTGAAGACTTGGAGGGCTGGGCTGCTCGGGGAGATGACGAGCCCATTGGGCCAGGGAACGTTGCCGCAGTGGGCATTGAAGGTACACGAGGTTCAAGATGCTCAAACGAACTGTGGTGGGAGGTGGGAGGTCGTGATTCCCGGGGAGAGCGCCTCGATCGACTTGAGTGTTCTGGTTCTGGCGAATCGTACCGGAGGGGTGAACGAGAAGAACGGTGGCGTCGGTCGGTTTCAGCGATAGTTTCCTTCGAGCGTCGGATGTAATCCCTTGCGCTAGAATACTGCATGTCGTGCTTGTCATGCCCGTAGTCATCGGAATAATCGTCATCGTCGTAGTGGGTCTTTGACCGGCGACTTGACTCGGTCGGTCTAGGCTTGGAATCGCGATGGCGCTTGTGATCCGATGGCCGCTTGACAGGTATGTAGTACAGTACTTCAGACCTACCTGAATCAGAATCGGAGTAGTCTGATTCTACAAAACCGTATTTGTCGTGAGCCTGGCGCCTCCGTTCCTTGGTTCGGTATTTGTCCCGATCCGCTCGGGTGGCTTTGGCGGACTCGCGAGCTTCTTTTGCAGCTTCCTTTGCAGCACGAGCAGTACTTGAAGCATGTGCCTTTGTCCTCCGTTTCTCCTCTGTAGCTCTCGACCGCGGGCGAGCCCCGTACTCTTCGTGTTTACGCGATGACGGCCGTGGCGATTCGGCAAATCGAGCCTCGTCCTCAAAGACAACGTCAGGATCGGCTGGGACTCTCTCTTCGTAATAACGACCGTCGCGGTACTCGCGAGTATTCGACCGAGAGTACGAACCACCCCGCGACATCATCTCACGCTTCAGTTCTGCCAATTTAACCTTGTTGTCATATTTGGCTCTGCTCGTTTCGTCGGAGAGGCACTCGTAGGCTTGTTGTACTTTCTGGAACTGGTCCTGGGCGTGGCTGCGTTGCGACTCGTCCTTGATCTTGTCGGGATGGCATTTCAGTACGAGCTTTCGATGTGAAGATTTAATCTCGGTCAGAGTCGCATCTTTCGCAACACCGAGAGCCTCGTATGGGTCGAAATCCGGTAACACAGCCATGATGTTGTTAAAAGGTTTGTCGGCGATAGACAAACCGGTCTGTATACCATCAAAACTTGGGGAGGATTGGGTAGTAGAAAGGGGTTGAAGAGTTCGGAATGATCGAGGTCAGGCAATGGAGTATTAAACTGATTCAAAAGGGCGGCGACAAACGCACGGATTGCCGGACAGCGAGGTATGGAGATGCGGCAGTGGCAATAATCAGCCACTAGACATAGCAGGCCTTTCCAGAAGGGGAAGTGGATGCTTTATAAGACTGGAATTGCACGAAGAGAGAATGTGAGCGGGATAAAGCGGGCATTAACATAGGAGGATCACAATCGAATAATGACAATGACAGTCAATAGTAGTGAAGACCGAAGACCAATGCACCGCAGCCGTCGGTTCCAAGTTTCCCCTGAAGGAGGAAGATGAAAGGTACGCTGTATGGAATGGTATGGTAGTGTCGAGAAGGTGGGTCGGCGACCAATGGCAGGCCGCAACGGGCTGCCCGAGTGTGGTTACTTTGGCAGGAACGGGTAATGGCGGTAAGTAAGACGTAAGAATACGCTGCTGACCAGAGGGGCGAACCAGTCGGGCCTAGGAACCTGGACAGCGCAACGGAGGCGGACTGCGCCACACTGTGGAAATCGAAGTGCAGACTAGCCAAGTGGCCAAAGAAAGAACAAAAGGCTCAAGGAGTGGAAGAAGCGAAGTGAAGGCAAAAGATCGGCCGGTGTTGAGGCAGTGGTACCACGTCAGGAATTAGTGAACACTTGGTGATGAATAAGGCTGCCGCAGACAAAACTGGATGATGCTGGATGATGCGACAGAGCAGGGAGTCTGCGAGGAGATGAATGAGGGAATTTGCCGCAGAGTTCTTGGGCTTTGCATGATTTCAGTTCAACTCATTCTTGAATGATTCTCCTTGGTTCCAATCGTACCTGAAGACGCAGAGGCGGCGGTGAAACCAGCCGAATTGGGAGATGGTGAGGGGAGTCTGGAATGAGCGGTGACAGCGGTCAATCATCGATGATTGACGGACAGCTGTTCCGGCAAGTTGAGAACTGGCTGCAGTTCTGGGAGAAGCTGGGGATGGAAGGTGAGAAGACGAACTGGGAGGATGGGAGGGAGCAGCTGGTGGATGTGATACAAATATACGGTTGCCATCTCTACACAATCAAAGCGGATCTGATCCATACTCTTCTTGGGAGAAGCCTCGTAGCGGAGACAAGTTAGACAGCAAGCTGGAGCTCCGCCATCGATCCATCCTCCATTCATCCTCGGGCTCTTACTTGTCCTCACGTTGGCCGCCCTGAACCTTCACCGTGTACAGCTTCCTTTCTGCCCAGGGTCATCCAGCTCTGGTGGCAGATGAGCAGCAGCCAGGCTGCCCCGGCGCCCGCGCTGGTTGGCCGGCCTCCCAGACATTATCTGCTGGCTTTATTTTCTTTATTGAGTTTCAAAGATGTGCACGTTGAGAAACCCGAGTGTCATCCCCATCCTCTCAGAACCCCGCACTAAACTCCAAGCCGACAAGCAGCTTCACGGCCACTCTCCTTCGCTGTTGCTTTTGCCTGTTCAGGGTGCGAGGGGCGCTCTTTTCCATCCAATCACCCCGCCCAGACCGGCGTCGCGTTTCTCGTTCGCCCGCCTCACCGAAGATGATGCGGTTTGGCCTGCGTGGTCTCTGCAGCCTCGAATTGGCTCAGGCCCTCTGCTGCTGCCCCTCCCCCTCCTTCGCTATCGCCCAACCACGGCCGCCGCTCTTAGCGCCGTGGAGGGGCCTTGTCTCTCGCATCCCATCAATGATCACCCACCTGAGGTACGGCCGACTGGACTCGCCGGAGTCACAATTCACCACCTGGCCTGTTTCGTGAGTCCGATGCACGGAGTCCCACCACCTACTCCAAAGAGTGCGTCAACCCATGTTGTTCCTGGCTCTTCTGCTGGGCCCATCCACGGGTACAGCCATCTTCGATCCGATCCCGGCCTCGTGTGTGAAACGGTCCCATGGATGTGCCCGGGAGCTTCCGTGCGTGGGACCACAGTGCCTGTTGACTGCTCATTTCTTTCCCTGCAACAGCCTGCGCGAGAGCCTGGCAGCGGCCAGCTTTGTTTGTCTCGACCTGTATCATTTCGTAATCGCAGGGCTGGTGCAGAGCAGACCTGAGACTAAAACGTCAGTCAACAAACGGCCTGTTGCCGTAGCTCGAGCACTGTGGTGCGAGTGAAATCTGTTGATCAACCGAGATTCGCCAGGAGTCACTAAACCAGTGTCGCTGACGTGCGTGGATCAAGAATCGGATGATTCAAACCAGCACTGGGGGAGCTTGTGCGTCCTTCGGCGGTTAATTTGTCACAAGGTGCCTTGAATCACATCGCGGGGGTGCCTCCGGACTTTACGCGGACAGGTCCAGAATTAAGTCACTCTGTGGACCAATCAGTCTCTCAGTAGATTCTCGTTTTCAAGCCAGAATAACAATATACGCGAAGGAGGGCTGGAGCACACGCATTTATTCCTTCAAATCATGGACTCGGCGCGCGACATAATACCAGGTTGTCAGATCATCTTGCCTGGCCCAAGAGCCTTGGTCTAAAGCACCACTACTGCGTGAGCGTGACAAGACTCCGCGCGTGGAACGCAATAGATCACTTCTCGAACACGCCATTAGCCCGAGTCATCTGCACGGGGGCTGAAGAAAAGGTACGTACCAGCACCCTTGACCATCCTAGCCAACCGACACTGCCGCTTCCTCAGTTTCCATGCAATGCAGTGATTGTCCTGGCATGGAACTAATATAGCTCGATGTTGTGCTTCACTGTCTGAGCACACCACATCCAATAATAGCCCCATGATAGCCTCTTGCTGAGATTGTCAACCCTACTTCTCCTCAAGCAATAAGAACAAAATCACCCTACCAAAGAAGATGAAGAACGAGAGTCTCGACGAATCCGAAACATCATGCACCCCATGATCAAGGAGAGAGGCCGCGAGGCTCTTTCCTTCTTCGCCCATCCAAGCCTTGAGATCTTCCCCCACCATCTCGGAACCAAGAAATATCCTTCACAGACTAACCTAGAGTTTGACTAAATTTCCTCCCGCTGTATCATATGAGGCAACCATCACCAACCTATCCTGGATGAACAGTTCGCCTCGCGATATCCTGAGGTGATTCCCCTCCCCTTCACCCGGACCGAGATACGAAGAGGCCAGACACTTTGACCCCGGGCCATGCATCATATGTCCCACGATCTTCAGGATCATGAAAATATCAACAGCATGCAAGCGTGAATGCTCCTCTGTTCGACCAGCTCACCCTCGCACCCCCAACTTACTCCAATACTCTGCTCAGGAGTTCGCAGCCATGATATGCAGACGCACGCCTGGTAAGTCACCTAACTAGGCGATCAATGCAGCTTCCAAATTTTTTGGGGGGTCTGATTAACTCTATTAACCTACGTGCTGGACTCATTGGGCGCCTCGTTGATAGAGTGCATGCTATTGAAACAGCGAGGAGCGATTGCCTTTGGCTTTTGTGAGCACGGGCGCACTGTCTACCTGCAGCAACTTGCTCTGCGGACCATAGATTCAGTTCGAGTGACAAGGTTCAGACTCACGTTGGGGTGGTGGACATGTTTGGGGATACAATGAAACAACCCGCTCGAAGCGCGCACCATGGCTGAAATCTATGTGTGGTTAGCGCGGCAGCCTGCTTGACCTGATACTCACACTTGCTTTCTGCAAGAATGTATATGCAACCGTCCTCTGTAACCAGCCGCAAAGAATGTCTTTAATGCACACCCTCGTCCATTAAAGCGGAGGTATGTCTCCCCTATCGTCCCTGGGGCGCCGAAGCACGGACTCAGCTCGCCATCGCTGTAGATCGTCTAACGGTCTGTCCATATCGGGCGCTTCCGTATGCTGGGTCTCGCCCGCCTGGACCCGAGAGTCTATCTATCTAAAGAAACAGAAAGACTGGCGGATAGCGGCCGTACCCATTCTCCCGACACATCCATGTACAGGTCCCAAGGCAGTAAGCCTGACCCGTCTCACAACAACCACAACAATATCGATGCGGGATATACTTACTCGATACAAGGTGAGGGATTTCGATGCGTCGGAAACCAAGTAGGCTACCACGAACTAATATACCGTCCTACTACAACTAGCAAATACTCCTAGGTTGTAATGCACGCCAATACGGCCTAAACAGGGTATATTGTGCGTCTAGGATTCTCCTCCGCTAGATGTAACCTATACAAGCAAAGTATCTACCCGTATTACTCGCTTGCGTAGATGCGTCGCACGTTAAGCGTGAGAATCTATCTACGGGCAGGCTTAGTCGAGCTTTCGCGAGGCCGCCCAGCCATTCGGCGCCCCATTCCACTTCTACCTCCTTACGACTTAGTATGCGTATGCACTGCTCAGCCCTGCTGTCAGCAAGATGCGGGGGCCTTTTTCTGTACTATCTGCGAACTCAGAGTACCGAGGCGGAGCTGGAGCAGGGCTGGGTTTATTGATCTGCAAATGTTGATGATATTTTACTACTATTAATTACCTTTATTACCACTATTCTATTCTGGGGTCATTTGACAGCGCACCTGTTCATGGAGAGTTGGCTGCACTGCAGTACCTATGATGTCATTGCTCGTGTTCTTGCGGGCACTCGGCAATCAAGTTGCTGATCATCCAACTGGTACAGATGATCACATAGTGCGTGGTTCGAGGCCTCGGGGGATCACAATACGTCCAAGCAGGTTTTCAGGGGCTACGTCAAAGTGCAGGTCAAGCCAAAGGACCATTTGCCAGGTATGGGGAATAATCTGGGCGTGAACTGTAGGTAGTCGGTCCATTGCGTTGATTAAGTATCATATCTCCATTCTGACCATGTTAACTTAAGTGGCTATGGCGACTATTCCGTCCAAACCGGCAGCTCAAGGTCAACAATTATAGGCCCTGGGTAGAACTTTCTGCCTCCCCGATGCGGCCAGTTAGACGCCATGATGGCAGCATTGACAACGCATGTTTCGCGTCTTTGCGCTTGGAGCCCCTCTGTGTCAGTTTTCTGAGCTTCGGATTGCGTTTTGTCTGAAGCTGAGAGCCCATGACCCTCCTTGGGGGCTTGCGGCGGAAGTAGAGCGACATCTTGGTGGGAGTCCAGCGACGAGAAAGAAGCTTTTGCCCCGGAGAACCCATCATTATCAAGCTTCGAGGCTCGTTTGCCTGTCAGATCAACAAGGCTTTGCTTTTTGCTCCCCTGAGGCGGAAGCACACCTTTTACCACTTGGTCCCCGACATTTTTACCCTCTTGTTCACCCTCCTTGGATACAGAGGCCCAACGTACCCGCTCAAAGCCCCTTGACTCATGGATATGCCCACAAACAGCCAGACAGGGTCTAACCATTTGCAGCCTCCTCTTCAGGCCCAAACACCCCATCGATACCCCAGATGCCCTATCACAATGCAAGTGAGGCGGCATATGTGTGACAACAACATCAGCATCCAATGGAATCTGTTTCCAGAGGCTCTCGGCCTCGTCGGACTCGTATAGAAAGGCCCAGGAGCCCCCGCATTGTGAGTACGGCGAGCCGAAGACCTTAAAGACGGTGTTTGGCCCATTAGGCCGGCGCAGCCGCACTAGTGCTGACTGGTGCTGGAGGAATACGACAGACGGCGAGGCGTTGGTGACAATGTCTATGCATTCGGATGGGGATTGGATCTGCTTGTTGTGGATTTTTGGCCCGTGAAGTTTGTAGAATGGTGTGTCGAGGGTTATGTCGTGGTTTCCTGTGTTTCGCTGCTTTAGTTTACATGGTAAAGACAGTAGAGCTTCCTACTTAGGCTTGCCTTGCATGAAACCCTACACATACTGCGGTTGGGGCCGGGCGCTTAGTACTAACCGCAAATGACAATCTTGACTTCAAAGTCCGCAGCTGCGATCCAGTTCATGGTTTTGCGAAGCTCGGATTTGCTTCCTTGATTTGTCAGGTCTCCGGCGTGGATCAGGACGTCGCCTACGGGGAGTCTGAAGCCAGCCTCAGATGGCGTGTAGCCATGCGTATCGGAGACGCATACGAACCGTGTCTTTCGATACATCGCTGTTGTTTATGGTTTCTGGTTTCTAAGCACTTTGCCTCGGGACCTGTCCGTAGATTAGATTAATATAGGTGGTTTTCTCAGATGACTCATTTGGCCCTCGTTGTGCGGCTGAGCGTGGTACTATGCGTGTGGTGACTTTTGAGATTGAGCCAACGATGACTACGTGAGCATGTACGAGAGAATGGACTATTCCAGAATGCTGCCGCTTTTAAAGGACGGTTATGTAATCATTCGAATTCTATCGGGGTCGCGACTTTGATACTCGTGGATGCTATCCACCACTGGCTTGTCGCGAAGATTGTTTTGCGAGGAAGATCAATTTCCGTGTGAAGCACGAGGTGAAGAAGAACGGCGCAAAGCGGCGTATAGCCCGAGATTCACGGTCAAGGTCGGAAAAGGTCTCCGCTGTATTCTCAAGGATCTGGAGGTCTCTGGCGAAGGTGTGCGCCGTGGGAGAGGTGATGAGGTGCCGGAAAAGTGATACGACGGCAGTTAATATAAACTGAGCATGGATCCTGTTTGACACAAATGGGGTTAGTCCTCCGGTGGGGTGTGGAAGTCCGCCACGTACCAGTAAGTATGCCAGTTGAGGAAGTGTCGTATTCGAGATATATACAACAGCATGGTTCGTGATTCTTGGTAGAATAGCTCGGCGCTAGAAGGCAGGAAGGTCCAACTATGTGGAGAAGTCAGACTGTAGGCGTTGCTTGCTCCGTGGATTTTGCCCAAGCAGAAGTAGTACTCCAGGTGTAGGTTGACTCCCCGTAAGCTTAGATCATGGAATGTGTAATCTGGTGCATCTCCTGTTGCAAAGACATCGGGCCAGCAGCTGGCAGGAAAGCTAGACTTTAGAGCGTTTAATTCTTCATCCAATTCGCGAATATACTGAAGGCGCCTAGCCTCAGGTTGCGCGCGGCCGTAGTCGGAATATAGGAGAGCATAGATCTTTGATTTGATCAGCGCGAGGCGAAGATCCGACGTATATAGGAGAACCTGAGAAGATAATGGGCGATGGAAGAAATGGTCATGCGACCAGGACGAAATGTAGTTGTCAGGCAGCCGTAAGTCACAGTCAATGTCGTTTGTCAAGGGTGGGCGTCCAAAACGGATCGCAAGTTCCTTGTCCAGACTATAACAGTGCCAGAATATAGCGCGTAGATGCACCCCCTCTGCCTCTCGAATGGCAGAATAACGATTTCCCCCTAGATTGTAAAGAATGCGGACGGCGACTGCTAGTAGGAAGTCCGCCGTTCTCGTGTGACCAATGGGCAGAAGATATGTGACCTGATGGTAAATAATAAGTTCCGTTCCAAATTATAGTAGTGACAAAACTCACAATAATGGTAAATGTTTCGAGTGTCCTCAAATTAGCAGTCTCCATCAACAGTCGGGGCAACAGTGACAGTGTAGCCCGGAGGTAGGAATCCGGGTCGGTATTAGAGAAAGCAGGTTCAAGACGGTGTAGCTCTGTTACCAAAGCTGTAAATGCAACTAAGCAAGCCAGATTGGCTATGTGGGTGGGTTGGGTTTGGTTGTCCAGGATATTCTGATCGAGCAATGTTTGTAACACTTCGACGTTGGCAATTGGGAAGACTGAATACAGCCCTGTTTTCACAAATTGGTGTATACAGGTTTGAACCAAATTTTGTGAAGGCCATTTTTGTGATGTAGTTCTTTCTGGATCTCTAGAGCTCGGAATCCCAGAGGCATTCGGCAACCCCTGTAAAAATCTATCAACATCAAAGGCACAGCCAGTTCGTAGATGAATAAGTGAAGAGAAGGAGTCTCTTTCAGCTGATCCAGCAGCTCCGACTCCGCATAATGCAATATGCGTTTGAAACATTGCCAGAGTAGTTTCAACATCATGGGGATCTTCTAAATACCCAGAAGACAGGCTGTCAAACGAGCTTGCAGACCCATAGCGATAATAGGGTCTCTGTAAATCTCTCTGGACTATTATCAATTCTTCTAGCTCCCGTATTCGCGATTTAGCTTCCGCAAGCTGCCTGGGAAAGTAGTATTAGTAACAGAAAGATCATGGGAGGGCTTCATCTCGCGTACTCCTTTGTGTTACTCCTTACTGGAGGTGATCTCCGTGTCACGGTGCAATGGGATCCAGATAGGCGGCAGTTTTCACACTCGGGCTTGCCGTTATCACAGCGAATCTGTCCATTATCCGAGGTAAGGATTGTATCCTTGCAGCAGGCTGCCAAACTACCTACGTACTTTCTTTTGTTGACAGAGATCACAGGCCCGTCGTAGCCTGCCACCTCGCCGAGTTGGTGACGGATTGCTCATCCTAGGCTACTAGGCGCTTAGGACCATTAAGGTGGAGACTGGAACTGTTCAGCGGAGATATGAAGAGAAGCTACTGAGACATACCTATGGTCGAGAGAGAGGCGGGATGAGTCAGCGGGAATGCTCTTGCTCCGGCGCCACGTGAACTCCTTACCCCATATGGAAATAAGCATGGCAGATCACTCGACGATCGACATCCTTGTTCCTGGCTCTGTTTCTTCCTCCATCAATGAGATTCATGCAATTCATCAGCATCCACATCTAATATACTGTTTGGTGTCCATGGATTTCACTTCACTCTATCTACTCCAATGGAGGCTCTCCTGGTTCAAGCCCTAGACAATGGCTGACGACGGCGATGACGAGTGGAGGACATGGGAGTAAACCTGCGACTGATGGGAAAGTACACGGAGCAACGTCCTTGTTTGCCCAGCGACTGAAGTATATAAAGGCTATCATGGTCATGGCAGACCCAGATTTTCAATCTGCTCATTACCCTGCAATCCTCCGAGCTCGTGGTTTTGATAATTGAGCAATGCATCTTCTTCAAATCTGCAAGTTGGCACTCGTTGCCACAGCCGGATTTGCTCTTGCCCATCCCGGTGCTCATGAGCCCAGCTCTTTCACCGACTTGGGCAAGCGTAACTTTCTGCGCAGCGCCCGAAGCACCTTGGATCAGTGTGCGGACAAGCTCGAGGCACGGGGAGTCAAGGCCCGTGCCGAAGCCCGTCGTGCAGCTTTGATTGAAAAGTACAGGAAGCGAACCATCTCCATTGAGCCCCGTGACACCGACAAGGTCCTAAACACCTCGCACCATTCTGATCTTCACGTTACTCCAAACACGCCTGCAGACGATCTTTTCGACGCCGATCCAGTCTGCATCCTCGCCCCGGAGGGAGAGATCGGGCCCTTCTGGGTTAAAGGCGAGCTTATCCGCTATGACATCAGCGATGAGGAAGATGGTGTTCCAATCTATCTTGATGGGCAATTCATTGATATCAACACCTGCGAGCCGATCAAGGACCTCTACTGGGATGTGTGGAACTGCAACTCCACTGGTGTCTATTCCGGCGTGCAAAGCGGCATGAACGGCGATAGTGACGATGATTCCAACCTGGATAAAACATTCCTCCGTGGCATCCAGAAGACCAATTCAGAGGGGGTTGCAGGCTTCAAATCCGTTTTCCCCGGCCACTATGGCGGCCGCACGACACATATTCATGTTGTCGCCCATCTTAACGCGACTGTTCTACCCAACAACACGCTCACTGGCGGCTATGTCCCCCATATTGGGCAACTGTTCTTCGATCAGGATTTGATAGATCAAATCGAGGCGACCTCACCTTACAACACAAACACTGTAGAAATGACGTCGAATGCTGACGACCACGTTGTCATAGTCGAGACCGAAGATAGCGACTCTGATCCATTCTTCCAATACGCGCTGCTCGGCGACTCCGTTGAAGATGGCCTTTTTGCTTGGGTCACCCTGGGAGTCGATGTGTCTGCCAATCACGATTCATCAGTTTCCTACGCCGCTACCTTGACCTCCTCTGGAGGTGTGGTGAATGAGAATGCTGGAGGGGGTGGTGGTCCGATGCCCTCTGGCTCTGGCTCACCACCTTCGTGATTTTGCGCAGTGTATACAATCTCCTCGTGAAGAATCAGCCAAGCTTGTTGAGTATTTGGAAATGAATTAGATATGCCGCTGTGCTATGCTTTGGGTTTACATATTGGTTATATATCCTTCTGAGAGTCGTCATTCAATCTAACCTCTAACTCCGACTATTAGCATGAAATTCAGAATTGTGTACCTGCAGTTGTGACCCGGAAGCTGAGACCTGTCCTCCTAGTCGCAGGAACTTAACACCTACTCAGTTATTTAAAGCCAAGGGTGAACCATAAGCATAGAAAGATCAAATGCCTATTGGTGTTTTTGTAGTCGAGCGATATTTCTATAAGGTATATCTACTTCGCAATACGGGCACCATCCTAGGGTTTCAATTTTAGGATATTACAAATTATCCAAGATTTCCCTTTGTTCATTTTTCGATGCAACCATAGAGGAAAGGGTGCCCAGCCTAGCAGGTTTTCAGGCGACTGCCCTTTCGGGTATGGGATGAAGCTGGAAGGAGCAACGGCAACAAGCAGAGCCCTCATAGACTTCTCAGAGCTGCTATCGGATAGCTTAGGTCAACTAATGGTATACACAGAGTGTTTGCATATATCAGGGGTTTGTGTCTCATCACCGTCGCCGACACTTCAACCTTCACAATGGCCCCATGGAGACGCAAAGAAAAACCGCGTCTCGACAAAGACCCCCAAATTTGTGCTCAGACGGATGGTGTGCCGTTCACGACTAAAAGTCAGACGTCGGCTATGGTATCCTTTCGAGCTGTGACAAGATGCTTCAATGACACAACCGGGGCTGCCGGAGCGACTCCCGATCAACCCTCAGAGTCGGTCGGAAAAGTATCAAAACAACATGCAGAATTCGGACCATTAGGCGATCCGTCTCACCTCTATACCAGTGTGGTTTCGGGGAGTAAGATACCCAACCCGGTGGTCGACAATCCTCCCTACTTCATTATCTTGACAACCTATATCAGTTTCCTTGTTCTGATATTTCTTGGTCATTTCGAGGACTTTTTTTCCAGATGGTTCCAACCACGTGCTTACCAACATCTAAAGCCTCAGAATGGGTACGCTTCGTTATATGACGGCTTCGAGAGTTTCTATACCCGACGTATGAAACAGAGAATCAACGACTGTTTTGAACGACCTATATCCGGTGTCCCTGGCAGGCATATTGTTCTGCTAGATCGGACTACGAAGGATAACGTTCATTTTCAGTTGATCGGCACAGCGACCAATACACTAAATTTAAGCTCGTACAACTATCTTGGTTTTGCGCAGTCGGAGGGCCCCTGTGCCGATACGGTGGAAGAAACTATTCGCAGAAATGGAATTGGCATGGCAGGACCATATCCAGGCTCCACGAAGCTGCTAGTCGAAGTGGAAGACCAGATCGCGCGGCTAGTCGGAAAAGAGGCAGCGATTGTGTTCTCAATTGGTTTTGCAACAAACTCCACAATATTTTCAACTCTTGTAGAAAGTGGCTGCTTGATCTTATCGGATGAACTTAATCATGCCTCCATTCGATTTGGTGCAAGGCTTTCAGGGGCAGCTGTCGAGGTCTTTCCGCACAACAATATGAGTGTTCTCGAAGAAAAGCTGAGGCAAGCCATTTCTCAAGGCCAACCACGAACTCACCGGCCGTGGAGAAAGATCATGGTAGCAGTAGAAGGACTATTCTCAATGGAGGGGACAATGTGCAACCTTCCGCGGATTCTGGAGTTGAAGAAGAAATACAAGTTTTATCTCTTCATTGACGAGGCACACTCGATCGGTGCAATCGGTAGTCAAGGGCGCGGAGTGTGTGACTACTTCAAAATAGATCCTGTTGAGGCTGATATCTTGATGGGAACATTTACCAAGTCATTTGGAGCCAATGGTGGTTACGTTGCTGCAGACAGAGAAATAATTGCTAAGTTACGCTGTACCAGCGCTGGCCAAGTATATGGCGAAGCACCAGCACTCCCAGTTCTCACACAGATTTCTTCTACACTCCGGTTGATCGCAGATGAAGATCCCCTCCACTCGGGCGAGGGTTTAGAGCGCATGCAACGCTTGACATTCAACTCGCGGTACCTTAGGCTAGGCTTGAAAAGACTTGGTTTCATCGTATACGGCCACGACGACTCGCCAATCGTGCCGCTCATGCTGTATCATCCCGCCAAGATGGCGGCATTTTCTCGGGAGATGCTGCGGCGCAAGATCTCGGTGGTCGTTGTGACATATCCCGCTACCCCACTGGAGCTTTCCCGCGCACGATTATGTGTGTCTGCAGCACATACTAAGGACGACCTTGACAGTGTTCTGGACGCATGCGACGAGATTGGAGAAGCGCTACAGCTGAAATTCTCTTCTGGGAGATCCGGAGGACTGAAAGAGCCCAAGTTGGATGGCGCAGTATCGACAGGAAAGAAGATCACCGAGCCCCCACATTGGACATTGGCCGAAGTTATTGAGAGGGGGGTCCGGGATGCAAAGCTCACTTTCTACTGAAGTAGTAATAGGATAACAATGAAAGTTATTTTCCGTATGGCTGTCCTGTGAGGTTGTCGAGTTAGTGCAACTCGCCTCACGATCGTACATTATACGGTGGAGAGTGACATAGTCCACCTCTTGCCAATTCCATGGTGTTTCCTCCGTACCATCGGCCGATAAGGTCTTAACGAATGAGAATGTGAGCTGGTTCGCCACTTAACTGAGTGAACTTAAGGCTGGCGGGCAAACTTGATCTTGCGAGGGCTGGAACTTCACGTGACCAGGGGCGGGATTGGTGGTTAGGGCTAAGACCCTCGAGCGATCTCCCGCACAAAAGTATCGCCGCCCTCGCTTAGCGACCGCCAACCTGCGAACCACATCCGACTCCGTTGTGTGCGTTGAACCTGCCCACAACGACAACAACCGCCGACAACATACATCCCCAGGGAGTATCCTAGAGCAGTGCTCTTCCTTTCGCTGGATATTTTCCTTTTGAACCGGTGACTGTGCAGGATGTCCTCTACCGATCCAGTGGTGCGTACCGCCGCCTCCCCGATGACTCGACGGCCGTGATATCTTTGCAACAGGGCAAAGGACCCTTTGACAGAATGCAGTCGCTGACTTGTGTTGGATGAATTTATAGGTCGTCATCGACGGCAAGGGACACCTCCTTGGTCGCCTGGCCAGCACTGTTGCAAAGCAGCTGCTTAACGGCCAGAAGATCGTCGTCGTGAGATGTGAAGCCCTCAACATCTCTGGCGAGTTCTTCCGTGCGAAGCGTACGTTTTCTCTTTTCCGACCCTTTCGCATTTGTTTCGGAATTTCTTTTTGTTTTCGTTTGTTTTGGGAACTTGGACGGGATGGCAAGAAGATGGGCAAAAGACGGAACTTCCGACATTCAATGGAATAGATTGGGAAAATATGCAAATGCTTGGACGCTCGCACATCTGGGTAACAAACGGCTGACATGGTTTTTTTTTCTCCGCCACAATAGTCAAGTACCACGCCTACCTCCGCAAGATCACCCGTTTCAACCCTACTCGTGGTGGTCCCTTCCACTTCCGCGCTCCTTCCCGCATCCTGTACAAGGCTGTCCGCGGCATGATTCCCCACAAGACCGCCCGCGGTACTGCTGCTATGGAGCGCCTGAAGGTCTTCGAGGGTGTTCCTCCTCCTTACGACAAGAAGAAGCGCGTCGTTGTCCCCCAGGCTCTGCGTGTTCTTCGTCTCCGCCCCGGCCGCAAGTACTGCACCGTCGGCAGACTCAGCCACGAGGTTGGCTGGAAGTACCAGGACGTTGTTGCCAGGTACGTATTTTCACATTTCCGGGATGGTGTCTTGAACAGTAACTAACGTTGGTTTTTCTATAGACTTGAAGAGCGACGGAAGGTTAAGAGCAGTGCATACTACGAGCGCAAGAAGGCTGCCCGCCGCCAACTTGCCCACGCACAGAAGTCGGCGAGCGTTAGCGAAAACACCAAGAGCCAGCTCGCTGAGTACGGATTCTAGATTATACCTGGTTGCGCGGCTGGTTGCTTGTGTCTTTGATGGGATGTGTTGAAATCGCGAACGGTTTTTCAGCGAATTTTGAAAGGGAAGCTGGTCGATGACCTTTTTTTTTCTCGTTGTTCCTTCCTTTTCATGGGATCCCACAACATAACATGTTTGCGATGTACATGGGAGGCTGGAGAGACCGGTGTCGTCTTTCAAAACAAAAGTACAATACAGGAGTCGCTTGGGATGAAAAGGTTGTTCAAAATAGCTAACCCATTATTTCGCGCCGTGGCGGTTTAATCCAAGAAATTTTCAAGAGTTCATGACCTGCAATTCGCCTTTTATACGTTCAATCTACTATTTTAGGAGTCCGATTCACGTCAGTTGCATAAGAATTGATCCAAGCTGCCCTCTAGGAAGGCCTAAAATTTTCTAGATCACTAAACACGAAAATGAGCTAATCTTTTATGTCTCATTGCCGATCGTTCGATTTCTTCATCGTCTCGTAGGTGATGGCCTTGGATGTTTCACCCTCTCTATGATGTTTTTGCAGCTACTATATGAAGCCGTACTCGTATGAATTGCACCGTGCAGGCAGCCGCAGCAATCAGTTGACCCATGGTCGACCTGGGAATATAAAGTATTAACAAGTAGGACAATCCCTTGTGTCGTTCTTGCTGGTGGTCTATGAGGCCCCTCCACCGGTGCAATTATGTCCTTCCCTATGCTTTAACATCAATTGTCTTTCACTGCCGAGGAGCGGATCCGGCGTTATCGGATCCGGTGATCTCCGTTGTGCAGAAATAGTAGCATTGTCATTGGCAGTTCTACCTAATTGCAAGGATCAACGAAATGGGCATTGAAGGTTTATGTTGTACCTAGGTAGTGGGTTGGATCGCCGGAGCGGACAGAAGGATAGCGGAAACACTGCGGAAAGAGAGCGGCTGCCGCAATCTGCACCGAACTTGTATGCCGTCAGATTTGACCCTTTCGTCTCCATTTGATGAAAAAAAAAAAAAAGTCCGGCGGTCCAAATCGTGTAATTTCTGATCGAAAATCGAAAATCGTTAGCCTCAGGGGTGAGGGACGAGGCATTCCGGCGTCCGTTAATGACCCCGGAGAGGGATCCGGTTCTCCGCAGAATTGCCCTCAAGACTTGGGCGAGTCTTCCCCGCACTCCACCGAGCCCGCTCCCGACTGGGCTGGGGACCGGACCTTCACGCTTGTCGGGGCTGACGACTCGGCAGATTGTCCGCCATATTAATTGTTCTCCATTCCCGCTCTCCCGCAGAACAAATCACCAGCCCTCGCCTTTGTTTTCGTGGTTGCCATTATCCTTCCGATTCCTAATTCTCGATGTCCGGCGTAAAAACCCGCCTCTCGAGCCTCCTCGGCCACTTCCAACAGCCCCTTGATGCCAATAGCACAGCTGCGCCGGCGCCGGTAAATAGCCCAGGACACAATGTCAATTTTCATACGCTATCTCCGACATTTTTCCTGCCGAGAGCTGCAGCTATAGAGCCGGAGGTGAGTTGCATCTTTCTCGAAAACCGATTGGAATATATTCGCTAACTGTGGTTTCGCAAGGCCGAGGCAATCTGCCACATCACAGCGAATAACCAAGTGTTGCGCAGGACGTACCTGGAGACGGCGGATCGAGCTAGGGGGCTTGCATACTACTTTAAGAAGCATGGGTATAAGAAGGTTGGGATTCTGTGTCCTAATACGCCCGCGTTTCTGGAGTCGATTTTTGGGATTGCAGCTGCGGGGGCTGTTAATGTTGGTATGATAATTGGAACAACCCTGGATAGGGTAATTCGGTGCTAATATAAGTATCCAGCTGTGAATTATCGACTCAAAGAGGACGATATCGCTTATATATTTACACATTCTGACGCCGAAGTTATTATCGTCGACCAGGAGTATTTGCCGCTGCTGAATTCGTTCAGGTCGTCGAAGCCAAATGTCGCGATTATCGTGGATACGGATACAGATGCGACGGAGGGGCAACTAGCTGGACCGTTTAATGAAGCTGTCCTTGAAGGATTGAACTATGACCGCGATACAGGCGCAAATGGTTGGAGTGCCCTTGAGAGCCAGGCGGCGTCTGAGGATGATATCGTTGCGCTAGCATACACTAGTGGAACAACAGCCCGGCCAAAGGGTGTTGAATATACCTATCGAGGTTGCTACCTGGCTGCTATGGGCAATATCATTGAATCCGGGCTTAACTACCAAGGTCGGCGCTGCGGATATCTGTGGATTCTGCCAATGTTCCATGCTATGGGTGAGTCTCTAATATAGGATTCTTCAAAATAGTGCATTACTAAAGTGTGATATTAGGGTGGACGTTCCCATGGGCTGTTACTGCGGTTCGTGGGACTCACTACTGCTTACGGAAGATTGATTACCCCCAGATCTGGAGGTTACTGAAGGAAGAGAATATCACCCATTTTAACGCGGCTCCAACTGTGAATACGATCCTCTGTAACTCCCCCGAGGCTGAGAAACTCTCAGAGCCAGTGCATGTCACTGTTGCAGCGAGCCCTCCGACGCCGCATTTGTTTGAACAAATGACTGGTTTGAATCTACACCCGGTTCACGTCTACGGTATGACGGAGACATACGGCCCTATAACCAAAGGCTACCACATGCCATCCTGGGAGACTCTCCCGCGAAAAGAGAAGTTCGCGCGAATGGCACGGCAAGGACATGGCTTCCTGACCAGTCTCCCCGCGCGCGTGATCAAGACTGAGGTACCGGAGGGAACCCTCATCGATGTACAGCGGGACGGAAAGGAAATCGGCGAGATTGTTTTTATCGGTAACATCTGCGCCAGGGGCTATTACAAGGACGTCGAAGCTACGCGGAAGCTATTCGCTGGCGGTGTCCTCCATTCAGGAGATTTGGCTGTCTGGCATCCAGATGGGGCAATTCAGATCCTTGATAGGGCCAAGGACATCATTATTAGCGGTAGTGCTATCCCTCCCCTTGTTTTTTTCTTGTTTCTATCACACTGACAATAGTATAGGAGGCGAGAACATCTCATCTGTTGCGCTCGAGTCGATGTTGGTTACCCATCCTGATATTCTAGAGGCCGGTGTTGTGGCTGTCCCCGATAGTCACTGGGGGGAACGACCAAAGGCCTTTGTCACGGCCAAAGAAGGAAGGCAACCGCAGGGCAAGGATATTGTTGACTGGGCTAAGAACACTAGCGGAATCAGCAAGTTCATGGTCCCACGAGAAGTGGAGGTTGTCCCGGAGCTTCCTAAGACCAGCACAGGGAAGCTGAGGAAGAACATCCTCCGCGACTGGGCGAAGGGAGGAAGTCGGTCATGACGGATCTGCGCTTAGACGCAAGGTACTTAGATAGACTAGGGATACTATTGGAGTATATCCTATATAGGGCAATGTGTAGTAGAATCAAGGCATCACTTTTGGTTTTCACAAAGGTATTGCATGGCGGCGAGAAAACATTCATTAGAAGGATGGGGAGTGAATGACCAACAACAAGGCTGTCGCGTCAGCATGCTTATCAACAAGCATTATGACCATTTGCCACATTCAGTTGAGTTCAAGAAAGTCAGGTCCAAGATTGATCAGCCGCTTTGGGACCGTGATTCTCATTCTCCGTTTCCGCATTCTAATAAGCAGCCATCGATCGCTCTCTGATCTTCCCCCCACTCACTCATCATCAATCTATCTCCCTTCTTTTCCCTTCTTCTCTCAACAAAGTAATTTTTGCCTCTTGATGCAGCCATCGATCTAAGCGCCAGTCGAGTCCCTGGTCGATAGGGCACCCAAGGTCGAAGCCTGAAAGAGCCGGTGATTTCATTTGTCCCTCTCCCTCCCGCCTTGGATTGCAGCCGCCGCCTTCCCCATCCTGGCGTCGTCAATCACATTCCATCGCCTTAGCTTGCGCTAATAATATCACCTTTCGACCCCTCCAAGATCGAGGACTTTGAGCTCCTTGCGACTCTGATTCGGGAGACTACGCATCCTACTCTCCGAGATCCTGTCCTCCCCCTGCCTTCATCCGCAGTCGCTGTCCCTTCAACGTCCCTCGACGTTCCTCGAACTCCCTGCCATCGCTTTTATTGTGCATTCACCGCAGGCACGCCCAACGCAACATCCCCTTGATAAAAAGCCTGCCCACCTCCGACCGTGTCCTTCGCAGCTGAACACTCCGCGTCCTCCACGGTTTTGTTCGGCACCAACCCGACTCAATAGCGATCGGTCGACGCTCGGCCAACAGAGGTTTACCGGTACTCAGAGGGGTCCTCTGCAGGTCAAGTGACGTACACCCACGGATATACACCTGCCCATGTCGCTTTGAAGTTCAAACAAGTGGACGATTAGGACTTTTGTTAGACCGCAACCACACCCAACCCTGACGCCCGTCATCATGGCTCGCTCCCGGCAGCCCACGCGATTCTCGAGCGAAGCGCCCTCCGAATCCTCAGACTCAACGTCTCCAGAACGTGCCGCTGATGATGATACCGATTTTTTCACAATCCAGCCGAACGACTCGCAGTCGTCGATCGGAGGCGGAAACTCGCGCGATTCACATATTCAAAACGACCCAGCTATCAGATTACCGCTGATCGTGTACTTCCCGCCGGAGATCCTGATATCTATCTTCTCGAAGCTGAACTCCCCGAAAGATTTGATGAGTTGTCTGTTAGTATGTCGTATGTGGGCTGTAAACTGTGTCGGGCTTCTATGGCATCGGCCATCGTGCAATAACTGGGACAACCTCAAGAAGATCACGGCTTCCGTGGGGAAGGAAGACAGCTTCTTCCTATATTCCGGCCTCATCAAGCGATTAAACCTCTCCGCCCTCACAGAAGACGTTTCCGATGGGACTGTCGTTCCATTTTCCCAATGCAATCGGATCGAGCGTTTAACGTTGACGAACTGCCGCAAACTTACTGACAATGGGGTATCGGACTTGATTAATGGTAGCCGGCACTTGCAGGCTTTGGATGTTTCGGAGCTGCGCTCTCTTACAGACCACACTCTTTTCAAAGTGGCAGAAAATTGTCACCGGCTGCAGGGTCTCAATATCACTGGGTGCACAAAGGTCACAGACGATTCACTGATTGCCGTTTCGCAACAGTGCCGATATCTCAAAAGGGTAAGTTTTTTATATTGGCTAAATCCCACGACTCTCCTTGTTCTAACCCTGTCGCAGTTGAAATTGAATGGAGTTGTTCATGTCACCGATAAAGCTATCCTGTCTTTCGCTCAAAATTGCCCTTCTGTCCTCGAGATCGACCTTCAAGAATGCAAGCAAGTAACAAACAAATCGGTGACGACCCTTATGACAACGCTACGAAACTTACGCGAACTGCGACTCGCTCACTGCACGGAGATTGACGATATGGCTTTTCTCGAGCTCCCCAAAAATATCTCAATGGGCAGTCTCCGTATACTTGATCTGACGGCATGCGAGAGTATAAGAGATGACGCTGTTGAATGCATCGTCACTGCGGCCCCGCGGCTTCGGAACCTTGTGCTCGCGAAATGTCGGTTCATCACTGATCGTGCCGTTTGGGCCATCTGTAAACTGGGGAAGAACCTACACTATGTTCACCTCGGCCACTGCTCCAACATTACTGACCCTGCAGTGATACAGCTGGTCAAGTCTTGCAACCGCATCCGATATATTGACCTTGCGTGCTGCAGTCGTCTGACAGACAGGAGTGTTCAGCAACTAGCAACTTTACCAAAGCTAAGGCGAATCGGTCTAGTCAAATGTCAGTTGATTACAGACGCAAGTATACTAGCACTTGCTCGACCAACTCCGGATCACTCCATCTCGTTCAGCAGTTTGGAACGGGTGCACCTGAGTTACTGCATCAACCTCACAATGATTGTAAGTTTTGTTCCTTCTCTTTTTCCATAGTTTCCCTTGTTCCTACTACAAAAAGCCGAATATCTGACCAGTAATGCACAGGGCATCCATGCGCTGCTCAACAGTTGTCCTCGCTTGACACATCTCAGTCTCACCGGAGTCGCATCCTTTTTACGGGAGGAATTGACAAGGTTTTGCCGCGATGCCCCCGCCGAGTTCACTCGCCAGCAGCGCGAGGTCTTTTGTGTTTTCAGCGGCGAGGGTGTCAACCACCTTCGTGACCACCTGAATCGAGAAGCTGCACCCCAGCGGGACATGAATGAGGCCACCATGTACGATGACGATGAAGAATTGGAAGAGGAAGAGGGCCATGCGACGGGCCAAGTGACGGGCCTCATGCATGCCACCGCGATTCACGATGACGACTACATTGACATCACACCTCCTCATACTTGATACCCATGTCTTCTGCGGCAGCTTATGATTTTCATCAGTATTATTTCTTCCTCTTTCCTCTAGCCTGATTTATTTTTCCCAAGTCTGTTAAGCATGTCTTACTATCATGGATGTTATCTCTAGGTCTTGTCGATATTTTGGGCCACGGAACAAGCATCGCTTTCGAAGCAGGGCTTTTGTGTTTTATCTGGGCATTGCATTGGTAGCGGTTATATGGGGGATTCTACCCTACTCCTAGCTATTCTTCTTTTTTTCTTTTTTCGGCCGTGGGTATATTGTTGACGATTGGCACATACTAGTATGAAGATTTCCCGTGGGGATCAGACTATCCACCGTCAGATGTGGAATAAAGTAGATATCTATTGATACTGGTGATGAGAAGAGACAATCAACCGACAGCTACTGGCTAGTACAGATCATGTGGTTTGTTGATTATTTTTATTAAAATACTAATTACTTTGTATAAGCACTGTAGCATTCCAGTAGGGTAGCCTCGCGCAACATGGTGTAATCTATGCGTATCTGTACCGTATCAGATCCCGTGCCCCGCTGCTTGCCGTTCCGTCATCTCCGCATCTGCAAGCTCAAGCTATCTAAGGCCACAGCAAGCAAGCGCTCGCCAACTTGAGACTCCTGTGATAGGAGTCGAGTTCCGATGGATCCCCCAAAACCACCGAGGGCGAATCCACTGGCTTTCACGCCTTGGCCCGTCACACTTATCACCGCGGCCGTTTATTTGGCCTTTGTTATCCCTTTGCTAGTTGTCCACCATGTCGTACCGTCCGCCCCCAGTTCGACTCCCGATGGCCTGAACCTCACCGAAGCGTGGAGCGACCTCCAAATACTGACGTCTGGATATCGTCCATATAACTCGCGTCAAAATGACAAGATCCACGAGTGGCTGCTGCAACGTATCGGCGAAATCCTCGACACCGCAAACACCGACGAGAAGAGACCGGACACCTTCGTCTTCGACGACACGCGCTCGAACCTGACATTTGCCCGTGACAATCTCGCAGTCTACTTCGAAGGGACCAACATACTTGTGTATATCCGTGGTGAAGAGGATGATACAGATCAATGGTGGGAGCTCCCCGAAGGACGCCCGAAATCTAGGGGTGGCGTGCTGGTGAACGCGCACTACGATAGCGTCTCAACGGGATACGGCGCAACAGATGACGGAGTCGGGGTGGTCACTTGCTTGCAACTGATTAAATATTTTACGACGCCGGAACATATGCCGAGGAAGGGGTTGGTGGTGTTGCTTAACAACGGCGAGGAAGTTTTTCTGAACGGGGCGCGGGTATATAGCCAGCATCCGCTGTCGAGATTCCCACACACATTTTTGAATTTGGAAGGTGCGGGCGCTGGCGGCCGCGCTGTGCTCTTTCGCAGCTCCGATGCTGAGGTTGCAGCCTCTTATAAGCGATCACAGCACCCTTTTGGGTCTGTGCTAGGCTCTGATGGGTTCCAGACAGGTCTGATCCGGAGTCAGACGGATTATGTGGTATTTGAGGGTGACATGGGACTTCGCGGTCTCGATGTCGCATTCTTGGAGCCGAGAGCTAGGTATCACACGGATCAGGATGATACAAGGCACACTAGCAGGGATTCCTTGTGGCACATGTTGTCAACGGCAGTCGCGACGACAGAGGGCTTAGTGTCTGACTCGAGCGATCGATTTGAGGGCCCGCCTAGGGCTGATGGCAAGATCGCAAGTGGTACTGGATCTCAGGCTGTATGGTTCGATCTGTATGGGAGCGCGTTTGTGCTCTTCCGCCTACACACTCTGTTTGCGCTATCGGTCACTCTCCTAGTGGTGGCCCCGTTTGTTTTGCTTTTGACGAGCATCATTCTCACCAAGGTCGACAGAATGTATCTTTTCAGAACGAAGGTACGGCCAGAGGGTAGCCTAGACGTACTCTCTCTATATGGTGACCGGGGATTCATTAGATACCCTTTCTTGCTTGGAATTCCAACTGCTGTTGCTGTGACCCTGGCGTACTTGCTCACCAAGGTCAACCCGTACATTATTCACAGCAGCCAATACGCAGTATGGAGTATGATGGTATCCGCCTGGACCTTTTTCGCCTGGTTTGTATCCCGTGTTGCCGACTTTGCTCGGCCATCTGCATTCCACCGCGTCTATACCCTCACCTGGACTTTTGTCCTGATGTGGGTTCTGCAAGTCATTGCGACTATTTACGAAGACCGCTGGGGACTGGCGGGAAGTTATTTTATCTTTTTTGGATTTTCAGGAACGTTCCTTGCTACTTGGATTTCCTATCTTGAGCTCTTTTCCCTGCCGCGAAAATCGGACTATGCAAACCAATTACAGCCGGTGTCCAGACGAGCCAGCAGCTATGGTAGCCGGCTTGGAGGCCCGTCCGACGATGATGAGGGAGATGAAGACGGAAATGATGAAGAACCGACAGAGTCGACCTCACTGCTTGGTAGCAGACAACGAACCACATTCGCGAACTACGTTCGTGTGACCCCAGACAATGCAGACCAAACAGATAGCGAGGAGACTACGCGTGACATCAATGTGTACGGCCTCGAGCAGCGATGGAGCGCATCCTTGCCAAAATGGCTATGGGTGCTGCAATTCCTTGTCTCCGCTCCCATTGTCCTCATCTTGGTTGGATCCCTGTCCTTACTGCTGACCAGTGCACTCCATCAGACCGGACAGGATGGAAGCTCTACGCTATTCATTTATCTTGCTATTGCCGTATTTACCACACTTATCCTCAACCCTGTTTTACCGTTCATTCATCGGTACACCTACCATATTCCGGTTTTCCTGCTGGCCGTCTTCGCCGGGACTTTGATCTACAACCTCGTTGCTTTCCCATTCTCAGACTCTAGCCGGCTCAAACTATTCTTCCTCCAAGAAGTAGATCTTGACACTGGCATGAACACTACGTCATTGACGGGCGTTCAGCCATTCGTTTACGACGTTGCCGTTGGTTTACCGAGTGCAGCGGGACAAAACGTCACTTGTGAAACCCTTGGCGATAGAACGAAGTGTTCCTGGGCAGGAATTCCTCCACAAGTCGTCCCAGGGGACAGGCCTCTGGAAGACTGGCTTTCCTTCGAGATCTCCAAATCCGCCGAAAAGCGTCGCCACGCCCAGTTCAATATAACTGGCCAGAACACCCGCGCATGCAAGATTCTCTTTGACACCCCAATTAAGAGCTTCCATGTCGCCAACTCCGCATACGATCCACGGTTCCCAAGCACTTCCCCGAAGGGGATTGAAGAAATTCGGCTCTGGAGTCGTACATGGGAAGATACATGGACGGTGGACGTTGAATCGTACAGCCCCGAAAATGCAGACCCCAGTGTCACTACAGGCCCCCTGACCGGAAAGGTTGTTTGCCTCTGGAGCGACTATAATCAGCAGGGCGCCATTCCTGCGCTCGATGAGGTACGACAGTATGGCCCTGGCTGGGTGGGCGTAAGTAAATTAGCCGATGGGCTTGTGGAGGGCCGCAAAGCGTTTGAGATTAGCTAGTTAGCTACTACATACTCCGTAGTGGTCTACTCATATACATTCTCATAGTAATAATTTCGGCGTAAGGGTTATGAGTTGCGCATAATCTTAATATATATATTTATTTATTTATCACGTTCCATCAGATCTCATCGGTCGGCTCATGCGAACTAGCATCTGGTGTGTTTATATATCCTATGTCACTCGGGTTTTCTCTGCAGACAGGCCAATGCCAAAGCTTGAGGCTAGACATTTGTTCGACGAAATACGGTGTGCCATAGAAAATATTAATACCAGTCTAGAGAGATTTTGCTAAATTACTTAATGCCAAAGCGTAGAATGCTACGATATTGGAGGGAATTAATATCAGTTTTCTTTCTTTTCTTTTCTTTTATTTTATTTTTTGAAGTAGTTTATCTTCGTCAACCATGTGCCACGAGACCGAGAAAGTTCCCATTCTCTCCCTGATTTTCTCCAAGGTCTAGATCAAATTCTCATGAGTGAGAGTAAGATCTAGATAGTAAGTATCTAAGTGCGATGGAGGAGTAATTGAATCTTACTACTGCTGCTCCCGTTTTGCGATTTGGGCAGCGTGGGGCCTGGTATGTAGCTTGGTAGGTGTGGATTGAATCCACTATGGGCTCGGGCCTGATTACCACTTGCTTTATTTCGGGCGCGCCCCGTAAATAAAGTTTGTAGGCAGGCGGCCGGGCAGAGAAGGCGGGATTTTAGTCCTCTCTTCTCCACAGGTGTGAGGCTGGTGTTGTATTTTCAACGTCAGCCCCGATTGGTATCGGCAAAACCAAACCCTCGACCTCCATGGAAGTCTCATTATTGCTGGTCTGCGGTTGTGTGTGTGATTGCGAGTTTTATCTGACCGTGATCTCGTCGCTCATTATTCGTTTAATGGTACATGAGGAAAGAAGTGGGTAGTGGAATGGGTCGAGATGTTGAGATATAGATAGATAGGTAGGTAGCACAAGGGCGGGGGGCGCACAAACAGACATGGGTTGACTCATCCAGGGTACGTTGATTCCTTGACGTGTAGGGGTGGTAGTCGCTGGGGTGATTCGGTAAAATCTCGCTCTGAGCATGGAGGGTTATTCGTCTGTGTTTCGCCGCTTAGAGCATGTGAGATATCAGAGTTGTCTGTTCCCGATTCGCGGGGAGGGCCCGAATGTTCAAACATAGCGATGTCGACGTCTTCATCGTCCATGAAGGGATGGAAGCGTTGTCGTGGTCTCGAGTTTGCGTGTGTGACGTCTGAGGTGACTCGCGTGGCATCAACAAAGTCGGGAAGCTCTGCAGGTGCGCCGGTGACAGACTCTTGCTTCCATATATGACTGCTGACAAGGAAGACAAGTTTGCCGAGGACGGCAAACTCAAGTTTCAGTTTGACGCTGTAGACGACACCCTTGATCATTGTTTCCATGATGTAGTAATCCATATATTCGACGACGAGAAGGCCGACGTCCATGAGGATAATCATCAGGTTGATTGTAACTAGCTGATACATGATCTTCCGTTTACTTCTATCCGGGTCCAGACGGAGCATACGAATGGTTTCCCAGATGTACAGCGCGGAGAGGACGAATTCTTGGATGCAGAACCCGGTCATCTGGATCTTCTCCATAACATTGTACCCCGTTTGGTAGACATCATTGTCGCTCGCCAAATTGGAGCCGTAGGTGAAGACAGTAGTGGGGAAGTGAAGAATGACCGCGTTGATGAGGATCATAGCCAGCACCCGGCGAAGGACGCGTGGGTTAGGAAGAACGAGATGTAGTCGCGAGTACAGAACGATGGCCTGACCAGTGACCATGCAATACCAGCCGACGGTAATGAATGTGACGGATAGCCATGTTGCAGATGTTAGTCGGAAGAACTTGAGCAAAAACCCGAGCGAATACGGTATGAGTCCCACGGACGATGACACCAGTAAACTCCAGAAATATAGACCCTGATAGTCGCTGAAAGTGACAAATACAAGGGCGATGAGCTCTATGGCGTTGTACCAGGTAATCCCGGCGAGTGTCGCGATGGTAATCTGGATGCCTAGGCTGGCATCATCCTCTAGGCCGCCAGTGATGCCATTACCGGGTGCACTGCTGTTTCCAGTAACCATGGTGTGTTAGTTCTAAAACAGCTGCTCCTGATTGTGGAGTGAGGTGGCACGAGGCATGGTGTGTATGCGGGTGGGAGAAGGCGAGCAGGAGAGAGGCTGAGGTGGGACTAGGGGGGGTTGAAGAGCGAGTCGAACGGAGACAGATCAAGAGCCGGCTTCGCAGCAGAGGACAAAGGGCAAAGAGAGCGCGGAAAGAGTGAAAGAGAGGTGTTGGAGAAGACGGCAATGTCGAAGGCGATGTCAGGTGAGGGACGAAGGATGGAGTTCTCAGCGAGAAAATACCCCGGATTGTTGCGAGCCCAACTGCAAGTGACAGCCACAACCCACAAGCCCCCAGACTCAGAGACTTGCAAGCGATTCAGTTGATGGATGCAAAGCTGCTCCGTTCAACGACACGAGAGATGCGATCACGAATGATAATAAAGCCCCGAACAAGACCAAGAAAAAGCCCGATGCCCGGGATCCACGATTCAGTCAAGGCTCAGGCATGACAAGCAGAGAAGAGCACAAAGGGAAATGAATCGCAAGCCCAAGATCGGGTCTAAAACAAAGCGAGTAAGTGGGCGACTGAGCAATGAACACCGACGACCCCGACACCAGCGGCTGGGCGATGATAAAAGCAAGGCGATGATGTGCAGGCAGCTGCTCAGCTCGCCCCAATATCAGAACGATGAGTTACAGTCTTACAGAGCCGTTCTCTTCTCCCTCACTTTTCTTTGATGAAGCCTCTTTCTCCCACCCCAAAATCAACCGTGGATGTTCCTCAGCCCAGCCGCTTTCGCTAACCGGAGTCATTTCCCCAGGTCTCCTTGTGCCTTTCCCCCTGCTCCCCAGCCTGTTCGACTGGTTCGGTCAATCAGAATCAACGCCCACCAACCTCGTCGGCGCCTCTCCATCTGGATCACACATGTGGGGCCGTCAAAGAGCCCCAGACCCAATAATGAAACCTCCCTGTCGCAGGAATATGATCCCCGCCAGTGACTTGGTGCTGGAAAACTTGGCGTCACTGGCGACTCTCCGGGGCGCAGTCCGAAATCCGCCCCCCATTGAGATGCTGGGCAAATAGGGAAGCTCTGCGAAATGGTTGCAACTTGGGGGCAAAAAGGGAGTGTGAATGGGAATCATTATTTGAGGAAGTGAGCTACCTTGGAACGGTCCAGGTTTTACATGGGTGAAGCATGGCATGAAAGAAACTCAAAGCGTGGCATGGCGCGCCCTTTCCCCCAGTCTGTGCTCTTTGATCCGGCCACACGGCACATGTCCGACGACCGCTCGCTTTGTTTCTTTCCGCCGCCGTCCTTTGTCCTCCGCCACGGCCTTCTCGCTCTTCCCATGGACAAGTCAGGCCAGCCACATGGATTATTACTGTCAAGTTGTTGAAGCTGACTCAGTCTTGATTGCGTGGAAACATTACATTGGGGAAAAGTGCCCGCGCCTCAGGCTGCACGGGCAACAATGACTTCACCTGCACGTTGGACCAGGGTAAATATTCTTCAACCAACGCGCCATTTAATAATATCCAACACCAACACGAAAACAGTCGGAGAGCAAATTCCCGTCGCAAAATCGGGCACTGCTCCTCACCCGCTTTCATGAAAAAGGGCCTCCACTAGCCGGTACTACGTATTAACCAGAAAAATGGAAGACAACTCCGAGTCAGGTCGGCTAAACGGCCAGTGGAGCGAAACAACCAGGGCTCATGATTGTGACTGGCGGTGGGTGGCAGCATGTCCCGAGTTGACAGTGCCACATAGACAGTTGTTATTCTGGTCACTGGTAACTGTGCGGGGATTCTTTTCTCTCGCTCCTCAGCGAATCGCTTTTCCACTTTTACGAGAATAAATTTAGCTGGCCAGTGGAGCCGATTCTCCAAGCTTAGGAGACGAGACTTTCGCTGCTCGCGACTTGGTGATATTACATCACCAGGCATCTTCTGTCAAACTCGTTTTCCCTTCTCCTGTGAGCCCTGGCGTAAATTTCCCGAAATTTGACAGCCACTTTTGGCTTCCCTTTCGTCGGTCCGCAACGGATGCCCTGGAAGAAACGAGAACGACCGGTCAAACCCGTCAGTGATGGATGGTCGATCAGGCAGTAATTATAGATGCTGAAGACCACCAACCGCACTGCCTCTGTAAGAGTACACTTTCCGGCACTTTGTCCACCGTGGAATGATCGGCCTGCCCCCCAGTCTCTCAGTTACCCAGGGATCCTCGTGCCTTGCACCGGGTTGGGCTGTCCATCTGCGCTGGGCCTCCAGTAGATTGATACTTGCAATATGACACATAACATTGTCCTAGCCTTTGTCCTGTCGGTCTACAATTCCGGATAAAACTCCCACCCTCGCATTCACCGCCAGCATGGCCCCGACGATCCAAGCTTGTCTGACAGGCGGTGAAGCTGAAGAGTTCTAGACATCAGCATTCTCCTCCGGTTATTATTATTCCTCCAAGGCCCGCTGCATCTGCAAATGCCTCTATAGTAACTGCAATTTCTTTTTTAAATCTTGGGACTGACTTAAGACTCGTCGCACCAGGTACCCCTGTTCAACCCGCGGTACGACGCACATCCATGCCAAGACTCAATTCAACATGGCGGATGAACGGTGATAGTGAATGGCAAGCTAACTTACAATTCCACACCAGGTAGGAGTGACAGCAACGGCAGCGTACAGGTACAGCTCACACGCCCGTTACGGTCCACCTTGTAACTTTGGCTGAGCAGCCTGAGCTGCACTCCTACAGGAATCACACATGATCGCCAATGCGCCATACGAGGGCTCGCAAGTCACAACTCTCGTGGGTCTTCAGAGCCAGCTCTGCACAGGAAAAAAAGGTCGTTCGTTGATGTCACGCGATCATCAAGTGACAGTCTCGATGCAAATGCTGTAGGATTGTACGACTCACGTTCTTTCGGCAATGACAGACCAAGAAAACAAGGGATTTGCCACCACAAGCATGCTCTCTGTCGGATGTCTGCCGCCACGACGTTGGTTAAGATCTCTGCAAGCTCCATGCACCCATTGATGGAAAGTGATTTTGTACCTTCATGGATCAGGGTTGCTGATACTTGGTAGTATCCTGGACATCAGATGTGGCGTTTACGGGCTTACTTCCCGTCCCGTTTCAGAAACATATATCGCCAGTCTTGTCTGGTTTGGTCCTCATTCCCCCAATTGCATACGCCCTTGAGTATAACGATGCCTAAGCAATATATTGTTTTATATTAGTTTCCAAGGCCCCTTGGAAGGCTTAGCTACTCCAGATCAGTGGCGCATTCAGAACCTCGCCTCTGTTTGGCTGAGTGTTTCCGCCCCGTAAGAGCACCTATGCATATGCCTTCCTAGTCTGGATGATAAATGATCCACCTTGGTGAACAAATAGAAGCAAACTACAAGTGATGTTGAATAAAGTCTCAAGGTACTGCTGTTCCGTTAGTCACTGGCAAGATAGCCATGAATGAAACAACCTGCAGACGCTCTACCTTCTAGTATCAAACTCCCAGAGACACTTAACGTGGCTAATTAGGAATCAAGTTGCGAAGCCGTGTTAAGAATCCAGCCATCAATGATGTCGGTCGGGCATGAAGACGACACTGGATATGACACAGACGCCTCCAAACGCAATTGCTTCCCCAGTAGACATACAAAGCACATGAAGTTCGTCGCATAGAAATGGTGCATGTTCTGGTGTATATATCATAGCATTGCGCCTTCGGCTGGAGCGGTAGCGTAGGGTTCCTTTAATCTACCTATTTTTGAAAGACCTAACATTAGCACTGTTCCACTCGGGTATAGTAGGACAAAGGAAAATGTCAAGGGAATGGTTAAGAACTATAATTGTATCTGTGTATACAGCTTCCCCAACAGCGACTAGGCTTCCCTTGGTCCCTCCCGTGGTGATGCAGGTTCGAAGACGATGTCTGATAGAGTGGTAGGGCTTATTGATAGCCCTGGTCATTGTAGCATAGCGTCAAGACCTCTGCTCCATCCATCCGAACTTTTACCCATATATATGCATGGCAGGGAGGGATTTCGCAAGAAATAGCCATGTATGGCCTACCAAACAGGAACCCAGATATCAGGAGACCAACAGGGATCGGCAGAGCAGAGGGATTGTTTTTGAGCAGACACCAGACGAAGGAAATTTGTGATCCTGTTTCAATGATGATCCAAGAACGCCAGCCAGCGAGCTCTAGGCGTAGGACGAGGGATGCCGATCTGACGTCGCAACCCGAGAAATGTGTTCGAGTCTTAGAGTGTCTAATGCAGAATCTGTGACGAAGAGAGCACGAGCAGCAGTCAGCCAAACTCCTTTGTTTTGTTTGAGAAGCTCTCGGGCAATCACTTATTCTCAACATTGTTGGTCAGACCATAGCAAGCATGATTCAGGGAGGCCGTCGGACACAGCTGATGCCGAATGACGCTTGGGTATCAAGAGACTTGATCGAAGAAAAGCAGTCAAGGCACACGACTTGTTGGAATATAGGCCGTCAAATGCACCTATGAAGCGGTTTGCCGCCCTGACGAAAGGCGCAAACACGGTGACATATAGAAACAAACCACAGATTTCGAATTCCAAGAAATTTTCGACCCTGGACAGATACTTCGGAAGACGTCAGACCCAATCTCCGTGCGCTCCCCCGAATCTCTGCATGTGGGTCGAGATGCATATTGGGAAGCGCAGCGAGTGGTGGCTAGCAGATGCGGGCTCTTGTCGCACTGAGCTCTCTGAAAACTTTTGCTATCGCATCCGCGTTGCCCCTGGCGAGTAGATGAGGAATATGATGGCTTCGATGAGTATAATTTCGACTAGTTCTGCTCAATGAGCATTGCTGGAGGGCTTGGCGCCACGTCCAATATCTCCATGTGTTGCTGTGCCATCGAGGGCGCGGGGTGACGAGCTCCCGTCTCAAAATAATAGGCCGGGACTGGAATTTTGCAGCCAGTAAACGTCTTTTAACTCATCGAGAAGCATCCATCCCCGAGGCAATGGCATAAATTAAGAAGGGAATGTGCAGCCTTGCAGCGCGGAATGCGGGTAGAAACCCAATTAAGAGAATTATGTCTAGTGGAAGGTCATAAGATCACAGTCTAGAAGCGCGATCGGCTTCCCAACTGTAAATGTGGATATCGACGACCGAACACAACCCAAAATGTCTTTGATCAACGGTTAATTATCTTCATTGGGAGGAATCCGAGTCGTTTTGCCTATCGGGACGGCGAGAGCTGTGGGTTGTTTGTCATCCCGTACAGAATGTCTTCTTGCTCTTGCATATGCCAGAAATTGAGAATTTCAAATCATGTATGCTGTTTCATAAGACCCTCGAAGACATGCTTGCTATAAGATCCACGTAGACAAATCACGGATCCTTGCAAGTTACCGATGGCTGTCTGGCCAGATGTCTTTCGAGCGAGTGGAAATCCAGAACGGAAGTCGTACGGGCCTCAATTTCCATACCTTACTGCAAGAATTTCTGCAAGTTTGACGGAATTGCTATTAGTAGTCGTGTCAATTCCAATGTGCGTCTGAATTCCACTCCACTTGTCTCTTTGTTGAGATCTCCATTAGAGAGATACCAACGCCCATGGTTCTTCTCAGACCGGCCATAAAAAGCGGATGAACTGCTCCATACGAGGAATTGTAAAGCATTGAAACTGTGCCAAGCTTCTTTTGACTCGTTACCATTCACATCGCCAACCATGGCTCCATCTGCTGTCAGTTTCCCTCCTGTGAACCAATTCACAGCAGCCCCCGAAGCGTACTATTCGTCTGGCTTGCGTGCGCGTTTCCTCCTGGATGCGGACCGGTCCGCAGCGAAAACCGAAGGCTCAGCAACCTATGCCAAAATCGGGTATGAAGTCGATGAAATAGCCTATAGGAAGCGCGTCCAGGCGAGCCTCGCAGCGGGAAACTTGCCAACCGAAGTGCCTGCGGGTTGGCCCACACAGATGTCTGGCCCCTTAGTTTGGGACAAAGGGGATTTCCAAGGCGAAGCTGAATATGTATATTACTTGACTGACAAGGACAAGCTTGAGATATCCAACGCTCTGGAAACCTTCAAAGGTTTGTAACCTATCATTTGTGAATAGCAGCGAAGGACTGCACTAGAGCGGCCTCGCCAAAAGTACTAGCTGAGAAAGTTCGAAGTTGACACAAGCGGGAGCAGATTTTGGCCTTGGTGGCCACGAAGTCTCACAGGCAACGTTTCCCCTTCCCTCGCTCGGCAAAAAACTCACGAACGTACGTAACGATGTGTATGGGGGCCGTGGATTTGCGATTGTGCGTGGGTTAGACCCAGATGCGTACACTATGGAGGATCTCACGGTGGTGTATCTGGGAATATCGAGCTACATCGGCGAGCGGCGTGGGAAGCAGGATCAACGTGGTTCAATGCTGAGTATTAATTCCCCTAATAATAGATGAAAAAAAGGCTTTATTCTGATGGGCTTTGCTTGCCAACAGTGCATGTCATTAAGCGCGGCGACCAAGATCGGGACGTCCAGTATAGCGAGGATAAGGTAAGATCGCCCAGGAATTTGGATACTGTTCTCTTCTCTGTTGGGCATGATTGCTGACTTCGTGCACAGCCATTCCACACTGACACTGTCACCGACTGTCTGTGCTTGTTCACCCGAAGTCTGTCTGAAAAGGGTGGCCGAAGTATTCTTGCATCCGCCTGGACCGTGTACAATGAGATTGCAGCAACTCGACCGGATATAATCCATGTTTTAGCAGAGTCTAACTGGCCGTTTGACACGTAAGTATTCGTCGATTTTTCCAACGTCGCAATGGCATTACCCGAGGGATCCCATTTCCAGAAATGCGCCTTATTTCTACCACAGATAAACTAACTAACGGTCAGTTTTGGTCGCAACCCTCCGTACTATACGCGCCCAGTGCTTTTTTACCACGACGATAAGCTCATCACGTCTTTCTCGCGCCGGTTGTTGGTCGGGCATGTGCCATTCGACAAGCGCAGTCCCGGGATTCCTGGGCTCACCGAGGCGCAGGCTGAGGCCCTAGATATGATCCACTTTGTCGCGCGCAAGCACGAAATAAACCCTCGAATAGAACGTGGTGATCTCCGATTCATCAATAACATGGCCGTGTTGCACCGCCGCGAGGCCTTCGAGAATAGCGCTGGGAATGCGCGGCACCTCATCCGAGTCTGGCTAAATAACGAGCACATGTGCTGGAAGCTGCCCCGGGCCCTACAGCTCTCATGGGCGCGCATCTTCGAGGACAGTGAGCGCGAGGAGCACTGGGACCTCGAGCCTCCGCGCAAAGATGGCAAGATCTTGAGAGTTGCGGGATCGTGCGATTGAGTATGCCATTGCTCTTGTCCGCGTCGCGCAGAAGCTGGCCACGGCAGACCAGCAGGGATTGGAAGGGGAGAGACTGAGAGAGGATGGTGAGACTGAAAGTGGAATGAGGGTCTGGGCCTCGGGGACGGAAGGTGCGAGTGGACCGGGACTGAAGAAGAGCGAAGGGGGGAAAGTTGACGGGATGACTGACTAGAAAATTTATCCGCGCCTTTGTTGCGTTGACTTGCCGTCACCAAAAGTTATCTTTTATTTTAAATTTCTCTCCGTCTTTCTTCTTCTACAGGGTGGCACGTGTGCTTGTCATGATCATCATTGTCATTCATAAGTGCTTTCTATCGATTTAAAATAAATGATCCTGTAACGCCCCAGTAAGTGAGAGCAGGCGGCTATTATACTATATTGTCACTCTAAGCAGTTGGCCCCGGCACCCATTCGAGATCATACAACTGTGAAACCCAGTACAGATCGTTCCCGTATTCCCTATTTTCTCGAATTTCGGCCATGCGCGCCACTAAGTTTGGGTCAGATCAAGACGGCCTTGGGTTAGGCGACGGGGAACCAGGAGCGCACTCACTTCGAGCAGGGTCGTTGACGAGCTCGGATGTATTTTTGACAAATTCGAGCTCATCGCTGTCCAGATCAGCAGCGAGCGCCAAGTTGCGTAATGCTTTCTCGTCATATGTTAAGTGGAATGGCAGAACGCCCTTGTTCAGGTAGTGGAAGTGAGCCAACATCGTTCGCATGCCCGTTTGCATCCCTTGTATGCTGACTAGGTTGGCATACCCATCCTGTGTGGTTGCATGTTGGATTAGCATCATCCGTTTGCAGTCGATATTCGAAGGGAAACAAACCTGCAGGGAGTATTCGCGAGCTGTCTCCCAGTCCCGCCTTGTCAACATCGCACAGCTGTGGAGCAAGATGAACAGAGTCAAGTAAATGGTCAGCCAATGCTCGCGCTTGTTCTCCGTGATTAGGTCCTTCAGACTCGACAGCACTTTGTTGCTGAGAGGGCGGAGAACCCTGGTATACATGATGCATTCCATTTGAGCTATCATGATACCAGGCATTGGTACCATTGCATGGAAAGGGCTGTTATAGTCATTCACTGGTATGCCCCCAATTGCTTCATAAGAATATATGTGTTCTGGATTGCTGATTTTGCGGCAGCCGACCCAGAACTTCAGGCAATCCTCAATCAGGGCCTTTTCCCGTGGAGGCTGTGCGGAATACTAAGCAAGGTTGCACATCCTCAGGGGTAACACGGAACTTACGTTTGCTCTTGCCTGATAACGAAAGGCAAAGAAGTATGTGTCCCAGATCAATCGGTCTAGATTGCCGACCGTCCCCAGGATGTACTGGCCCACGTACTTGGAAGTCAACCACTTCAGCACTTCCGCAGCACTCTCCATACTAGCCAGCGCGTACTGTGGCATCCTATGCCGTCGAATGCAATTTCCCGATACCCATGTTGATTCCAACATATCACCCTCAGCTGGGATAAACTTCCTCACTTGCACATTATATGGAGCATTGACGTGGATTTGGGATAGTGTTATCGTCTTAACCTCGGATGATGCCCACTCCGTGATGTCGATGAGGTCCATACTCTGCCACCGTTGACTGAAAAGTTGGCAAGGCATGTCCTGTTCTCGATATAATGATACGTCGGTGATGATCCAGCGGAGGCAAGGAGGTTTCCGAATACTAGGGGCCTTTGATTGATGTGCTCGTTGGCAAGTGAGACAGTCGCCGCCAAGATTCGTGTTATCTGGTTCACACTAGGAAGCCCTTCATTAGCCAAAGAGCTCAAGAACATAACGGGAAACTAGGGCAACTTACCCTTATTCGCATCATGCGACATCTAATGCAACCCTTCAGAATCCTAGTCAGGGCTGTGTTTTGGCGTTTGCGGTCATCTTTAAACGGACCACGGCGGCGGATGCTACCAGACTTTCGATGCTTCTTCTTCGTCGACCCTTCTGGTGCGATCTTTCGCTTTCGTCGAGTTCTCTGGAGTCGTACGCACCTTTGGTTAGAAGAAGACATCGGTTGGCATAACGATGCGACATACCGGTGGAAGAGACCAGGTCTTGCTACACGGGCCGCGAGCGGCTGCATTTACGACACTCAAGCTTTTCTCCTCCATCCCAGCCGGCATATCTTCCTGCTCTTCATCGGATGCGATCGACGAATCGTTATCGGATCCGGCTGTCGACATGGCCCAGGACGAGCATGCGCTGGACGACCTGGTCGGACAGCCATAGCCCAACGGCATCGCGATGGAGTCGCCCCGCCCGCTCGACAGCGAGACAGGCGATAGATTGTGCGAGTTCAAGGACGGCGTACTGTGTTGACTAATGAAGGCGCTTTCGGCGCCAAACAGAGGGCCATTCCATGGGCCGGTGTATTGGGAGCAAGAGAGCGACATCCCTCCGTGTCTCTCCAGGCCAAAATCCTGCAATGCAAGCATTTGGTCACCTACGACCTCCGTCGCATTTCTCACTGCATCAAGTGTCGAGGCTAGTCCATGCAAACCAGACACTGCAGACGGACGTGGTCTCGAGTCCGACCAGTGTCGTCCAACGTCCCTGGTAATCATCAGGCTGGATAGTGGGGGTGGCGGGTTCAGCGCGTCTACAGCAGCCGGATTATTCCTTGTATCCCTGCTCGCTTTAGTCGGGGACAATATTGCGGCCATAGGCTCATCTGACAGCCTTGGGTCCGAGGGAGGATCGGCAACCAGCGCTGGGGGCAAACAAGGCAAGGAAATCAACAGAAATCGATCACAACACAGGTCGCAACAGTTGGAGGACCAGAGAAGTTCGAGGAGTCAAATTTGAAGAGGGAGAAAATTCTTTGGCGTGTTGGGCCTGGGAGACACCATACCATGTTGATCCGCGACTGCAGGGATTGGCCGCGCCGGCGTCAAGGTAAGATGACAGACGCAAATTAATCCTTTCAGGAGCATCCGACCAGCCTTTAATGCTTTGAGGCTCGGCGACGCTATTGAAAGTCTATCTTCCGACAGTCGTCCGCTCAAAGGCCGGCCTTGTCTGAGATTAATGGACCTGTCAATTCGGGTGATGGAGGAATCACTTCGAAGCGCAGGCTGTGCTGATGCGATCGTGGATGTGCACCAATTGGCAAATACCAATCACTGTGCCAGTGTGATGCTGGCGTAGCGAGGTGTCTTGTTTCCCTTTTCTTTTTCTGGGCCTTTATCCCTGCTGGGATGCTTGAGCTTATTCATTCTCGTCTCTTGCTGTAACTATTTCATGCATGAGGGAACGAGGGGCACTCATCATCTCACTCAAGTCGCTCATTCCTCGAAAGTTCCAACACCTCGCTCATTCCCGACTGGCGCCGTCTCTCAGCCTTGTCTCTCATCCTCCTCTTCCACCCTCTCCTCCATTCCCTCGCTCTTATTTGGTAGCTCAAGCCACCTGGGCTTGGCTCGGCGTTTTTGGCGTTTCTGGTGCTGACAGCGATCCACTTGGTAAGAAGCCAACCGTTCTCATGCCCTCCTATTGAGCACATCCTCACCCATCATGATTATTCATAAACCATGAGCCAACAGAAGGATAAGCAGATTGGCCGAGAATACGGTATTGATACCCAACCTCTACATGGAGCTTAGCCATCTTATCATTGATGCTATATGGCGCCCGAGCTTTGTTCTGAAGTACCAGGAACTACAAGACCATCTCCAGCCCTCTACCGGTCGAGTTGGCCCAGCTTCGTGGGATAGTTCTTTTCTCAACCCTCGAAATCGGGTTGAGACCCTCGACACGACGTCTTCCCGGTGGCGAGTAGACGGAGCGACCATATGTGGCACTTGCTTATATACCATCCCGCTCGATCTTCTTCCAAACTTGCCGCCCCTGGGGATCTCGCTCTATATCTCTGACCAAACCGAATATACCGCTGCACTGCGGCAGAGCCTCGACGCATGCACTGGTGTACCACTTCGAGATGGAAATGCTATTTCGCGGCTTGGGTTAGCAAGGCATCTCTGCCGCGCACTCGACCACCATTGTGCCCAAAACGTCCAGTTTCTGGAGCAATACCTCAATCTACCGTTTGGCTCGAAACTTATTTTCGAGGATATCACTCCAGATGTTGCGGATATGAGGCTAGATGTTGAGCGGGACTACCACGTTGAAACCAATATGAGGACATTCCAGTCCCTTCAGCGAATGTGGCCTGATATTGCACCAGAGCTTTGGCCGCCGATTCTTGACCTAAACAGCCTACGCCTTGTTAGACAGCTTAACGAAGCTGTAATGTTAGTAGAAACTGCTGGCCAAGAGCTTGCCATTTTCAAGTCGGCTACCAGCTCGCTGCATCATACATACCACGAGCTTCGCTTTCTGCTTACCTGCCCACCGCATCCCCACGTCATGCCTCGGCCTCTAGCTGTTGTTACCAAAAGAAGTTTATTTGGTGGGAAGCATGGTATCGTTGGATTTCTACTTAAATACTTTCCGAGTGGTTCGCTCCGGGATATTCTCCCCGCTCGACAACGCGCTGGCACTCTGTCTAGCTCTATCAAGCTGCGATGGTGTCGCCAAGTGGCTTCGGCACTTGCTCATGTTCACAAAACGGGGGCGTTTTATTCAGACCTGCGACCCGACAATGTGTTGCTGGACTGCGAAGAGAATGCGGTACTCTGCGATTTTGAGCAGCGAGGTAACTGGTATGAATGGTGTGCTCCTGAGGTTCTATACCGACAATACGCCGAAAATATCCGAGCACGCCTTCCTGATCGTGTTATCAACTCTCCCTATGACCGCCTTCTCCGTGGATACGCACAGGTACACTCACTGTCTACCTCAGCATGCTATACCTCTGCGGAGAACCCACTCGAGACGCGAAATCGCGCTTGGTACGCTTTACCACCGACTGCACGAGAAAAGGCTGCTGTGTATACTCTTGGGCTCTTCATTTACTCTGTTTTTGAGGGTTTGAGTAACGTCTGCCGTAACGTGGCAAACCAATTTCCCATCGAACCGGAAGTAGAGTTCCCAACTTTCCAGAAAACACCACAAGCAATTATGGGGCTTATCCAGGATTGCACAGCTGACACGCCAGACTGGCAATCAGCGCGTTTGCAATCCGAACAGTCGCGAATTGTACGGATGAACGGCCTGGTATATCCAGAGGCTCAGATTGACCTTGAGCGTGACACACACGCAACATTTGAAACCGTCATGGACGCCTTGCTCAGATTCTGGAGCGTAGAGCTGGCGCGAGCCGAAAAGTTTCTTGATAGCCCGGAATGGGAAACAGGTGATTTTGGTGCAAATAGACCTTCGCTACGAGAGGTCGTAAATGCCCTTGAACAGCTCGGAAAACCTAAACGAATGGACCAAGAATAACTAGGAGCATCATCCCACCGAGAGATTGGAATTTGAGATATCAGAATATTGAAAATTTTTTGGAGTTCTATTAGCGGTATATCACTTGATGCCTGTGCTTCTTGCTAACAGACGATGCCGAAATTATCTCATCTTTTCTCGCCATTTTCTGATCTGTAATCGTTCAACGCCTCGACCACAAGCTGAGCCAACGACAGCAACCTTTCCTCGTCCAGTCTGCGCCCTATTAGCTGTACAGCTGCAGGGGCACCATGGTACTTCTCTGGATCATCTGTTGTATATCAGCCACGCTTTCCTGGGCACAGGAAATGGGCTCCTACAATAATTCATGTTCATTCTGTCCTCTTCGTTCAGGGCGCTAAAATTCAAGCTAACAATGTCTAATTCCTTGTCCGCCAGCGTTACTGGGATGACAACTGATGTGTAATCCAGTACATTGACAGAGCTGGTGTATGCTTCAGGCCAGTCAGCCAGCCGATGGTTCCACCCGCTGCAAAAACGGGACTTACTTGAGGGATAGAATTTCCCGGGCAGAACACCTGCATACGGCGTCACGGGGGACAGAAGAGCTTCAATGGGACGGTCTCGATATGTCTTCAGCGACTATCCTTGAAGTTGCGAAGAAAACGCTTACCGCCAGTTCTTTCCGCACTTGACTCCCAATAGTCCAGGTATCGTTCTCGATAGTCTTTCATATGCCTCACTACCTGTTCGTATTCAAGAAGAGGTATCGGGGCTTTCGGTTTGCCGTTGGGAAATAGATTTGTGATTTCAGGAACAAAGGGCTCACCCGAGAGGTGGATAGCATCATAAACATCATGACAGCCATCTCCTCGGGCTATTGAACACTAGTACACTTGTTACGATAGTTGTGCTAGTCGTGCCACCCCGAGTGTTATGCTTACATGGATATCGAGGGTTTCCCTGCTATAAGGCCAATCCCAGTCAATCAACTGCAATCGTTAGTCGGCATCACACACCCATGGGCATCACGAACCTGGTGTCCTCTATGTTGCAGAGCCTCCTTCACCATCTCCATAGCACGTGAAATGGGTGGATGGGGGGTGAGCACACCGTCATTGGCTAAGAACCCGAAGGCTGGCTTATACTGCTGTTCATCTGGCGCATTATACTCTTTCTCAGGTCGCCAAGGGATTGGAAGGGTGTAGGGGTCATGGAGCCATGGCTCCAGAAGAAGAAGGGATTGCAGTATCAACCTGAGCGAATCTACCGAACGACCCATAATGCCAACAACAGTCGGCATGATATCTTGTCCTTTACCCTTGTCAGCAAAAGTTAGCACGACTAGCCATCCAAGAGGAGCAGTCTCACCGCACCGTATTTGCTGCATTCTTGAAGGATATACGGCCTGCCGACGGCTTTACACTAAAGACGCCCTGAAATGAAGCCGGCATTGACACGGAGCCACCAATGTCAGTCCCAATTCCAAATGCGCTTCCCCTCAATGCTTGCATGGCGCCCTCACCTATAAAGTTTCAGTCAGGCGAATGCTATGCCGGATGCGGATAAAACAAAGGAAATCAATCCTTCCATACCTCCAGATGAGCCACCTGTTGAGAGGTTTTGGTTGCAGGGGTTGAAGGCATATCCGAGTATGTTGTTATTTGTTTCAGGCGCCTTCGCAGGTCAGCTAAATTGGAGTTGGATGGGCTTTTCTTCGACATACCCAAAGACTCTGCATGAGCGTGGTCTATTACACCATACTTCTTTCAGTCGTTGTTTGTTAGGTAAGTGGCGAAGCCATGTGTGACTTACCTTTCCAATAGGAACTGCCCCGAGGATGTGGAATTCTCGGACCAATTCACTCTCAGCGTTTCTGCTCTTCCACGGACCCATTTTTCCTTCAAAAGTACCGATCCATCCAATGAAGCCCATTGAAGTGTCGAGACCTTTGATGTGAAATTGGTCCTTCAAAGTGAGAGGGATGCCATGCAGGGGGCCAACAAGCCTTTTATGTTCTTTGAAGTAGTCGTCGAGCTCCCGAGCTCGCTCAATGGCCTCATCAAATCTAATTTCGAGCAGAATATTGCACTAGAAGAAAACTATTAGAAAGATTCCAGCCGTCAGCGGATGGGCCAAACTTACTAATTGATGAGCATAGGCAGCCCTCTTGCAAAACGCCGTGACCACTTCAACCGCCGAGAGGGCTCCGCTTTCCATCCTGGCTACAAGCTCAGGAACATCCATGTCAGTGACGTATCGAGATTTGGTGTCTAGCAAACCCTCCATGTAATCGCCAACGATGCTGCGACGAGATCTTCCATCTTCCAGCACTTGAGGCTCTAGAAGCCATTCCGGCCGAATTTTCATCATATTAGCCTCGCGCTTATCGCTCGCAATCTTCTGCCACTGAACCTGGCGCCGGGAAAAGATGTCCGAGATTTTCCACATTTCATGTGCGTCGCTCAGCTATATCAAGGCTAATGCGAAGAGGACAACTATGAGGATAAGAATACGGACTTTCGCTGCCACTGTGGGTGATCTTTATATCGCTCGAAGTCCTATTATGGAGACAGGCCTTTCAAGGCTTTCGCCGCCTCTGTCAAAGGACGCATCCCACGATAGTCAGGAAACGGTGAAATGTTCCGGTCCACAGGACCACAGTGATTGAGCGGCGAATCGAGCTCTCGGACCTCAGACTCGAAGCACGCGAAGTTTTCTCCAGAAGTTTGAAAAGCGCCTGTATAGCTCCTTTATCCCGGAGAATTTTTGGGCCAATGACCTACGTTTCTTAACTTCGACCGATGAACAATGGCTTTTCCATGAGCACGGCAACCAATCAGCGGTCAGTCTTACGATATCCTCACGTCGGCCCGCACGAGCACTTCGAAGTACAGGCGCCCCAGACGATCACGATAAACATTCAGCTCCCGGGCACTGCTGAATGCTGGGCGGCGTGGAACCACTCCACGGCTGCCGTATATTGTCTCATTCTTCAGCTGCTCCGAATCTAGTGCGTGAATTGCGGTGTAGGTTTTTTTTTTTTTTTTTTTTTTTCCCCTTTTTTTTGGCCTCCCCTCGGCCTTGACCCAGAAAGCCGCCGTTGGAGGGTTGGAGGATTCACGGGCGTCGAGAGGCGCTTGATCAGCGTGGCTGGTTTTGGAGATGTAGACGGATGCAAGGATAGACATCCGGTTCAAAAATGCACTAATTACAACTGCACCGTACTTTCTACCTATAGATCTACGGATTCCATTTGAAGCCATCGTGGTTTGGTTTCAATCAACTTATGGATTGTTCCAGCTAGAAAAGTCTTGCGCACTTTAACGCCGACTGATAAGCACTTTATGGGCAGGGTATCCCACTATAACATCAGCAGAAGGCTCATTTTCATGCCTAGCAAACAACAAACAATTCGATCAATGATCACATCGCAAACAGCAGGCCCAGATTGTGCGTCTCTGAGACAAGAAACGGTGTGATGCCGGCTCATGCATGCTTACAGCATCCACAATCCTCGACGGGCGCCTATTATCAACCCTATAGGCTCCATGTAGGTAAGGACCCGACAAAAGCAAAAAGCAACTAAATAAGGCCCTAATGCCGAGATCCACCACGGCCTACATTCTTGCCCTGCAGTCAAATATCTCAAAAACGAGGCGCCGCATTCGCCGGTGTCTCCGACAGCACAAGAGGCGTTATGAATCCCTCGCTGGAATATTAATAATAATAATAATAATGGGAGACATGGAGTTGGCCAAGCAAATGAATCCTTTAACTCTTTCTAAATTCCAAACGCCGAACCCGCGCAGAAAATACGCCCTGCAGGCAGACTTGCCCGCTTTTTTGCTTAACATTCAAGAATGGAATGGAACTGAACTCCGAAAACTCCACACCCCAGCTTGTGCAGAAAACAAATCTTCGATTCCATTTCCATGACCCTCTCCCCCCACCCCAAAATCACCACTCCCCACCAGTGGCCTGGATAACCCTTTCAACCTCGCCCCGAACCTCCGGCATTGCACTTCTCATCTCCCGCGCAAGAACATCCCTGAAGCTCGCAAAGGCCTCCTTCTTCCCCTTCAGATCTTGGTTCCCGCGCTGCACAAGCTCGACGAATTCTCGCGTGTAGATGTCCGGATTTCGAGAGGCGTCCACGTAGTCAATTATTTCAGGCGGCAGCGCAATCGAATGCAACGGTGGGTCCCTGCTGTCATTGGAACCGGGTGTTGCATTTGCGTTTGGGTCGTCGCGGGTATGTACGGAGAGAGTGGAGAGCGAGGTTGTTAGGTTTTTTCTGCATCATCCGGCATCCATCATCAGTCTAGATCCGCAAAGACCGTGAGACGATTAAAACGGGTAGGGAATGGATAATATACATCTTCCGCACGAGCTCCTGCTGCGTCTCAGGACCCAGGTAACCATGGACCGCGGACTGGATTTCAAACAGGTGTTGGATAATATCCTTGATTTCGTCTGTTTTTGCGCGCGCCCCACGTTAGATGATGCCTTCAGCAAAAGTTACACAGGGAGGCAACCAACTGTCAACCGAGCTTAGTGTTATGGGCGCCATGGCCTCTGCTTGGTGAGGGGGTGAAGTTGGGGGATGGTCTGAATGTGAGGAGTACTCCGTACGGACAGCAGCAGGCTGAGGTCTGGACTTGGGGCGATAAGGTTGTTATCTTTTGGGTCTAACCTATTCTGGTAATTGACTTTAAACGCCCGCCGAGGCTCCTGCTCCAGCCTCCGAGTTGGGCTGGCTGCTAAACCAGCCCGGTCATTGCTATTAAACTACGTAGGGGAATATTTAATTCATCGGTCGAACACTGTCAGTTGGATATGCGAATATATATAGGTGAGCTATAAGGTACATGTACACCGCGAACATTAGAACCAGTCCACCAAGCCAACATAGTAGATATGGTCGACACCCTGCAATACATATGCAAACCCGCTCTGAGTACCAAAAGTCCAAATGGCAGGAAGAAATCAATACAAGGCTAATCTAAACAGTAATGGGGAAAGTAGCTGATGGCTGCTATTTTACACCTCTTTGGTCCGCACCGCCGGAAACTTGGGTATCTCGATCTCTGTCTCAACCATCTGCAGTCCAGAGAGACTAGGATACCTCTTACTAAAGTTCGCCTCCCAATCTTCACCGGGGCTCGTGGGGGTTCCTTGAGTTGGCTGGCCTTGGAGACGGTCAAGGTTGTTCGTCCCAGACGGTTCCGCGCGGAGGCCCTTTGGCTTTGGAGGCGCCGTTGGGCGTGGCCCCGTGCGCTGTGCGGCCGCAATATACCCCGTGGTTGATGTCTCCTGCTTCGGTGCTGGGGGTGGGTTCCCTGCACCCCGCGTGCTCGGTCGTGACTGTGCCTCCGGCTGCTTTGCCTGCAAAGCGTCCTCGGGTGTTTCTGTGAACCTCCCATACCCAGTAGCAGTCTTGGGCGGTGGAGGCTTGCTGGCTTCACCGAAAAGAGTTTGTACCCTGTTCATGATTGCAGGAGCTCGCGTCGCATCGCCTGTGGGTCTCCGACCCCCCTCTCCCTGTTCGGCAACCCGGCGACGATATTCAGCGGCAGCACTTGCAACACGCTTCTCTTCTTGCGATAGACGTCGACGTTCAAGCTCACGGCGCATCTCAGGTGAGATGTCATCATCGTCATCAGCTTCACCTGGATGCCCAACTGGTTCCACGGGTGTTTCAGAGCCTGACGCTGGAGATAAGAGCGGTCTGGGGAAGTCTTCTTGGGCGGGAGATTGAGCCTTGCCTTCTTGACCACCCTCAAAACGGCGGAAAGCATCGCCAAACCGACCACCAAACAGCGTCTTGGTGCCAGAAAAGGACAGCGTCGAGAGACTGGAGCGTTTCGGATGTTTTGAGGAGCTCCCACTGTAACGTTTCTCGCGCTTCCGATTCGATTCGTCCTCCTTCGCTCGTAAATAATCCACATCTGATGATATATTACCGCGGTCGTACTCAACTTCAGTTTTTGCATGCTGCAGCGGAGATCCACCATCGTAAGGTGATCTGGGTAACTCAAGTGACGAACGGGCACTTTCCGCGCTCCGAGGTGGAAGCTCAAGTTTGGTGCCTGCGTGGGTTGATAATGGACGGGATCGACTGTTGGCCGATCTTGAACGATGTATGGAGTCATCAACCTCCGGATGTGGCGGCCGAAGAGCTTCCATCGAAGGTCGCGATGACGCTGACAAATTTGATAGCCTGTCCGATGAAATCCTCGGGTCTCTCTCCAACTTTGAGGGGGGGATAGGCGATATTCCAGGCCTGGACATCCTTTTTTCATTGTCAGCAGTCTTCGGCTGTTGATCGGAAGACGGGAACCTGTGGATTGGCCGACTAGGTGGTTTCAACCCTGAAAACCCGGGGCTTTCAGGTGGCGAAGTCATCGTACCAGTAGATACCATTGCAGGTCTCTGGGGTGCCGGTTGATAAAGTGGTGTTTGTCGCGGTGGCTCATCGCGATACTGCTTGTATTCTACTGGTGATTTCTTCGTTGGTTGTGATTGTTGCCGCCTATTGACAGGTTCCACAGGCGTTTCTTGAGGTAGCGGCGAGTGCTTAACGAACGCGTCATCGGCCAGGGCATTGGTTAGCTTCTGGGCAAGAGCATCATCTTCCTTCTGGTCCGCGACTGTTTGCTCAAACTCGAATTTGCCTCTCTTCTCATGCAGAATATTGAATTGGTCAAGTGATGGGAATCTATCCGAGAACTCGTCGTCGGCCTTCCTACCATCCAGTGCAGCAAACGGGTCTGTAGGTGTTCCACGAAAAGGCGATGGGCTTGGGCGTGCCGAGTTTTGCTGCGAAGTTTCCGGTCTAGTTGGTCGCCCGCGACGCATTGGAGCAATTTCCGGAATAGTGACATGAGTCTCCTGGACTGGTGCAGAGAACACGGCCCCGAGTTGCGGTGTTTCGGTTGGGGACGGGGGGAGCTCTTGATACCGGCGCGCTTCCGATGTCGACCGGTTGACATAAATCTAGCACTGTTAGCTTGCAGGTCCGTAGAAGGATAGAATGTCCATACGTCTTTAATTGGAACCTCTCGTCCCTGCATTTGACATGCCTGGCGCAATACCTGATAAATATTAGGGCGCTTCTGCGCGCTTTCCTGAAGCATTGATGCTGCAAAACATTAGTATGTTGGTCGGATCATGTCGGGACAGAGGAACACTCACATATAAACATTTTAAGCCGGCTTGAAAATTGAGGGTAGGAAGGGAACTTGTAGGATGCATTCAGAATGGCCATCTGTCCAACTTCTTCAAACGGTGTGGTATAGTAGCAGAGTTTGTACAGGAGGACCCCCAGGGCCCATATGTCACTCTTCTCATCGATCGGCTGTTTTCGATAAACATCAATCATCTCCGGGCTTCGATATTGCAGGGTCGTGTGCCGTTGCACATCGTCTTCGATCAGACGACCTTCCGCAGCCGAGGTCGCTGCAGGGCGTGGAGGAGCAGACGACCCAAAATCACAGACCTTATAAAGTACAGTACCTCCATGGCGAGAGATAAGAACGTTCTCCACCTTCAAATCTCGGTGTAGTAAAGGGGGCTTAAGGTAATGCATGCAAGCCACACCCTCGGCGACATCGGAAAAGATCTTAATGACTTCCGGCTCTGTCAAGCGGTTCTGTAACCGAGTGTTCATAAAATCAATTAAACCCCCGCCTGCACAATATTCCATTAGGAGAAACACCTCGTAGCCACCAGCTTTGAGCTGCGACGCATGGGAGTCGATGTACTTGACAATGTGACGGTGGCCTTTGAGCTTCTTCATCGTCTCGACCTCGGTGCGCATGTTGGCAAGCGCAGACTTATCGGGAACGGCCACCCGCTTCAAAACCGCCTTGTCGGTGCCATCCACAGGCTGCGAGAGCCGTACGACATAGACATGGGCGAATCCACCTTCGGACAGGTATTTCTCGATTACAACCCGGTGGCTACCGACCTGGACTTTGGTGTTGGGCAAGAACGTCCCAGCTGGCGCAGTCATCGCGGCAACCGGGTTGTATGAAGGAACCGGCCGATGCTGAGCGGCATGACTCTGGTAGGACTGGGAGTGATGGGAGGCCATAGCGGGGAGGAGGGAGGGAATGGGTGAGCCCCGTGGGGAGGGAGAAACGGGATTTTGTTGAGGGCGAACGTAGCTACCGTTGCTGCATAGAGAGAAAGGACAGTATCTGGGCTAAGACCAGGGATATTAGAGCAATCCTCGGCAGGCAGATGCACGAGAATGCCAGTTGTCGGCGGGGAGGAGGTGGGCTCGACGACGGAGAGGCGGTGACGTTGGGGGCGGTGCCTGACAACCCCCAAGGGTCTATCAATGAGAGAGGGGGGGTGGAGGGGGGAAAGAGGCGCAAATAAAGAGGGCAAGAATTATGACACCTAACAAGGCCGGGGAGATGTGAGGAATCTGAGCCCTGGCCAGTCGAAACGGTGATGCAGGTCAGCCTCCGAACGTGGATGCCTCAGGTACGTCGGGTGAAGGTACCTTTTAACGCTCCCAGGCATCACCAGGCATCAATTGACTGCCCTGCCGTGGGCGAGTAATGGGGTTGCCACGAGCCGTATCATACGCCCCCGCAACCAGTAAATATGGCAAACCCAGGGCAAATTTAGCTGTGCTAAGACCAAGATTCCGGTACCATACGGTAAGTTTCGCCAGTCATCGGATAACGAGGCATGATATCAACGGTCACAATCCTGAGTCATTCAGAAGCTGTCTCTAACGTATTTTCAACCAATTATTAGGGGGGTCTCGGGCCACTATGGAGAGGAAGATAGTCGCAGAAGAACTTCTGGGTTGAAACTGTCCAAACGATGAGGCACCAAACGAGATGAGCGCCTCTGCCTGAGGCAAAATACACAGATGGAATGATATCCCCAAAACTAGCCCTTTTAGGAATAAATATATCCTATTACATAATCAAATAACCACCAATCATGTAACACAACGCTAGACCTGGAACAGATAAATCAAAACAAACAACATCGTCGCTGCAACACTGAAGGGTGGATTGTCCGCTGTGCTCGATGCTCTGTGGAAGAAGATGGTGTTTTAGCGGATCAAAAAGACTCGATGCACTGCAGTCAGACTAAGGTGGCCGAGGCGGTTCAACCTCTGGTTAAAGTTGCTTGTTAAGCTACCGCTGGGAATGCGCCGTACGGAGCGTAACCTAAACGCACCGGAATGGGGGGCTTGATGAGAACTCAATCGGGATCGAATAGATGCGGAAAATAAATCCAGAGATTCCGACCGTCTACATTTCATTCGGAATTTGTATATATCAAGGGGTGGTGGCGGGGGGGCAAAGAGTGTGTTGGTAAAAAATAATGCCGGATGTTTATCTGTTGCAGCGTCCTTGGCCTTTCCTGCAGCTCTCCTGGGGGAGAAACTGAAAAAACCCAATGTTCGGGCGAAATCAACCACTAAAAGAGTTTCTTTCCGCTTCTCATCTGCACTGAATCGTTTTGCCTTCTGCCTAACCGCTTTTGGTGGTTCTGTTGGCTGTGCTGTCGTGGTCACAACCTAGCGCTGATCCTAGGAAACGCATCTCTCACCAGTTGTTGCCGCCTGCCCACCTCGTCTTCTTTTCGACTTCTTCCCATCCCACTTCTTCCCTTTCTTCTCATCTTTGCCCACCCATCTCCATCTCCTCTTCCCTATATTTTAACCTCTATATATATTCTTATAATTATTCTTATCGCTTCATTGTTATTGATCTCAATACGACAGCGCACGATCAGGCTCGTCCTACCCTCGCTGACACCCTCCAAGCAAGCGCTGGGACACGACTCGGCGCCCAGCTGATGTCGTGGCGAACATGATCTATTCCCTGCCCATTACGTGTCAGTTCCTGTCGATTTCGAAATAGTCGGAGGACAGGGAAGTCGGGTGGAACTCGGAACAGCTGCGCCGCAACCAAGAATCGACGTTGGACAAGGTCTTCCTCAGTTGAGGCTTTTACCTCGCTATCCTTATATACCCGAATCGGTGAACCATGGACGACGGCCCCCCGCCTCCACCACCTCCGCATGGCGAGAAGCCAAACACCACGCACGGCGAGTACCGCAAGTCGTCCGATCTCCCAGAAGGAAACTACGATATCTTCGTAATACCCCCACATTCGTCTGGCTCAGGGTTTCTCTATCTTCCGTCACTGCAATGTCAACGTAATAGCTTCATTGCAGGCTCTGCGTGTACGCTTGTCGCAGTTTACGTGTGGATGACCCTGGTCCCAGTGCTGCAACTGTGGTATGCGACGACCGTCGCAAGCGGCGGGGGAGCGGGAATCGCGATCCTTGCGGTTGGCATCGTTGGTGTTGGAGGATGGGCATTCGGCAATTACCAGGCCGGTAGTGGAGCTTCTCGGCAAGGGCCTGGATCTGGAGCCAACTGGTCTGGGTCTGGGGGACCAGGTGGATCAAGTGCGAGCAGTCAAGGTGGTGGTGGAACAAGTCACTCCAGGGGAGGAAACTTTGGCGGCCAGTCTGGAGGGCCACATCAACAGGGTAATTACGGCGGAAACTTCGCTGGTGGACCCCCACCAGGAAATCAGTATTCAGGGAATCAATATAGGGCTAATAATGACCCGCCACCACAGGCTACTCCTGGTCCTAATTCGAACAACAACGGTGGTTCCAACCCGGGGGGCACTGGAAGTAAACCACAAACTGCGGAGGAGTGGGAGAAAGCTCGGGAGGAGACGAGGCGGAAAGAGGAGCTGCGACGAAAAATGGAGGAGTTTAAACGGAAACGGGAAGCGGAAGCTCGAGAGAAAGAAAGGCAGCGTGAGCGGGAAAAGATGGAAAAGGAGTTGCGCGAGCGCAGAGAACAACTAGAGAGGGAAATGGCAGCCGCGAGAGAAGCGGCCGCCAGGGAGGCAAAGCTAAGAGCAGAGAAAGAAGCGGCGGAGTACCGCGCGAAATTGGAGAGGGAAACAGCCGAAGCAAAACTGAAGGCGGAGAGAGAAGCCGCCCAAGCTCGGCAAAGGGAAGCAGAAGCTCGTGCACGCACTGAACGAGAGGCTGCGGAGGCTCGGGCCAAGGCAGCGCGGGAGGAGGCAGAGGCGAAGGCCAGGGCAGAGAAGGAGGCTGCGGAGAAAGAAGCGGCCGCAAAGGCCGCTGCAAAGAAGGAGGCTGATGCAAAGTTTGCCGCGCTGAAGGAGGCGGCCGCAAAGAAATATGCTGAGAAGAAGGCCCGGGACGCGCAAGAGGCGGCCGCGAAGGAGGCCGGAGCAACAACCTCAAAGATATCCAGTGCTTCGGCACCACAACCTCGTACACCATCCCCCAAAAAGCCGCCAGTGTCTCCCTCGAAAGCCAGCGCACCTACCGTGGATGATGATGCATATTCATTCCGACCCTACGACCGACCTAGGCGGCCGTACGGAGGTGCTTCTCAAGGTTCAGTATATTCGGAATCTTCCTACGCACCTTCACAGTCAACAGCACGCACAACCCCACCGCCATCCCACAGAGGAACTTATGAGACTAAGGACCCGGACAAGATTGTTATCAGGGGTGTCTACGCCTTCAACCAAGCGTTCCCTCGCACCCCAGTGGCCCAATTGGTGTCCGGTCAAGGAATGGTCACGGACGGGCTAGTCCTCCGCATTACTACGGAAGGGCTCTTCATTGACGACGACGTCCGCAGCGTTCCACAGCGTGAGTGGGACGTTAAAGCCTGGACGATGAAGCTAGTCGAAGTTTGGTGTCCGCAAGTAGGTCCACCAAAGCCGAACGCCCAGAAAGTAAACCAGGCGTTCTTCCGTCGTAGTACCAACGACGTGCCCTCGCCCGAGGAGTCCGACGCATACTTGGCCAATTTCCTAAAAGTCTGTAAGAATACCTGCCGCCTCGCCTCTCCAGCGTTCCTCAGCCGAAACAGCACAGACAGCAAAGAAAGCCAGCCTTACGGCGGACTCCATATCCTCCGGGCTACAATCCGCGACCAAGAAGGTCGTCGATACCTCTTCATTCTCCAAGAAAATGAGGGATGGAAGGTTGCTCTGGGACTGCAACGACTTCGCAAAGGTAGTCAGGTGCGGGCTCTAGGGGTGTGCGGGATGGCTCTCGCAGAGACAAGGACTGTACTTTCAGGACTTGGATATTGAAAGTTTTTGCTTTAATTTCCTTTTTTTCTCTCCCGTATGACATTCTGACGTTGATTATGACTTAGCCTCTGTTGTTTTGATATTCCTACCATTTTTACCCCTATTATGTTTTTTGTTTTGTTTTTTTGGATATGGTGAGCATGTATATATCCCCTCATGTACTTAACTGTGTGATTTTTTTTTTTTACAATTGAATATAACCCCGTCCGCGATGTCGTCTGACGACGACCAAATAATAATAATATAACCCATAGAATACGAAATATTAACTTTTGGTTGGCATGCGGCATGCCTCCGCTAAATATATCTTCGACTGTACCCTAAATATACAACCGGCCAAAATAAAATTTAAGTACACCACGAATCTACACTGCACTCCACGTGGACTTATATATACGCTTATCACTGTATTTTAGAAGAGAAATAGCAATCATCAATGATTCATATTCCATACTCATTCATGATATCCATTGCAATCCCAACCTTGTTTGTTCGCAAATAATGGAACGAGATAGATGGTAAAAAAAAGAAAATTTAATAGAAAAAGTAACCCAGGTATATAGCAAAACGCCGAGATGATCCGATCCAGCGCAGTCTTTGAGGTCGGATGTATGGAGCAGTGAGCAAAAGCGAGGAAGAGTTCTTCTTGAGTGGTAGTAGTAGTGGTCAGGAGCCCAAGACGAGACCAGCACGGAACAAAAAAAGATAAGAAGACAAACATGGAACGAAAAGAAAATAAAAGAAAATAAAAAAAGAAAACGGTCTATCTGGTTCATGCGAGCAAGCAAGCAAGCAAGCAAGTAGCGCCGAACATAGCAAGCATAGTACAGACAGGGTGATGGAAGAAGATAAAACTCCGTGAAGAAGGCCCCGAATGACGAATGGAGGAAGCAAGCATGATAAGATAAGTATGGAAAGAAACGAACAGGCGGCAAATCGATGTCACCGTGCGATGCAGATGCGGAGTGCTGCGCAGGAAACAAAAAAAAGAAAGTTGTTCTCCGTTTGGGATCACCTGCCGGATTGTATGAATGTATGCTTTGCTTTTGAATTTGGACCCAATTTTGTGTCGTTTCGTTTCGTTGTATCGAGTTTTGTATAGCAGCGGAAATAAGACGAATGAAAGGGAGGATGGTGAGGATGGGGTGGTCAATTCTTGATAGGGCAAGCGGGCGGGTTGCTTAGAACGGGAATCCGCCCGGAAACCCGCGCTGTCCGCCGCCGCCGCCGCCGCCGAAAGGATTGCCGCCGCCAGCATGGGCGAATCCGCCACCGCCACCATTCATCATGTTGAAGAGGACGCTGGGGTCGATGTTGATATGGGTGCCTCCCATACCACCCATGCCGCCCATTCCGCCCATTCCACCCATACCACCCATGCCTCCCATGCCACCAAATCCGCCACCGCCGAACATATCTGCGGGGTCCATCAGATCTTCGCCGTTATCGTAGGCAGCGCGCTTCCTATGGTATTATTAGCACTCTGGTGGGGGGGAAACAAAATTTAAGGAAGAAAACATACTGAGGGTCAATGAGAGTCTCGTAAGCCTCGCCAATTTCCTTGAACATCTCGTCGCCCTTTTCGCCGTCGCGGTTCTTATCTGGGTGATACTTGATGGCAAGCTTACGGTAGGCCTTCTTGAGATCTGTCTCATTCGCGTCTTTGGAGACACCTAGGATCTTGTAGAAGTCTTTCCGTTGCGCCTTCTTGAGTTCAAACTCGGCACGGCGAATGTCCTCCCGGATACCCTTTTCGCCGGGGTTGGACTCAGCAACAGCCTTGTAGTCTGTGACAGCCTCTTGCCAGTTACCAGCACCGCCGTGGGCCTTGGCACGCATCTTCTGGGCCTTGAGGTATGTTGGGTCTAGTCGAAGGGCTTCAGTGCAGTCGTTGACAGCATCATCGTACTCCTTGAGATTAATATACGCTTGAGCACGGTTCTGAAGGATCTTAGCATTCATGTCCTTGTTGGCTTGGTCCACGTTGAGCGCCTCAGTGTAGAGTTCAATAGCCTTGCGATAGTCCTTGGCCTTGAAAGCAGCATTTCCTTCATCCTTTGTTCGCGTGAGCTTCTGCAGCATGCGAAGTAGTTTGATCGCCGCCTTCATGTCAGGGTCCAGTCCGAGACAAATCTTGAGCGACTTGAGCGCCTGATCCGTCTCGCCCAGCCCGTAGTAGGCCCTCGCGCGAATCAAAAGTGCATCCGGGTCCTGGTTGTTTTCTCGGAGCATGTTGACAGCAATATCCTGGGCCTTTCCGAATGAGTTCCCTGTGGCCATCTTCAGCTGGGCCTCTGCTGTCATGATCGTCCAGGCACGGGGTTCTTTGACGCCCCGACCAAGAAGTTGCCGCGCCTGATCAACGCAGTACAGCACCATGGAAACGCCACGGTTCTCAGACAAGGTGTCCTTTGCCTGGTTGATGAAACGAAGCATGTTTGTTGGGGTTTGTCGGTCTGCGGCTGAGGCCGGAGGCTGGATGCGATCAAGCACTTCAAGTGCTTCAGCAGGGCGACCTAGACCAGTTAAGGTGCGGGCCAATCGGTGCAGAATTTTGGGGTTGCCGGGGTCCAGCTCGTCGGCTCGTTCTGCATCTTCAAGGGCTTCTAGATATCGGTGGGCGGCCAAGTTCGCGGCAGCGCGGTTTGACCGGTAGATAGATGAACTAGAGTTGAGTTCAATGGCTACCGCAGCGTTAATAACCAAACCTAAAGACTCGAAACATAACCGGTTATGGAATGGAAAGCAAACCTTTGGTAAACTCCTCAATAGCTCTGTTGTAGTTTCCGTCCTTGAAAAATTTGTTCCCCGCCAACTTGCAAGAGTCGGCTTCGTCTGTGTTACCGCTGGAGCGATGGGGTGGCGGGGTCGGGCTTTGTTTGTGAGGCTGTTGCTCCCCGTTGGTCTGGGCAGGCTCCGAGGGACTTCCAAGACGAGGGTCATTGCTGTCGATGTCCATCGAGCTGCGGGGGTCAGCGGCGGCGGCGGCCATGGCTGACAGGCGACGGAGCTCGTCGGGCGGAAGATTGAGCGGGTGAGAGTCGGGGTCGTGAGAGCTGCGATGGGGATTACGGGGCCGCGGCGCAAACGCAGAGGCGGATGGAGAGGAGGAGGAACGAGAGTGAGACTTGGAGGGGGAAGAAGACTTGGACTTGGACTTGGAGGACGAAGACTTCTGGGGTTGAGGAGAGTTAGACGAGCGAGAGAAACCGAAGAAACTCTTAGAATGGACCATTTTCCACGGGGGGAGCGGGGCCGCTGATTGGCTGGCTCAGTCGAAGATGAACGAAGGCGGTGGAATTATCGAGGAATTATCTTCAGCTTCTTGTTCGCATCATTGTACAAGCAACAAAGGAGAAAGAGCAAAGGATCAAAGGCCAGGAACAAAGAGCTGATAAAAAAACAGTCGGTCTGCTTCTGCTGAGCTGTCAGAGAATCTCATCGAACTCCGATAGTAGTCCCGCCGGCCTTGACAGGACAAGAATTCTGGAGGCTGGCTCCTTAGCGTGTGCTCACACCAACAGTGTCCCCCATACCTGTAGGCAAATCCGCTTGTGTCTATCATCCTGGGCGCCTGCAGAAGTGCCGCTTGCTATCAGATACGAAATCCTATTTGTTCATGGCTAGAATATCCGTCGTTTTAACACCTCTTAAGTGGGAAGCTGAAGGCCGGGTTTGCCAGACCCCAGCAGTTCGTAGGTGGAGAACGAGCAGGTACTCGGAGCATTAGACGGCGTTTGCTGTCTGGCCAATTTTGTCTTCAGAGGCCTGTCCCTCGTGAGGTATTATTCTACTTCATGCGGTTATTGTAACATTATCTTGGGCATCTGCGCCTGAAACGAGGTATCACAGGATGTCTCTGGATGCTTGGGTTCAGTGCTGAAATTTCCGTATTTGGCCTGACACGGCGCTGCTTTTAGTGGGCACATCTATGACTCCATTCCATCCACCCTCCACCCTCCACCGTTTTATCATGACCTATAATAGGCCACATTAACGCACACAATAATAATTACGAGGAAATGCAGCTGCAGCGGGATATCGGCTCAGATTAAATTATCGTGCAGGTAGCACCCACTTAACAGGAGGCTGGCCAGGTCTGGGATCTCCACTCAGAACTAATCATTATAACCTGTGGATGCATGACAATGGTATACAGCCCACAGCCGAATGATGCGTTCCAAGTCTCAGGGTTAGACTGAAGATCATGACAGGCGGGGTTGGGGGCCTTGGATCGCATATATGGATGTTGCAGAATTGTAGCTATACCTACTTACCGTACGAGGTAGTGCTTTCCACTAGTTACCACGAGCCTTAAGCCTTACATTGACTCCGCCCAGCAAAGAAATACGAGAACCCAAGACATATTACGAACCAAAAGCAAATATAAAGTTAATGACAATTGATTCATTTGAGGTATCTTCGCTGTAAAATGACACGCTAAAATTTCCCAGTATTAATTAATTATCAACGCCAGCATGCAAGAACAGATCAACGACTATGGGAGTCCATGCCTCAGGCACGTGGACTTTAATACTGTCGTAACATCGTTTCTTTTGGTTTGAATGCTCGCCCCGTCGGGTGAATCGCGTGCAACACGCCCGTTCCCATACTGCCAGACGTAAATCCGTTTTTCGTGGTGAAAAGGGTTTGCATGGGTCTGATCACTCCAGTCTTCACGGAAAGGCCTGCTACACGAAACGGTCCGGAGCGGCGGAAGATGGTTGTAATGGTGGTTGTAATGGTGTTTTTCGTACACCTCGTGAAGTCGTAGGTGACCTGATTCACTAGAATAGCGTTCACATGCCCCATCCAGATTCAAGGCCCTCAGCCAACACGCCGCCCAATGGCGGTCCATCGAGATCCACGTTGTGGTATCTGTTCAGGGCGCACTCTTGCTACGGCCGGTAGAATAGGCCCCAGGGGCTGATCAAAGACATGTTGTTCATAAGGTGGCGGGAGGTCCTCAGCCTCAACAGCCTCAATATCAGCCTCGTAATCCGCTGTTGGTGGGTATAGATTCGTCGATTGGGGTGGGTATGGATTTGTTGATTGTGGAGGGTATTGCGGCCCGGTGTTTGCGACTGAGCCTGGGCTTGATCTGGGATATTGTGGTCGTTGTGGTAGTGTTGGTGTCGTCGTTCTAGTTGTTAAGACCCATATTTGTTCGCTTTCAATCCAGACAAGTTGGTGCGGTGATGATACACTGTTTGAATGACTGCGTGGAGCTCGAGACGGCGACAACATAGCACCAGAACGATGAGCTACTTCACGGGATACTTCAGGGTGTAGAGACTGGTTCGGAGGTGTACGGTAGTTTGGCCTGGCGTTGTACTCGTTGGAATGGAGGATATTTTGCTGGAGTCCGTTGGATCCTGCGTTAGGGTATTTGCTGCGGGGGGCAATGGCGCTTGTCGATGCGGGCCTCGGAGGAAGGTCCCAGGTGTTTGTCTCCATCGGGCTCACAGGACTGAATGTATGCTCCAGTCGAATATGGGGGACACTTGCCGCGCTTGGCGTGGGACTGCCAGAGAATCTGCTGTCCCGAATGGGAGGGCCTTCGAGCGATGAGAGATCCATCTGGACGCTGAATGATAGCATGGACGCAGAGAGAAGGGGAAAGAGAAAGGCCAGGAGAGGGAGGGCCTTTTCTATTATATGAAAGAGCGAATCAACCGCAGGGGCCTTTTCTTGGATGGACCGAGCAGCTGGCGAGTACGAGGGAGCGAACCAAAAATATAGGTGGAAAATACGACGAAAGTGGATCGCCACACGAGATATCATCAGTCGATCGGTCACGAGAAAAGTGAATATGGGGAGCAGCTCCCATCAGGCGTGCGGAAGGGTTCACAAGTTATTTATCAAACGCTGCCTGCCTGACTCCTGAGGCGGTGCTGGCGACCCCAGTCTTTGAACCATCAGACCAACAAAGGAACAGATCATACACCAAGGCCCAAAACGCTGCGCCGCCTGGCCGGGGGCGGATCGCACGGAGCGATCGCCTGCAAGCGGCAATGAGCTCAGTGGCCGGAGGTTTAATGTCGGTTTCGGTAATAAGCGAACTGGGTCTTTTGATGGGACGTTGGCGCATCGCCTTGTGAATAGCGGAGTAGTATTGATGGCGACGGCCACAGCGAGGACGAAGTGGTGGTTTGCCCCGCTGAATCTCCTCCGATCCAACTTGGCCCCCGAATCCTTTCTGTCCCAGAGATGGTAAGCCTTGAAGGCGAATCGTGCATTTGTGCATGCAGGCACAACTCCCTATTATTATCTTCTTTGTTGACCTCGTCGACGACATCCACCGTGTATAGGGCGGAAACCCAAACCGCAGGGTCTGCCCATCCCGTCAGCGAGAGGAAGAGCGCAGACCAATGAAAGTCTGCACAGTCAGAAAGTTCAATCAGTTTTCTGGAGCATCCAAGCGCGGAGCTAGAAACTGTTCCTTCTTGGCGGGTTGCAAGGCGATGCTGGCTGTTGGCTGCTGGGACAAAGAGGAGAAGCAGAAATCCGCAGCAACACTGCCACCACGCCTTCTGCCTTGATTCCTTTGTTAGCTTACCAGCGCCCTGCAGCGGTCCTTGGTGATTTTATTTTCTGGGATAAGGGAAGTGCGCTTGTCAACATGAATCAGTTTTTTGTTTTTATTGATTTATTATTTCTAATGTGTCGCTTCATAGTGTAAATATGCGACACAAAGACTTGAAGCTCCCGAATACAGTAATAGAAGCGAGACGCCACTCACAACGCGCACTCGGCTGCCGATAAATGATGCCATCCTTGGGGATAGCAATAGGATATACGGTGTACGGTATAGAGGATTCTTCGAGCTGCCTCTTTCTCAATTAGATATCTGTCAGCGACCGCTGAGGGACGGTGTTCGAAGGATTACGGGAGATAAGCCTTCGCTCCATGGCCACTTAGCCAGAGCAGGAAAAGCAGGACGCTGCCAAGAACAGCGGTTGCATCCTGGGATTCAGAATAAGGCCAGGGATTTGGAGCATTATTGCCAGGACTTGAATAATAAAGTATTGATAGTCATATACGGAGAATTGTGATATACATATAGTCGACCTGTCAAGGATAAGAGGGTATTGTTGGCTCGGTGGTTCCGATGACGCGCAGCATCAGCCACTGGACGGGCTTGAATATCATCATTTACTTCCAAGCATCTTGCGGTCAGGCCGTCTAGCATCTGACGCGATCTCAGGCAGGACACTAGGCGCTGGCAGGCAGGAACACCCGCCATCTCGACAGTGCCGCTATTACTACTATTTCAGGGGCACTCACTGTAGAAAAGAACTAAGATTACCTATATATTATTACTTCGAAGAAATTGACCAGTATGTGAAGGACGTTCATGGTTTACATTAAATCGTATCCAGCCACCAAGACTGAGCTTCACAAAAACTCCGAAGCAATCCGGCAAGCCAAAAGAAAAATGTTCAAGAGAAAATCAAGAAAGATATCGAAGTATAAGACTGAAGAATCAGATTACTCTCCCCAAACCACAACACTAAAACTGAAACGACACCCGGACCTGCTCATGCAAACCCCGTTTCATCACCACAACCACGCCAGGCGCGAGGCCCGACGTGGCCATCTTGAATCACGAGTAACCCAGGGCTATACTATTGACATGAAGGGGAAACAATCTATGCCAGGAAGATAGCGGCGACGGCGGCGGCACCAGCGAAGCCGAAAGAGTTGCTGACAGAGTTGGCAGCACCAGTGAAGGTGGGGGGAGAAGGAGTGGCACTGCGAACAAGGTTAGACATAGATACTGATGTATATCAAAAGATATGAGCAACTTACGAAGCCGAGGCGGTGCCGGAAGCACTGCCAGTAGGGGCGACACCAGTGGGGTTGCCAGGGATGACAGGCTTAGAGGTGGTAGGAGCAACGGTGGGGGTGACGGAGATGGTGGAGTAGGTGACGGTGGGGATGCAAGTGGTCACGGGAATGACGGAGATGCTTCCAGAGGGCTGCTGGGGCTGCTGAGGAACAACCGGGGAGCTGGCGGTAGGCTGAGCAGGGGGGACAGCGACGCTGCTGCTGCTGGGAACCTCAGGGGCGACGGGAACGCTGGACTCGACGGGGGCGGTACCGGTAGGCTCAGCAGGGGGCTGAGTCGCGGTGTTGCCAGGGCAGTCGGTCACGGTGGGAGCGCACGAGGTGATGGTGACGTCCTCGGTGGAGTAGACGGTCTGGATGTCACCAGCAACGGCGAGGCCGGCGAAGAGGGCAATGGTAGCAGCGGAGAAACGCATTTTGATTGATTTGGTCGTGGAAGAAAAAAAACCGTCAAGGTAGTCTTTGAGTTGTGAAGTTGGGGTTTAAAGAATGTGGGTAGTTGGTTGTAAAAAGACTGGACGACCGTAGTCAAATGTTTGATGCTTCAAGCAGGACGAAGTTTGGACTTGAGTAAGAAAGAACAGAAAGGAAGCGGCAGATGAAAGAGCGAGCCCGGAGCCTTTGTATCATCTGGGAGATTAGCCTGGGAGATCGCTCAAGGGACGCAATCGGCACAGGGGAGAGAGAGTGGAGAGGGGGTCACAGCGGTGTACTCGACCATGGGGCCGCGCAACCCCCTGAATAAACCCAATAACGGCGAGTCAGCCTCGTGCTCTCTTTGTGGTTGGCGGAGATCAATTGTCGCTTCCATGACTACCAGCCTGCTAGGCAACTAGTCCGCTGTTAGTTGGCTGCCGCGAACACTGTTGTCGCTCTCCTATTTCCCAGGAACCGGAGGTTGCATGTTGATCTTTGTCTATCAGTTCGGCTCTTTGTCTGTGAATGGCCAGCCGGAGCGGATAGTCGAACTATGGTCTCTCCTGAGTTGTTCTGGACTTCCAGCTTCTGATAGGCCTGGCCGATGCATCGCTGCCCTCCCCGGCGGCAACGGAATCTTCATACAGTTCGATGTCATCAAATTCAGCGTGCTGATACCGCCATTGATTTGCCCAGCGTCACCCCATCCTCCAGTCCTGCCTATTTTCAGGGGAAAGACCAAACGTTGTTCGGGTAGTCTTGGCGAGTGTTTCATCCTGGGTGGAAAGCCAATGACATCGCGTGCTGCGGGGCCTTGCGACTCCGTTCCTGACGCCATTTCCCACGCGACTCCACCACAGTCCACTCTTGATTTTGCCATCAGCCCGACGGGCCAATCGCACAAGCAACTGACAATGACTTCTCCGCTTGCCCCTGGTTCCAATGTTGCCATTTATATCCGGAATAAATGGGGGCAACAGAGCAATTGCATTCTTCCAAGGTTAATTTCAGCCCAAGCAACGAGGGAATAAGGAAATCAATGGATAAAACAGGGAATTTTAATTGTTCGGATGGTCCGCCGATACATTATTGTGGACGGGAAATGGGACTTGCACGGGGCGGCAGAAACATGGAGTGCCACTGTTCGGCTGGAGCAAGTTTCCCCCGCTTCCTCACTGTCCTTAATCCAGGCCGCCATGCGTTGAAACCAGATTCAAAACAGTAGGAGGTCTTGCATATGCGGCAAAATCGCGGCCCTCGGCATGGACTGGGAAATAAATGACTTGAAGAATGAGGGTTTTATGAATATTTTAGGCCGTCACTGAACTTGGCGATTGGCCAGACTGGCCTTGGTACGCCTCTTCTGCGCACTGATTGCTTAATTAAAGCTTAGTGGGAAACTTGCGCTTGTTCGCTTCGACCCCTAGTAGTATACGACAATACCGACGAGGGAGATACGGGCCAGGGTGATCTCGAGATGTTCCTGCGATGAGCACAAGGCATATGGAGATTGAGACCGGCTCTGTCTTGTGCTCTTATTCCTGGCAAAGCTATCATCAGGTAGTCCGGACTCCCATAGCGATAGAGCCCTTGCGGGAGTGGATTTGTCCGCCTTTGCCATCCTTCAACTGATCTTGGCGGATGAGTGTCCCTAGCGGGAGCAACTTCAAGCAAGGCACGGTCTGATCCGTCAAAGACAAACAATTGGAACATTTTTGTCTTTCATGATTAATCATGATTCATAAAACTGGCATGTGTTCGCGAGGAAACGAAGGAAAAACATCCAAGCTCCACCGATCATCAGGGGAAGAGCGTTCTCTTGCCAACTTCCAAGAACTCTTCGAATGGAACTCAAGTCCGTCGTCTACTCCTCCATATTAACAAGGGGAAAAGAAAGGCAGTGGCTTGAATGGCGTTGTTATTCTTAGAAACCGTCAATCTCTCACCCACTTTAAGTGCCGTGGTTCAGTCCAGACCCCGGATATTATTATTGAGAGAACCCGTCTCAGTCCACGATTTTGCATGGTATGCCAATCAGGGCCACGTTGGGGAGTGAGCCAAAGAAAAAAGCCCTGACCTTCGTTCCTAATTGATCCAGAATCTTGATGCGTCTCTGTCTGGCGTCTACGGTGTAGACTACTCCGTACTCGTATTCGAACCCTTTGCTCTGCAAGTTAGAACTTGGACCGAAGAACCCAAAATGAGGTTGTGACAGCAACTGGCTTTCATGGCTCGCTCGTCTAGGCGCCGAGGCTGGTTATCAAGTCACATTCGATTGATCGGACTGCGGTGGGGATTTGGGCAAGAGGATCGTCCTTCGCCGCGCGTCTCTGTCCACAACTTGCTGGGGGAGCGAGCACTGAGCTGTGAGATATGAAGTGTCAAGACGGAAATATGGTGCTGGACCTGCTGGAAATTAAAGATGCTGGGATCGACTGATGGGCGCGCGAAATGCGTGATCTTCAGGTACAATCCAAAGGTGTGAAACAGATTGCTCGAATAGAAGGCGTCACAAGAGCACTCGCCACAACGCAGGGCTGTCGATGCGCGATACTCAATTCGGAGGCAAGGCTGAGTATCGAGACTTAAGAGAGCGCCCCAATGTCTTGAGTTGTCTGTTTTCACTCTTCCACTCTTCACTCTTCGACTCTTATCACTCCGTGCGTGGAGAGAGGACTCCGTGTCTCAGGTCTCAGGTCTCGGGTATCGACCGGCAAGCCGGCAGTAATAATCTTTCATCAAAGGTAATACAGAGGATGCTGGGTAATCATAATGAGATCATAATTGTATTCGATGGAGAGATTGGAGTCTTGGAGAAGGGAGAGACAAGACTGAGTGCGTCAGCTGGAGCCGGGGAATGCTTGGCCTCACAAGGCTGACTTGCTCTCTGCCATGCGGCCCATGCGACATGCGCTGCTTCATGGGAGTACATCTGTCCTCTCATGGCAGAGAGTCGGGTTACAGAGATGCTACTGTTGCAGCGTAGCTATACCGCTGCATCCCTCGAGTGTACAATCTACGGCGTAACCACTGCGTATTTCCTTATGACGGACAACGTTTGTTTGATCATCATATGGTGGACTCCAGGATGAGGCGCAGCCGGTGGTGGAGGCAGTAAAGCCACAGTCGCAACTCCAGGGCGCAGTCTGAGTGGTGAAACAAGTTCCTCTGGCCTCGAGGGCCGGCGGCTCGGTGTCTCAGGTTGAGGGTTCCGATGAAGTGTCATAGATGGTGGCCGTGTTGATGATTTCATCGAAAGAGTTTTGGTGGATGCCTAGTGGTGCCTGAGCAGTAGCCATCTCTCTCAACCAGACAACGTTAGCAAGTGACAGCCTCACCGTTGACACATTCTTTGCAATTTGCAATTTACCATAAGCGCCCAGTTGAAGCCCAGCCTGGTCGTCTTGCATTCCTGGACCATCCAGACGGTTTGCAGCCAACGTGGTCGCCGCAATAACCGCCTGACTGAACGGCCCCGACGCTCGTTCTCATCGCTCTCCCTCAGTCTCGCCCTCCTCCATCCCCTCCATCCTGCTCCTCGCGCTCTACCGGTCCGGTCGTTTAATCCATCCATCGCTTCGACGGTTACTCGCCGTCGTTGCCGCCATCATTCTTACCTCTCGCTATCACCTCTGTTCTCTTTCGTCACTCGCTCGCTGGGGATTCGTTACCCGCCGTTGATCCCTCTCTCGTTGGCCCAACGCATGCCGTTTCTTCTTTGATTCCCCTTCTCGCCCCTCATAGCCATTCTTGTCTGAACTGTGTCGTTCGCATCTCCTGCTGGGCATACCGGCTCCCATAATTTCCCCCCTAGCTCCGCGGCCTTGATCGAGCCCCTCTTTGCCTGCAACCGCCGCTTCTAGCCCCACGACTCTTTGTTCCCACTCCTCCCTCACGACTCTACTACACCTTTCTCCTTCCCTAATTTCAATACTTAGCCGCTACGAGAAACACCGCCGATCTGGCTACCACGACAGATCCTAACGAGTTGTTCTTGCCCGGTGAGAGGCAAAACAATCTCGCAATGTCTTCATCCCCCGTTCCCCTCCTCAAGGCTCCCGTCCCGGGCAATCGCGGCAATCCCAATAGTCCCCGGCCGCCTAAGCTTACCTTGGGTATCCCTCCCTCTGCTACGAGTCGTCCTGTCGCCGGTAATGGCGTTCCTGTCGCCTCGGATGCGCCCCAGCCACAACGTCCGTCTGGTCGGCCCCCTCCTCCCCAGCTGCGACTCGCAACCCCTATGGGCAGCACCCAAGATGTTCCCCCGCAGAGGAATGCTCGACCTATGCCACCGCCCTTGGCAACAACCGGGCTGAACGACTCGAACGACCGCTCGCGTTCAGGGAGCTTTACCCATCTGGATGGAAAAGGCAGTGGCCCCGCCTCCGCCTCATCATCTAATTATTCAACCCTGTCGTTTGCTATGGGTCTCCGACAACCGCATGGAGGAACGCCGGACCCCTCATCAGCGATCAGCTCTGTATATTCCGATCGCGAGGGTGGTGTGCAGATGGAACGAGATAACAGCGTGAACGGCCTGATCCCCGATTTAGACAAGCTGAGTCTGGAGAAAGGTCGAGCTTTGGATGTCGAGGATCTCGATGACCAAGGGTGGCTGGCCGCCAGTGAACAGAAAAAGGTTGTTGAGTTAGGTAGCTTGGGTGAGGGAGCAGGAGGAGCTGTCACACGATGCAAGCTCAAGGATGGGAAGACGGTCTTTGCCTTGAAGGTGAGTTTCGGGGAAGTATCCCACGACCCATTCATGAGCTAATCTACGATATGAAGATCATCACTACAGACCCGAACCCAGATGTAAAGAAGCAAATTATCCGCGAACTAAACTTTAACAAAGATTGCGCCTCGGAACATATTTGTCGCTACTATGGTGCGTTTATGGACAAGTCGACCGGTACAATCTCTATTGCGATGGAGTTCTGTGAAGGGGGTAGCTTGGATAGTATATATAAGGAAGTTAAGAAGCTAGGTGGACGGACAGGTGAAAAGGTGCTTGGGAAAGTGGCAGAAGGTGTTTTGAACGGATTGACATATCTCCATGGCAGGAAGATTATCCATCGAGGTATGTTTACTTTTGTCAAATCTCTTTTGAGGTTGTTAACGTTGGTGCAGATATTAAGCCATCCAATATTCTTCTTTGTCGGAACGGTCAGGTGAAGCTCTGCGATTTTGGAGTCAGCGGAGAATTCGGTACCAAGGGCGACGCAAATACTTTTATCGGAACTTCATATTACATGGCACCAGAGAGGATTACAGGTCAATCATATACTATCACATCCGATGTCTGGTCACTCGGCGTGACCCTGCTGGAAGTTGCCCAACATCGATTCCCATTCCCTGCCGACGGGACAGAGATGCAGCCACGCGCTGGTCTTATTGACTTGTTGACATATATTGTGCGGCAACCGATCCCCAAACTGAAAGATGAACCAGAAAACGGTATCCGCTGGTCGAATAACTTTAAATACTTTATTGAATGCTGGTACGTTAATGCTCATGTATCCCAGATTCGAACCATGCTGACTAGCAATAGCCTTGAGAAAGAACCACCACGAAGAGCAACACCATGGCGGATGCTGGAACATCCGTGGGTATTGGACATGAAGAATAAAAAGGTGAACATGGCAAACTTTTTGAAGCAGGTCTGGGATTGGAACGAATGAACTCTCCTATCCCGTCGACTTCGAACGTTTATAATACATCGCGATATCTTTTACATATAACGGTCTTTTTTGACACAATGGTCCTCTGACGCTTACCAGTGGCTGGTCCCCATTTTGACCAGGTTGTCAAAAAAGCATACGATTTTATTTGTGACTACGACGCTCCTTCTGTTTTACCTACCTGCATGTTTCTCTGGATTTACGGAGTCGGAAATCATCATTTGTCGCATGACCATGCCTGCCTGTCTTTCCTTGATATCACCTCTCGCATCAGCGTTCTCTCCGACCTTTCCAGCCTCGGTTTCTCCCATCCAGCCGTCATTACCCCTTTAGCAACCGTCTTAGTTCTATCGTTGCCTGACCTGGTTCAGTCCTGTGGTGTTGTTTTCTTCAGTCCTTGTGTTCGGGAACGGCTTGATTTTTGTCTTTACCTTTTGGTTCACGGGTTTCATGAATGGATACATACAAGTCTGCCCCGGCCGTCGACGACTATGTCCCGCTTGAGCAAATATATACAGGCATCTGCATATAAGTTGATGGAATTATCTGGTGCTTACAGAGAGTGGAAAGAGAGTACATTGAATATGAATTAGGATGTACAAGCACTAAACTGTTATCTGAGAAGGAATATAACTTCTGCATCTTTGATGATTTTAATGTCGTTTCTCAATTAAAGAGCCCTGGGAAATGAATATACCAGATAATAGGTCCGTAGAACAAAATGATATCATAACTTCATCTCTCGCTATCTCTTCGTGTGTCATAATAAAATGATAATAACCACAACTCTAGACCTACAGAGGCAAAAGAAAGTAAAAAAAACAAAAACAAAACCAAGAGTGCCTACAACTGCCTATTGTGTATTATTCATATTGACCGGCTGCGCACCCAAAACCCAGCCAATCCCACTCGCCAAACCTCCAGTGACCATATTACTAACAACATCTCGTTTCCTCACTCGCCCGGCTTCACCGTCATCGAGACCATTCGCATCATCACCCTCGATATCGCCATCAACGAACGACATAGAAGATGAAGCAGAAGCAGACGCAGCAGCCGAGGGACTGAGCGTCCCGCTAAGTGGAAACGAGGAATTGACATTCTTATGCAATGCCCTTGCGGCGCCACGCGCGACTTCGAAAAGTCCCATGGGTGCTTCATCGGAGTCGAGGCGATTATGGTGTGCGGCCCGCGCTGAGCGACGGGCATGCTGCTGTTTTGTTTCGAAGGCATCTTGCTCTGTGTCTGGCTGGTTGAAGCCACCAGGGAGGAACGACGGGGCTGTGCTGGCGTTGTCGCCCTTTGTGTCCCAGGCGTCTGATTCTTCTGATTCGCGGGCGCGGAGGAGAGAGAGTTCTTCGTCAGCTCGACGCCAGGCGCCGAGGATTTCTGGGAGGGGGTCCGGGGTTGGAGCTAGGATAAGGGAGAGGGAGAGGAGTTCCATGCGTTGAGATAGGTTGGTGATTTGGGCGTGGAGGGTTGGAGGAGTGGCTGATGGGGATGGTGTGGGGCGGTAGCGACCAGCATTGTAGACGGCACGCCAGGTGATGTCATCCTTTATGGTGGAGGGAGTTTTAGTAGTGGATGAGGGAGAGGTTTGGGGTGTGAGACGGGTAAGGATGTAGGAATAGGCGGTGCCAAAGTCGTTCGAGGAAAGGGCAGACGAGATAGCGAGCGACATGATACGCCGTTCGGCAGTGACTAGGGCGTCCTCTCGGGAGAGCACTGGGCGGCGTGAGTAGTGTGAATGTGAGTCGGTATCATCAACTGGACGTGGGGAAAAGCCGGCTAAGACTAGATTTCGGCCGATACCGAGGAGGTCGTCTAGTTTTGCGTAACTTCTTGGGTTTTGATCGAGTATCTTTTCGATCAAAGAGAGCGGATCCTGATGGACGCGAATGCTGACGGGCTGGAATGGGACGCCATGCTGAAGCGTTAAGGAGTAAAATGATAGAGCATGTGTTGCAGAAATTAGGGCTTGGGCTTGTCTCAAGGACGTAGAATCGGGAAAGTGTGGTTGGAATGTTTGAAGGCTAGGGGCTCATTAGTTATTTGAGAGGGTTAACCGGCTTATAAAAACAACTTACATTTCGTACGCCCGTTGCATTTTACCCCTGGTTCTATTACCGTTGCTGGCGTTGTCGTATGCAGCGAACATAGATTCCTTGACTGCATCTTCCACCTGTGTTGCGGACAACGCAGAGCTAGATCTGGTATAGATTTCGACAGCTAGATCGTACTCTGCGGGCTGTTAGCACTAGGTCCGGAATAAGTAAGGGAATATTGGGGTTGTACCTCTGACCTCAAGCATGACCTTCAAGATCTCTGCTTCTAGGATCTCCAGTGGGACCCTATAAAAGAGGCCATGACAGCTAGAATCGTTGCCGGATGACTTCCCCGCCTCTGCTTTCCAATCCCGCAGCCATAATAGCTTCCTACGAACTGCTATCCAATCTTGTCCGGATCTCGCTTGTGCAATAGATGCCATAACACTGCGTAGTTCATAGAGTTGCATGTCTTCGTTACTGTGTAGGCAGATATTGGTCGCTGTCCTGCAGGGAATAGAATGCCCTAGCTCTTCAAGGGTGCGCAGGGACAGTAGAAGGCCACTGAGGAATGAAATTGATGACGGCGAGGGATAAGTTAGCGGATTTGTAGGGACAAGGAGAGCATTCTGAAACAACGTTGCTCTTGATGCCGACTGGATTGGGCTAGCATCGAACTCCACCGTGGGAAGATCTGAGCCACCAGATGGCGTGAAAGAGACTCCTTCCAGACCCAAGAGGCTCCCAACCCGTTCCAGAACACGGATGGACTCTTCTAGAGAAACTTCAGAGCTTTGGTAGATCACTGCCAGTCCTGTTTGTCCATATCGATAGCGCAGCTGTTCCAGCTGATCGCTTGGTAATCTCTCATGTTCGCCCACATAGCCGCCTAAGTCTACATCTTCAGGTCCATCCCAATTAATAAAGGTGTTGGATACCACTTCCGCGTCCACCAGACTGCGTGATAGAAGCCACTCGTTCACGTATTCCCATGCGTATGTTTCAAACTCATGGACACCTGTCTGCGAGAGAGGAATCGAATTTCGACGTTCCAGTTGCCTGAATCGTTGCCTCCTGGGCCGGTTGCTACCATACATCCAAGGCCCAACCAGACCACGCAGGTTCTGGATAAGGTCCGTGTCATTCTTCCGTGTTCCCGCCATCGAAAGAAGGATATTTGTCGCCGTCTGATCGTCTAATGATTCCAGTGTCTCCACGGAACATGATTTGTCTTGGTATGGGTAGTATTCGTAATTCAGCCGGAGAACCGGCAGCAGACAAGAGACGAGCCATGTTTGTATAACTGGTGATTGTTGGTAGAATGGGAGGAGAAGTTCGAGGACAAGTGGTTGAAGAGATGTTTCCGAATCAATCCGGTGGGCTCGGTGGATTAAAAAAATGGTCAATAAGTCAGCTGAATCCTGACTATCCTCGTCCCCGGGATATTTCAGTGGTAACAAGCGAATCTTCCGTACATGTTTCCTCGCAGCTCCTTCGGAGAGATCTTGGACCGGGGTTGTATTGACATCGTGACTATCTGAGCGAGATACTGATTCGTCCACTATATTTCGAATCACTGGTATATAGCTTTTAGGCTCCGTGCTTTCAGGTAGGAATGTTAGAACAATGCGCAACAGCCGTTCAATCGTCAAGGTAGTCGGAAATCGAGCTCGTAATTGCGGGAGAGAGGAGGGGTTTCCCGTGGCGCAGAGATGGGCAGCTAGGAGAATGGCATGCGCCCCAGACAGGCGCGTGGATTCAGCCATGGCATTGCAGTTGAGAGCTTCGGCGATGGAGGTGAGGTATTCGTGGCAGCCAGCGTATTGGTGATGGTAACGGAGTGCACGTGCCAACTGCGTGGGCGGCCGCCGGGCCCGGAAAGTGACTAAATGCGCAGAACCTCATCGCATCCGCTCCTCCGCTCCCTCACTACGATTCCCGGCTCTCTCTCCCCTCCAAACACACAATGGCGTCCGGTTTCGGTCTCAATGGCGGTACGTTGAATTCATGTTCAGCCCTGTGGGCGGTTAAACCTGCTCAATTGGTCGTGATTGCCGGTTTTTGCGGTTGTTAAGCTACGAGAAATGGAGCTCCCGGCTAACACTTATCTCCTTACGCAGGTCCCTCCCGCTGCTACAACTTCTGGCAAGAAGTCCTTGGTTGCTACGTAGTCAATGCTGGAGAGGGTGAAAGTGGCAAAAGAAAGTGTCTGCCAGCACTAGATGATTATCATGAGTGCCTACACCACAAGAAAGAGGTACGCGTCCTTCAGCTCTCCACCCAAACGAGACGGCGATTTCCCTCAAGCCGGGTGTTTCTCAAGACACTGTCTACATTTACCTTATCCAGAAGATGCATACCTAACGAAGTGATAGGCTCTCCGGACGATGAAAATGCAGGCTGCCTACCGGAAGGCAGAAGCTGCACACCCCCGTGAGGCGGAAGCACAGGCAGAACAGGTTCGGAGTTTGGGGTTGTTAAATCGGTGAGAAAATATATGGAAATGAGTGAAGGAAGGACGCACATGTTTGAGCTTGGGCGAGGCACTCAGCAAGCAAAAGGGCAATCTTCCGGCAAAGCGGTTAAACCAATGAACAAACCGTGAGTGAGGCCAAAGGAATGCTGAAGCCATCAGACCCAGAGAGAACGATACATTGAGCGCGTTTATCATTGATTTGTCTTTTTTATTTTCAAAGGTTATGTATGTATGGCCTTACCTGCTATTGTATAGAAATCAGAACTCTCTTACTGGAAAGATATTCCCGAAGGATCGTGTGTCGGCAGCTACAAGACGCCTTGGAATGGGTTGCTTAGAATTGTGCAAGTAGACGTTATACAGAAAATAAAGCGCTTTGATAGCTAGCTTCCTGGTACTGATGAACCCAGATATTAGAGATCTCAGCTATGCATGTTCCCAGGTCGACTCATGAATGTCACTGTAGACAAATCTGGACGGCTGCTCCTGTCAATCCAGCTTGTGGAGCATGAACTGGGTGAAGCCAGAAATGAAGCCAAGAGTACAAGGGACCAGTTAGTCTACTCATGTCCCTTGAAGCTGTGTCCAAAGAGATACGTCGCAATCCGTCTTACTTAATCTTGAGGCCATCTGGCCCTTGGCGAATATTCATCATTTCACGTGACCACAAGAAAACCTTTCTCAGGAGTGGAGCCGACCATTCCTGGAATAGCCTAGCGTAACAGGCCCAAGCATGGGTTGGCGCGCCCAGCCAAAGATGTCCCCAATGATATAAACAGGCTGCGTGACCTCGACCGACCGCAGACCAAAACCATCCTGACGCCGCTCTGAAGCCGTGCTGCTGTTTACATGGACCTCACCTGCCGCCCGTCTTATTCAGCAACACAACCCATTTCTTTGAGCTTGACTCACCACCAAAATTGATACTCAGTATCAGGTGGATTTCTTATTTTCTCCTTTTTTTCCAGGTACACTTTACTTATTTCGTTTTTTTACGTGGTCTGCGTTTTTTCTTCGTTTGCTCCGTATACCTCCGGGTAATTTATTTTACGCACCCTTTCAGTGTAATTTTTGGTATACTCCAGATCGATGTGTTGGTGCTCGGCCCTCAGCGCTTCACAACACTTCCATCTCCACTTCTCTCTGGAGCACTGAGAACTTCCCGGTGGCTATCTACAACTACCTACAGCACCTTCTTTCCATCTCCACTGCCCTTAATGGCTGCGGCTTGCAGGTAATTGTTGTTACTGGACTTCCACGCTCCCGTTGCCTGATCCCTGCGCCTCCTGCGCTGCTAGTATTTTACCAATACTGAGCGGTACACCTCTTTATCTCAGAGGCGCGTGGCGGGAACTCCAATCTTCTCTTTGACCCTCATTGAGCCTCTACATTTATTTAATACCCCTCCCTCCTGCAGCTACCTACTTTCATTAATTTGTCATCTTTGACATCACGACCGCCATGACATCCAGGTAAGTTCTCCATCCGGCACTTTAATAACAGGATATGGCTAACCGGCTACTCTAGACTAGATCGCCTTGTCACGTGAGTTCACTTTACCACTCACCTTGTGATGATCGCTAACTAGATCGGAAACCCAGGTTACTCGAGACAGGCAGCTCTCCTCTCATTCGTAACACAGCCGCTCAGCAACTGGCAGATGTGCAAAAACAACATCCAGATGAGCTGTTCAACCTTCTTGGGCGTATTCTTCCCTATCTCAAATCAAAATCATGGGATACACGGACCGCTGCCGCTAAGGCAATGGGCTTCATTGTCGCTAATGCAGACACTTTCGACCCTAATCAAGACGATGGTGAGGAGATCAAGAAGGATGAAGAAGACGACGAAAGCATCGTAAAAGTCAAGTCTGAAGAAGAACAAATTCCCGTTCCTGATGACCTACTCCATCTTGAAACTTTGGACCTAGTTTCCATTTTAAAGCACGGGCGGCGGCTGCTGGGCAGCGGTGGAAAAGACCAGGAGTATTTACTGGCTTCTATGGATCCTGCAGCTCGACTACAACACCACAAGAAGACATTGACTGGACGATTGGGTCTTGCGGGAGAATACGTCGAAGAGGACTTGCTCGACGAGGATTTGCTACAAAAGCCCATCCAAACTTCGAAGGAGAATGCCCCAAATTTTCTTTCATCGAAGGAAAACAACCACGTCAGCTCAAATACTCCTGCCTTACCCTCTCCAAGCGAGCCCGCCAATGGCGAGGAGTCTGGACTAAGCAGAAGGCAGCTGAACCAGCTAAAACGAAAAAGTAAACAACACGCGAAATTGGGTGCGAACAAAGTGCGCGTGGTCGACCTGTCCGCCCGACGCCCGTCAGAAAATGTCACTACTCCTTCAGCCACCACTCCTGCAATCAACACTCCCCATCCGGTAAAAGCGGAGAACGGCGAGGGCCAGAATGGCGACAGCAAGCCTGACTATTTCTCCCTTGATAGACCAACAGGCGATGATGATGAATCTAAGATTGTGACTGAGTTTAAGGGAGCAGAGCTTCCTGACAAGTCCATAATTCAGCCTGAACTCGTGGAGGATACTGATGATGTCGCATGGCCGTACGAACGTATGTGTGAGTTCCTCATGGTGGATATGTTCGATCCTAACTGGGAGGTTCGGCACGGTGCGGCAATGGCTCTCCGAGAAGTCATTCGTATCCAAGGTGCCGGGGCGGGACGCGTGCATGGAAAATCTAGATCAGAAAATAAAGCACTGAACCGAAAGTGGTTGGATGATCTCGCCTGCCGTCTGCTGTGTGTTTTGATGCTGGATCGCTTCGGTGACTACATTTCCGACAATGTTGTTGCCCCTATCCGAGAAACAGTGGGCCAGACGTTAGGTGCCCTTTTATCTCATCTGCCTTCACGGTCTGTCGTTGCCGTATACAGATGCCTCTACCGGCTTATCATGCAAATCGATTTGGCCCTGGATCGTCCAATCTGGGAGGTCTGTCACGGGGGAATGATCGGCCTAAGATATCTAGTGGCAGTTCGAAAGGATCTTTTGGTCAAGGACTCCGAGCTGATGGATGGCGTTTTGGAAGCCGTCATGCAGGGACTGCGCAATTACGATGATGACGTCCGTGCTGTCAGTGCTGCCACTCTTGTGCCAATAGCGGAAGAACTCGTCAACTCCAAGCAATCCACCCTCGGGCCACTGATGAGTATAGTGTGGGACTGCCTTTCAAACCTCCAGGATGACCTGAGCGCCAGTACAGGCTCAGTGATGGATCTTTTGGCGAAGCTCTGCACTTTCCAGCCTGTCCTCAACGCCATGAAAGAAAACGCAGCGGTGGATTCGGAGTCGTCATTCGGAAACCTTGTTCCTCGTCTGTATCCGTTCCTACGCCATACAATCACGAGTGTGCGGTCTGCGGTTCTTCGAGCCCTTACAACCTTCTTGCAACTGGAGGGTGAGGGCACCAATGACTGGGTAGATGGGAAAGGACTACGTCTCATTTTTCAGAACCTGTTAGTGGAGCGGAATGAAGGTGTCCTGAAACTCTCTCTCGAAGTTTGGTCAGAGCTGCTCAAGTCTCTGGATTCCCGAGGAATATTCAAATCGGATCTTGACTTATCCACCCATATCCAGCCACTAATCACGCTGAGCATGGCACCCTTTGGTGTCCCCCTCTACCCCATTCCTATGAATTCATCGCTGTTCATCAAACCATCCGGTGTACCGTACTCGATGACTCATTCAGCTCCCGCAAAGCATTCGCCCCCAGCCACCATTACAGGCGCTGCAGATGCACCCAAAAAACGAGGTCGCAAAGCCGAGAAGAAAGAACCTGCTCCTTCCAACTCGACACACGATGTGGATGCACACATGCTAAAGGGTGATATTGATATGGTTGGCGCTGATACAATGTTGCGTTCAAAGATCTATGCCGCTAGAGCTCTTGGAGAGTTGCTCTCGTTTTGGGACAAAAACGGCCTTGAGAGCTTTTGGGATACCATCATGGGAGGCCTCAGCCATCCCGCATCTTCATCCCAACTGTCATCAGCCATGATAGTAGAGGAATATGCCAAACTTTCTGGGTCCGATAGCAAGTATGGTTCCGCGCTCTGCGAGAAAATCCAGCCCATCGTTGAAGGTGAGCGCCCTCTTTGGTATAGCGATATTTCGTGCTACTTAAATGTCGCGCGCGCCCAATGCCATTCGTTACTCAACGCTTTCCGAGAGAACGCCCATGTTCCTCCCTCAAAACTGCCGGTCCTTGCCGTTGTTGTACAGGGAGACCCAGATGCTGGCCCGAATGCCTTCTCCCTAGCCGATGCCGAGAAGGTGATCGGGCCAGATTTTGACAGGCTGAGGAAGGGGCTGGCGCCCGCACAACGCATTACTGCTCTTAAGGTTCTCAATGAAACCAGGGCTACAGCAGAAACTGCTGTTGGCCAGGCGAAAGATTCCAGAGAGATCAGAGACATGCGAATTAAAGCTGCCGCAGCGGGAGCGTTGGTCAGCTTCCATGAAATTCCAAAGAAACCTGGTCACCTCATCAAGGGAATGATGGATAGCATTAAAAAGGAAGAGAGTGCTGAGCTTCAAGAACGCTCTGCGACAGCGGTCGCAGCTTTGGTAGAACACTATACCGCTGCAGCCAAGAGAGGCCCAGTTGACAAGGTTATCGGTAATTTGGTCAAATACTGTTGTGTTGATACGTCTGAGACGCCTGAATTCCACCACAACGCAAAACTCGAGGAATCTATCTTGTCCCTTCGGAAAGAAGAGGACCGAAGGGAACATCCGGATGCCGCCAAATTCGAAAGGGAGGCTAAAGAAGCAAGAATAATGCGCCGCGGTGCTAAAGACGCCCTTGAAAAACTGGCCACCAAATTCGGTGCGGAACTTACTGAAAAGGTTCCGAACCTTGCACTCTTGGTCGAGCGACCTCTTAAGGCAGCGCTCTCCGGTGACCTTCCAGCGGATATTGTCGACGAAGGCAATGACTTGGGCCAGGAAGTTGTAGACGGGTTGTCTACGTTGAGAGCCCTGCTTCCCAAGTTCGACCCAGGTTTGTACCAGTGGGTTGTCAGTCTTATGCCTCTTGTTGTCAAGGGCCTTCAGTGCCGACTATCAGTCATCCGGTATGCAGCCGCCAAATGCTTTGCCACTATCTGCAGCGTTGTCACCGTGGATGGTATGACGATGCTTGTTGAGAAAGTGCTTCCAACGATTAACAATGCTTTGGATGTCCATCATCGCCAGGGAGCGATCGAGTGCATTTATCATCTCATTCATGTCATGGAAGACGACATTCTACCCTACGTTATATTCCTTGTTGTACCCGTTCTTGGAAGGATGAGTGACTCGGACAATGACGTGAGACTGCTTTCCACAACTTCGTTTGCAACCCTGGTCAAGCTCGTACCCTTGGAAGCCGGGATTCCAGATCCTCCTGGCTTGTCGCAAGAGCTGCTCCAGGGACGTGATCGAGAAAGAAAATTCATGTCTCAGATGCTTGATTCGCGAAAAGTTGAAGAGTTTCAACTTCCAGTTGCAATCAAGGCGGAACTACGTCCTTACCAGCAGGATGGTGTCAATTGGCTTGCCTTCCTCAATCGCTACAATCTCCATGGTATTCTCTGTGATGACATGGGTCTTGGAAAGACGCTGCAGACTATTTGCATCGTCGCGAGTGATCATCATATGCGGGCTGAAGAGTTTGCTAAGACTCAAGCGCTAGAGGTTCGCAAGGTCCCGTCGCTGATTGTATGCCCACCATCGCTTTCTGGTCACTGGCAACAGGAGGTGAAACAATATGCGCCATTCCTCAATTGCGTTGCCTACGTTGGTCCACCTGCAGAACGATCTAAGTTGCAGGGTTCCCTTGCTGATGCAGACATCGTTGTGACATCATACGATATCAGCCGGAATGACAACGAGGTCCTCAGAGCGATTAGCTGGAATTATTGTGTTTTAGACGAGGGTCATCTCATCAAGAACCCCAAGGCCAAGGTCACGATCGCGGTCAAACGCATCCATAGCAACCACCGTTTGATTTTGTCCGGAACGCCAATCCAGAACAACGTGTTGGAGTTGTGGTCCTTGTTTGATTTCCTGATGCCGGGCTTCCTTGGCACCGAGAAGGTATTCTTGGACCGGTTTGCGAAACCAATTGCCACCAGCCGCTTTAGCAAGTCATCGAAGGAACAGGAAGCGGGGGCTTTGGCAATCGAAGCGCTGCATAAGCAGGTGCTTCCATTCCTCCTTCGCCGTCTGAAGGAAGAGGTGTTGAATGATCTGCCACCGAAGATTATCCAGAACTACTATTGCGACCCAAGTGAACTGCAGAGGAAGCTGTTTGAGGACTTTACAAAGAAGGAGCAGAAAGCTCTGCAGGACAAGATGGGCAGCTCAGAAAAGTCTGACAAGGAGCATATCTTCCAAGCCCTGCAGTACATGCGCCGTCTCTGCAACTCCCCTGCTCTTGTCGTCAAGGATGGCCACAAGCAGTACAACGAAGTGCAGCAATATTTGCAGAAGAAGAACTCCTATATTCGTGATGTGTCGCACGCGCCTAAACTCAACGCCCTTCGCGATCTACTCTTAGACTGTGGAATTGGTATCGACCCACCGAGCGAAGGCGACCTGGCGACGGGTGCTAGCTACGTAAGCCCGCATCGAGCTCTGGTTTTCTGTCAGATGAAGGAAATGTTGGATATAGTCCAAAGCGAAGTTCTCCGGAAACTCCTTCCGTCGGTACAATTCCTCCGTCTCGATGGTGGGGTTGAAGCCACCAAACGCCAGGATATCGTGAACCGGTTCAACTCCGACCCTAGTTACGATGTTCTGCTCTTGACTACCAGCGTTGGTGGGCTTGGTCTAAACCTTACAGGTGCAGACACAGTTATCTTCGTGGAGCACGACTGGAACCCGCAGAAGGATATTCAAGCCATGGACCGAGCACACCGTATCGGACAGAAGAAGGTGGTCAATGTCTATCGGTTGATCACGCGAGGCACTCTAGAAGAGAAAATCTTAAAGTAAGGCCATCACCCAGTTTGCTTTCTTTTTGCACACGGCATACTAACTTAACCTCGCAGTCTGCAACGGTTCAAGATTGACGTGGCATCCACAGTAGTCAATCAGCAGAACGCCGGTTTAAATACGATGGACACAGATCAGTTACTGGACCTATTTAATCTTGGAGAGACGGCAGAGAATGCAGAGAAACCGACGGAAACAGGCGGTACAGAAGTCGACATGGTTGATATTGACGGCGAGCTGAAGGAGAAGGGTAAGAAGGGCTGGCTCGACGACCTAGGCGAGCTTTGGGACGACCGGCAGTACCAGGAAGAGTACAACCTGGATTCGTTCTTGTCTACTATGAATGGGTAGTCTTGATTGTGACTGAGGTTGAAGCAAGGCGTTCAAGGTTGGCGAGGTTGATTACCGGATCCGGAGTTGGCGGTTACTGTGATATTTTTGACAAGGGGCCAGGTGGACGACGCTTGGTTACTCACTGTATTTTATGTACACTTATTTTAGCATTTAGCGTACACAAGAATCAGATGATGCTAAATCACTGAAGATTCACAAACAATCCCCCATCTACTAAAATCTGCGCTCCGGTCTGCATACACAATGATTAGCACTCTCTTGAATTGAAGAATAGAGGGAAACTCACCACATAGCTACTCAACCCCTCGCAAGCCAAAAACACCGCCGGCCCTGCCAGATCTGGTGGTTGGCCCAATCTCCCCAGCGGAATTCTTCCCTCCATGTACTCCTTCTTCACTGGATCACTCATATCCTCATCATTCAGCTGCGTCCGAATCGTCCCGGGCAGCAGCGCATTACACCGGATGCCATACTTCCCCAGCGCAACAGCCGTTGACTGCATGAGCGACAGCACGCCGGCCTTGGTGGGCGTGTAGTGCGTTTGCTGCCCGCCGCCGACCAGTGCGGAGATTGACGAGATGCCGATTATGGAACCGCCGGGGGGTGATTGCGAGTAGGCCATTTGGCGTGCGGCGGCTTGTACGGCGTAGAACGCGCCTGTGAGGTTGGTTGTTATGGTGTGGTTGAGGAGTGTTGGTGTGACGCTTTTGCAACAAGTTAGTATGCAAGCAGCACTAGGGTAGGTGGATGTATACATACTCAAGGAACTCCTCGAAGCGACAAACACCGGCATTGCTCACAAAGACATCGAGTCTCCCAAATGTCCCAACCGTCCTCTGGATAAACTCAGTGCCGGTTTCAGGCTTGGAGATGTCGCCGGGTACGATGATGAACCGGTCTCCTGAGGTGTCTTGCTTGGTGGATGTGAGGAGATCTGCGACGTCTTTCTTTAGCGCGGCCACGAAGGGCTCATCGTTTGTGCCGCCCAGGTGGTTTACGGCGACGTATGCGCCGTGCCGGAGGTATTCCAGTGCAATTGCCTAGGTATATGTTAGTTTCAGTATTTCTGATCGTTTTTGCGGGGCCGAGGGGGTGGAGTACGCGGCCGATTCCTGTGAGGCCGCCAGTGATGGCGGCCACTTTGCCGGTCAGGAGCTGCGGGAGAGACATAATGGAAATATTGGGTATCTGATAGAAGGCTGATGGGAGGATGAAAGGAAATAAAGTGGTTACGCAGCTGCGAAACTGAGAGATAGAGCAGAGGGAGAGGTGGGGGATTCTCGGTGCTTCGTGGTGATGTTCCCCCGAGAGGAGGGGCAAGGGCTTCCAGACACAATACGTTGTTTCGTAGTAATTGGTGGGATGCTGTATTCTCCCGTATAAATAAGAAAGGTATCTCACCTTTTCGAGTGATAACAAGAGGCAGAGTGTGGGGATGTGGCTTGGGGTTCCTGCATACATTGTTCCGCTCTCTCTCTCTCTCTCTCTCTCTCTCTCTCTCTCTCTCTGATAGAAGAAAGGTTCATCTCCCGGATTATTTTTATCATTAATATGGCGATATTTAGAGCCAATAGCCTGATATGGAGTGAAAAGGATGTCTACCTACACCAAGGGAGTAGCGAATGGGTAAAGTTAGGCATATCTCAGGAGCCAGTTGATTCAGTTTTGAGTTCCAGAATTTTGGGGGCTTTATAAAATAGTCACTAACTAAATCTGCGCCTTCTTTTCTTTTTTTCTTTTCTTTTCATTTAAAGTAGCTGGGATTTATTTCTGTCAGTATCAGAATTCTCAGTCTTTCCCGGAGACTTTGATGACGTTTTTGACTTTGGAACGATAAGACCATCTTGAGGAATTCTAATGTTATTGTCGCGGTAGAAAATGAAGATTCTTGTTACAATGGCCAAATCACTTACAGGCCCTTCGTAATTGATATAGGATTCCCCGCATCCCACAATTCCAGGTAACTGATGGCCCTCTGGCGAGATTAACAAGTAGACTCTTGTATTCATAGATGCTCGAGGCCCTGGATTACAAGCTGGGATTTCATCAGTCTGTTAATCTGCCAGCAAGAAATCCTGTATATTTAGATTCACCCCGTTTCCATATCCACAACTTGATCGAGGTAGGCCAGCCTGGTCCTCGTATTCCGGTCGCTAAGCGCAGTTTCTTTCTGCCGTCGCTTCAGACCGGAGAACTCTCTCAACTTCCCATTTCAACCCACGTCTTCCTCTAACGATCACCATGTCTATACCATTGCGGCGGCTGAAAATTGTCCTGTTGGGAGATGCAGGGGTTGGCAAGGTAGGATTCAGGGACATTAAAGAACATGGGAGGATGCCCAGTTGGCTAACGAGAGATAACCAGACATCGTATATGCAAAGATACTCCCACCGTGAATTCCTTGGGGTATACGAGCCTTCATACAACGCAGAAATCCAGAGCATAGGTGTCCAATTCGTGAGAGCTGCAAAAGCCAAACACGCCCTGCTACAACTGACCAACGAAGTAGACTGAGGGCCTGGTGGTCTTCGACGTGTGGGATATCCCTCCTGATGTCCCCTGTGACCAACTCATACAAGACTGCGACGGTGCCATTCTCATGTTCGACACCATAGTCCCCAGCACGTATGAGAGTATCCCAAAACATTACTGTATGGAACCCCATCACTGACTACCTGATTCTGCGGTATGGGCATTTTGCCAATCTAATCACGATTCCAGCCACCCTGTTACACATCTTCGGCTGTCAAGACAGAGTCCCAATCCCTGTCGTGCTCTGCGGAAACAACTGTGGATCGCCTCGTCGAGCTGTCCATCCGCCGATGATTAGATTCCATCGTGAGAAGGGTCTACAGTACTACGATTTCTCAGTAAAGGAGTTGTTCAATTTCCACAAACCTCTCAAGTATCTCGCGTGGAGGGTTTTTGGTCGTGAGATGGTGAGTCGGTCATCTATTTGTAGAGCTGTCTATGAGGTGATCTAATGAAGGGATAGGAGTATGCGTTTGAGCCTGATGTTGGGGGGAAACCTGGGCGTGAGCGTCCTTAGGTGCTGGAGCTGGGGATTCGGATGGTGTGGGAAAAAGGATCTACATGTGGTCGAAGGCTGGGGATTCACAGGTACCGCTGCAGATACTGGTCAGGGTAAGCTTCTCGGGGTTGAAGTGTTGCAGCGACCGAAGGAGAGCTAAGGGGCGAAGGCGCAAAGGGTTGTAACCGATGACACAAGTTCTATCATAGTTTGGCCAGGTGCTCGCCGCTGTAGTATTGGTTGGCAGCGGAGAATAGATAGTTGGCGCGGATTAGAAGAAGAAATTGTTCATATTTTGCATTTCATTTCGAGACGGACGCCGGATCTCGGTGGCATCCTGCACATAAATGCTCAAGTCGTCGACTTGTACATCGATACATTCCCAATTCTTCCTCCAGCTATGGTATAATTCCTGTGGATTCCATGCTCATGAACCGAACGTACTCGATGTTTTCTTTTCCCATTGCCTCATCTAGAACCTTGCGCGCTCAAACGACATAACGCCCCAGATTACCCGTTTAGAAACCTGTTAAGCCGTCAGCATAATCCTGAAATCTTGTATCGAAAGGGTGGGGAAATAACGTACGCAGAGGAGTGAAGAACCACCGGTTCTTGCCGCTGGTGTATCGGTCCTCGAGAGCCTTCTTGATGGTCTTCTTGGCGTCCTCGCGCTGGGAAACTTCCTTGAAGGTGTCGGCGGAAACGGTACCCTTGAGACCCTCAAGCTCGAGAGTGTAACGGGTGGGCATCAGGTGGTTGTAGTTGACGACCTTGATGAATGGCTTGATACGGCTGCGCTTCTCGACGGTCTTCTTACCCATGCGGCGGGTGACCTTGAGGGGGTAGCGCTCGATACCGGCGACGATGGCGTAAGAGAAGGGGTGAGCCTTGGAGCCAGAGTCCTGAGGCTGGACAATGACAACCTGTTGATCGCAAAAAAAAAAAACGGCCTTGGTCAGCACATCCTAGACGCCATAAAGATTCCCAGTTTCCTCTCAATCTCTTTCAAATGTCCCGCATTCGCTTCAAAATCCTTCGCCCAACTCGCTCCCAGTTCCTCCTAGACTCTGGATCTTGTCCTCCTCCAGCGCAATGCGACATCTCCTGCAACAAAGGGGATGCGAAGGGTCGTGTCGTACCTTCTTACCGGCGTAACGGCCACGGGTGATGATGGCCACACGGCCCACTTTCATGACTATCGCAACATTCCAATCAGCTGAGTTCGAAAACGAGAGTTCAGTCGGGAGGGTGGTAAACTAACACTTCATTGTGAAAGCGGCAAGGTCGATGGGGTGGTTGTCGATATGCTTCGGTCGAGGGAATGAGGTTCTCCGCGCTCGACGTTCTTTTTTCGCTTGGGAAGTGCACGGGAGAGGGTTCAGGGCACAAGTGATTTGTGTGCTGCAATCTAATTGGCCTCCTTACCGACCGGCGGGCGCTAGTCTGTAGCGGGATAATTTCCCCAAACGGGCTAGTGACGTGACTCTCGGAGATTCGGAAAAACCTGGTCGGCTCGAACCCGATCGCCCGCTTGTTTACCCGGCAACCGCCACCGAGTGGTTGCTATGGAGGAGCTTCGATGTGGACGCTGCAGATTGGGCCGGCCAGGCTGTGACGATGGGATTGATGCCCCATGAGCTACCAGTATCTTGCGGTCTGCAACTCCACTGGCTCTGTTGTCAACTCCTACTTAACTCACGAGGGACTCGTCTCTAGACCTCAAACCGTTTTCCTCCCCGGACCTTGGTCGTAACGTCTGTGGCATTGCATTGTACTTTGCCCTCCTCCCTCTCATCCTCATTGTTCCTTGCAGCAAGCGCTCTTGTTTTATCTCTGATTTACTTTGCGATTGTTTCTTTTTGTTTTTCCCCAGTCACATATACCCTTTGATTTCCGTCTGGGGTGCCTTGTTATTGTCTCTTTTTTGTTTTGACGATTTGATATGCCCTTACGACCCTGTGCTTGAACAGCATTCTTCACTCCTCTCGACATTCCAAGTACCGCGGCTCGTCCAATCTTCGTTGTCCCGACCTTTTTGATATTCGCGCAAATCACATCCAGGTTCCACTATGTCTTCGCATAACCGTGAGGGTTCCCGCGATCGGGAGCTGGTCCTCAGCAGACACCAGACGGTGCCCATGTACGTCTCTATATATGTTCCACTGGACCTGCCTCTCCATCTTTGTTCATATTCATGCCTCCGATGAAGAAGCTAACGTTCAAATCCTTGAAACACAGGTGGGACAGTTCTGATCCAGAGCGGGCACCACCACCACTACCATTGAACCCTGGCTCGACGAGCCCAGTAACTAAAGCAAATGTCTCTCCTGGTATCCAGGCGGTAGCAGCAAACTTCACAGAAAAGATGCGCGAGAACTCCCCCAGCCCATACACTACCAACCCTATGACGCCCAAGTCGCCAGAGAAGTCGCTCATTAAGGGCCAATTCCACAAGCGGATGCAATCGCTGCAGAACACCGATACGCGCTCAGAATTCTTAAACTACCTGGAGAACCGGTCACCAGAGCGCCCACTACGCGCATCATTTTCTGACCAAAGCCCAAAACAGCCTGAGAAAAGCGCACTCAAGGCTGGAAGTCCGCAGGATCTAGAGAATTCAGAAGAGCCTCCGAGCCTACTCATCTCCAACAGCTACCTTTCAAGGCCACTCTTTGGCGAAAGTACACCTCCTTCTGCTACAATGCTTGCTCTACAGAACATGCAATTACCGCCTGAAAATGAGGCACAGGCAAACACCAAAGCTGCCGATCCGCCTTCAGAACCTAAACATGCACAGTCCAGTAGCTTCGAATTTTTGTCGAATCAAATCCTCAGTCTCACAGATATCGCCAGCAATCTCCAGCGGGAGATGTCGCAACTGAGTCGACGGAGCAAAGACAATGCTACAGATTTAGTGAGCCTCAAAGCTGCAACTAACGCCCGCGACGAGGACATTCGAAAAAGCCTTCGTGATTTGTCCTCGAACTTGGCTTCCAAATTCCTGGAGGGTGACACTGCCACAAGGTTGGATATCAGTGCTCTGCTGGGTTCTGAAAACGGTATTAACCAAGCTGAATCGGATAGTTCTCCAAACTCGAAGAAGAGTCACTCTGTCCCAAGAATGCAAAGCCCTAATCCCTTCGTCGCGGCTATGGAACGTGAATTTACCGCTTCTCCCGGCCCTATGACAGACGGATCTGCTAGTATCGCCCTGTTAGAGAAGGTTCTGCGAGAGATGGCAACCAAAGAAGGACAGGAAAAACTCTTAGAACTCGTGGACGAGCTCAAAACTCGCCCAACCTCCGACGATTCCAGTAAGAGCGTCGACAACACGGTGACGAAAATGCTAGAGGAAATCCTCAATATCGTAAAGCAGGACTCTGGAACCAAGGCTCTCGTGCGCTCGAGAAACGCAGGTCCTACCCCAGACATGAATGCCACTTCCGCAAGGTTTGTCGACTCAGAGCAGGACTTCGCACGCGATATAGGCGTCATTCACGGAAACCACCCACGTGCCGTCAATCGTTCTGCTTCTGACGGGCAGAGTTCCACTACAAGCGAAATGATGGATATAATGAAACGTGTGAGAAGCAGTGTCATTGAAGGGGGTGGAATGACGAACGAGGTGAAGGCGCTGGTGCGAGAACTCCGTGGAGAAGTTCTCGGAATGGGTAGAAACCTAGCCAGCAAGTTGGAGGACGCTGAGCGTACTCGAACTATTGAGAACACACCCAGAGGCCCCGGGCCCGACGAAATCGCCCATATCATCGACGGCAGCCTACAAGACCTTCGCTATCAATTGAACGCCATTATGAACGACAACAAGCAACATTCCTCTGCGCTTAACGAATTCCGAGCTGCTATGGACGGCGCCGAAATATACTCGCTCGTCCAGAAGGCTCTGGACCATTCTAGCATGTCCCGGCTCCGTGATGAGCCAGAAGGTGCTAGGATGCAAAAGGAGGACATCCTTGAAGCCGTCCGCGAAGCCTGGGAGACGTATAAGCCGGAAATTGAGCTGCAGAACTTCGGTCTTGAGCGAGACGAAATCCTTGAGTGTCTCTCCGAGGGTCTCAAAGCCTACCAGCCACAGCATGAGCAAGACGTCACATACGACCAGGTCCTGGCGGCGGTTCAGGCTGGAATGCAACAATTCGAGCAGCCTCCTGCAATTACAAAAGACGAAATCGTCCACACAATTCAAGAATGTCTCCAGCATTCCCAGCCTCGTTCTTTGGATGATGAGCAGCTGGCTGTCATTCGAGACGAAGTACTACATGCAGTCACCGAATCCATGACATCTCAGAGTGCTCTTACAAGAGATTCTTTCGACTCAGGTCTCGGGCGTGATGAGATTTTGAGCGCCGTGTCTGATGGGATTGGAGCACATATGCTCTCAGGAAAGGGACATGGTCACCCATCAATTACAAAGGAAGATGTCACCCACATCATCAACGAGGCTTTCTCTTCCCAGCAGCCTATCCTTTCTCGAGAAGTCGAACCCACCATTTCCCGCGATGAAATTCTCAACGCCATTACGGAAGGCCTCGAGAGTCAAAACTCAATTCCCAGAGAAATTGAACTGAACAAAGACGATCTGATGGAAGCTATCACTTCAGGCCTCAACGAAGTGACTGCGAACTCCAACCACGCTCTAGGCGAACAAATCATGGAGCGACTTCAAGAGCGACTTGACGAGTTCAAGGCGGAAGTCAAGCCGCGATCCCCCGTACCAGATGCAAACACAGAACAGGTCCTGAATTCTATCAATGAAAGCATTACCGTTTTGCGCCAGGATGTTGAAGGGTATGCCACGACGGCGTCGGAGGCATCTGGGAAGTACGAAATCTTGGATACAGTCAAAGAAGGCTTCCGACTTCTCCAGGCAGATTTGGAGAAGACGATAACGGAAAACGCTATCGTGAACAGATCTGTTGGCAATCCGGATACGCCTGAGCTCCTCGACGCCATGGAAAAGGAATTCGAACACCTCCGCCAGACTTTGAGCTCTTTGCTTCGAAGCAATCCTTCTGGCGATAAGGAAGAAATTCTCGATGCTATTCGGGATATCTCTGAAAGCCATAAACCTGAGAAAGATGACAGTATCTCGAATTTGATACAGCGCGAGTTCGAAAGCCTGCGCGAGTCTTTGACTATGAGTATCGTTCCTACAGAGCAGAAGAGTGAGAAGGATGACATTATTGCCGCTGTTCAAGCTACTATGGAATCATTCCACGCAGAGAAGAGTCAGAGAAGGGATATTCCCGATATGCCT